TTTACCTTCTTTAAAAAGAAAAATTGTAGATGGCTAAGTTGAGAAAAGTAATAACTTTAGGTCCACAATTAATAATCTTTTGCCATAACTCAGCACATTGTAAAACTGCACTTGATATCAACACTTCAGGTTATTGAACTCTTCGCTCAAACATTAAATGAATTTTTTTCCATGTTTATATAGCTTCACCTAAACACGGTGGGTGTCGTGAGAATTCAAGAAATTTTGCATACACCCACCATCACCAACCCCACACCCCGTGTTTAAATATAAAATGCGTGTCATAGGTAATTATTAACACAGTGAGCGGGACGTCACAACCGTGTTTACATACTCTCGTCTCAACACACCTGTCAACCAATGCGAGCTTGCTTGCTATCTGAAATATTTCATGCTAATTTGTATAATGTAAAAAATTGTAATATGTACAGATTTTCACCTACATGGTATGCGAAGACTTCCTGGTCACTGAGGATACTATCTGAGTCTGACGACCCGCAAAATGTTTTGTTTAATGATGTGTTTCTGCAGATTCCGAATAATTTCGGGATATCTCGAGTTTGGATCTCATAAAGCGCGAAAATCTTCCTTTAAATGTATCTGAATTCCAAAATTCTCGTAATTTTTTAGCGTGCGATGGATTAAAAAAGAATTTTTAAAAAAATGGGTTATAAGTTGGTATGACAACGGTAAGAAACCGTCCTGAAGGCATGAGGATAATTTTTCGGTTTCTATTTAAACTTATTAATGACCATTTTAAGAGCGAAGCTCACTAGTCTTCGTTTTTCGAGACTATAGAAACAAATTCTACTTGTCACGGGGATCTTTTCCATGATTCTTCTTGTTTTTTAGATTCTTAATTCACCAAAGTGTTGTGGTATATGGCACACTACTGTTTACCTTTGATATTCATGACCTCCTACTGGCAGCGGACCTTTAAACTTTGAAGTCAAAAGCCGAATGCTTTTAAGCTGGGTTGGATCGAGTATTTCTTCTCGCATTGGGCACTAATTGTTGTGTACGACAATACCTCTAGCCTTATTCTGTAATTGTTTTCGTGAAACCATGGCACAGGATTTAACATATTCAAGGCACTGAAAAAAAAAATAGGCAACGCGACATACAAATTTTTTAAAGTGTCATACGTTTAGACCGGATGTTAGATGGCAAGAGAGAACAACCGAGGTGTTGTCAGCTTCCTTCCTCTCCGACAACAATTTGCACTTTTTCTAAAACTTTTCAAATCTTGCATCAAACATCCTTGGATTGGATAAGGCGCGTATTAAACGGAGCAAAATGAATTTACTTTGAGTTTGTTGTTGTCTTACCTCTGTAAACAACTACGGCACTTATCCAGAGAGGAACAATGTATTACACTCATGATCTTTTATGGCAAACATATTATGGTAACAGGTTTTGACGTTTCCTTTACCATATTCTGCATTTTGATTTTTTTCTCACATGTTTTGAGCTCACCTGCAAACACATTATCAGTTTTATAACAAAACAAATTCATCATTTGTATCAACCGTCATTAGTGATTTTGCGTTCAGTTTGTTATTCATCCAACTCTTTCATAATACTAATATCAATTTGATTCCATAGATTGAACTTTAAAATTTTCAATCTGTTTTTTACACTCGATAGCATGTAGCAAGACAAAAAAAAATTCAGCTATGGAATACATTAGCTTACATTTTGTTTGCCACTTTTCGTAAATCATTAAACGTGTTTTCAGCATTTATCAGGCAACAAAGTGCGCTTTTTACAAATATCTTCCAGTTGTGACGAGAGATTTCTAGTTTCTCTTTTATTTATTCAGAAAACGATTTTCAGTTTTGAGAAACAGCTCAGTTTAAACTGAATGTCACTGACATACGTTCAAATTTTGGAAATCTTCTTCGTTTCTGAGTAAACCATTTAACAACGGAAATTCTCACAAAGAAAAAAAAGAGAGAAACATGCAGTAATATATAGGTTTTTTTACTTACGTTTCACATAATTCCCACCGTTCTTCTCGACCTGGCTAACACCAGATTATAAGTCGTTTGGCCCTGGTGTCAGTAGGATGTAATGATATTTTGGAGAAGTATCTCGCGTGAGTTCCCTTGAGGAGATTTTAAGATTTATAGCTAATTTATGTGTCGCTGTGCCTGTGTTTGCGATCGACAAAACATGCAGTTTCGTGCCAGCTGCCTCCTGATTAGCCTTGATTCCTGACTGAGAGTAAGTCAGGAATACATGGAGAAATTAAAATGTTTTGAGCTTAATTACCAACGCAAAAAGGTTTTTTGTGGAAGTATCGTTTTGCATAACAAAACAGTAACATCGAGGAAGCTCACACCTCCTGCTAGCAAACAACTTTTATTATAAAAAATATTAGAACAGGCTTACCTAAATTGTAGCTATCTTATTTGTTCAGCTATAACAACAAAAGTAATGAATTTAGGCTGGAGTGTTCTTAGTCAAATGGTTTTTACAGTATGGGGATTTTAACTAGTTTTTAACAGACCACTTCAAGAAGAATATCAAATAAAGTTTGCTCGCGCTCGATCGTGTTTCGCAGAGGGTTTGCCATAAATGTCATTGATTTTCATGTTGTTTTTTTGTTTACATTCTATTCTAAAAATATCCCATCGAGCACTGAACAGTATCTTCCAAAAATCGTCAAGGAAAACAATGTAAAGCTAGCTCAACTTTATCATGCACATTTATTTGGTTTGTCAGTTGTGTCTCCGACTGCTGAATAAACCTGGCTATTCTTACGAAAATCTTAGACCGTAATGTGGACTCGACTTTCTGAAAAATTTATAAATTATTTCCTACTTTTCCAATAAGTTTTTTTCTTGAACCTCTCTGAAGGTCATTCAATTTAGCCCAAGTCACGGAACAGGTAAACTCGCGAAAGATATTTCTTGTTTAATCTTCAGGAGGTGTTTTTAATATTTACAAGTGGAATACACAAATCAATCGTTGGTTACTGCTGCGATTCTTTTAGGCAATCAAAACTGAAGAACCGATATCTTCGTAATCTTTCGTGCCGAAAAGATCTTCGTGACGTAATCGGAACGTTCCACGGTATATCGTGCGACTTAATCTCAGTGACGTCGTGAATTCTTATCACTCACTCTGAAACTTACAATGCATGTTATTCTGTTGTTCCGTCGTTCTACGTGTGGCTTCCTTCGACATTCTGACAGGAACGATAAAATACTGAGGCCGTTACAGCTGTCCATGACGTCTTTGGCATTTCATTAATCTTTAAACCAATCTAACTTGACTAACTGAAGAGCTTGCTAAATTTGTACTTCCTATCATGATTTCAGGAGTTTTCCTGAAGAGAACTTTCCTGCTTCTTTGTGCAAGAATCTGAGAGGAGTGGAAAGCAAATGGGAGGGGAGGGAGGGGAGCAGTGGGTACTGATCCCGTTTTGCGCACAAATATTGAAAATAAATCACCCGTCACGTTTACCCTTACGCTGGGGTATTTCACGGGTCACGAATTTAAAAGGGAAGACTTTAGATCTTAATTTACTCTGCCTCTCTGTAAAATTCACGCCTCACGTATTAATTTTGAGCTTTAATCATGCGTCACCTATAAACTTTTGCCGGCCTTGGAAAAGCCAAGCTTTGATTTCTGACTAAGATTTAACTCCCCATAACGGATGAAAAACTGGAAACTTTTAATATTTCCTTTCTTCACTGGCTTTCCACAGTAGTTTGATTTCAGCTCCCTTCATTCCATTGTAACTGATTTATTTGCTGAGCCTTTCATGTACCAATTGCCAGTCATCGTCCCACCTTAATTGTAATCACCAACGTTTGCTCATTTTCCTTCTGATTGATAAAAATGATCACACAAACGTCGCTATGCCGAAAACGAACCCATTTTTCGAGATCCATCTCCAAGTGCTCAAAAACATGGTATTTGACATGGACTCGGATCAAGTTGAAGATAGTGCCAAATATGCTAATGCAAGGAGCCATCACTTTTGCTTAAAAAAGAAGGAAATCTTGACGTGCGGAATATCATGTTCAATTTTTTGCAAAATCGTTCAGCCGTTAAGAAACAAAAAGATCGATAGGATATGGGGGAATAATTTTCATCACCTGCTCGCCACACTGAAATTGCGCGGAGATTCTGTGGGTTAGAACTGCGTCAAACACGGCTGTGTGCTAAAAAAATGATCCTTATATTTCTTAAATATAATTGCTCGAGTAATTACAGTGATGCGCGCGCTCTGATTGGTCGAGGATTACTATAATCACCTCGCGCAATGTGACTATAGCAGGAGCTAAATTCCAAAAATGGCTGCCTCGCGTTTTAACAGTGCTATCGAAGTGATGAACGCAATAAAGAAAATTCAATTCTGAAGAGCAGAAAAGATGCTATTACCTTTTGAGTAGTAACTTTTCAAAAGAAAGATTTGAAGATTTTGTCGATTAAATGATATAAACCTATCAAATTCTGGTGGAACCAATTGAAACCGAATGGTTTTTAACATCAAAACGAATTCTTACGACAGAATTCGAAAGCATCTAAGCAATTTTACAGAAACAGTTATTAGCCTTTGGCGAATAATTTTTTAAATATTATCATTAATTTAAAAATTTCAGTGTAATAAATCCATCAAACCATTTGTTCGAGAAAAAATGGCAGCAAATATATTAAAAAAGGCAACATCACCTATTCTTTGCGCCCAGTTGTGCACGGTGCGCAATAGCACTGCAGAGAAAAAAACTTTTTGCTGTACACTGTTGCACGCCGTTGAACTGCAAGACACGACCCGTTTTAAACCCCTCTTCTTTTTTCCCTCCAGGCGCCCGGTTACTAACTGAATGCCTACAACACGTTAATAAATGAAAATTGACAAGACTGCGCTGCACAAGTGTCTTTAATCTGTTCGATGATCGCCAACAATCATGTTTTTCTATAGCTGATCGTCTTCCACAGCTTAAGTCTTCCGACAGCTCTCAGTTCTTGAAAAAGCTTTAAAAAATTTAATACTTCTTTTTCTTTCTCCAGATTTGCTCGAACCACTTCTCAACTTCCCGCTTAGTCTCTTCAGTTTCAACATACTCCAAGGGTTCTTTCGTGTACGGCAGTGGCTTCATTTTCTCATTCACCGTGCTCATAGAGGGAGGGTAGTCCCTTAGGTACCACAGGGCATCCTCCCCTCTTGTCTCGTGCTTAAGGACCTCGATGCTTTGAATAAGTGGCGAGAACAACTGAAAGTTCACCTCCATTGGTTCACCGTCTATTACGTTGCGTAAAGTAAAGGTGGCGCCTAAGGAATTTTGCCAACGACTTTTGTAAATACAGATACCCACAAGCCTGAAGGAAACGAGAGAAAAAAACTTTGTAAGAAAAAAAACCCTACAATTCATTCATTAATTTGTCAAATAATGTTGCATCAAAATTTAACTTTGACCTTAAGAATTCTTCCTAGTTAGTTCTAATTAATAATGGATATCTATTCTGACTAACAATTTCATCTAATTGCTTTCTTTCTGGTAAAGAGCCACCCATCATGAAGGTACAAGTATCAAAACTTTGCAGAATATTTGCAGTCCCAAGAACACTAGCCTCTTTTTTTGAACCATGATTATTGACCAACAGAATGATCAACTTCTCACTAACTGAGTGTGAGGGTGGTACTAAGGAACATTGGCCTGCGGATGTTTTTGTAGGGCCTGAGCACAGTAAGGTCTGTCCAAAAAAAACAACAAAGGGCCAATATTCCCCAGTATGGCTGGAGCAAGAGAGGTTAGTGAGTAGTTTATTATATGGCACTTGGACTCAACTTGTTTATTTTGAATTTACTGGCCTTCGTGAACAAAAATACACAGCTTATGACCAGTATGGAAAAAATATTGATTTAGTAACAACCAATCAAAACATTCCAATTTACCTCAAGACCACCAAGCCATGTGATAAAAATTGATACTACCCACTGATCAAATGCTGCTGAAGTCTTAAAAATATTATTTGTATTTTTCCTTCTGCACAACTTCATTCATCCTCGGTGACAGCTTTTTACCTAAGGTTTTGGTTTTGTTAGCTTATTGCAATGTTGTTTTTGTTTTAACATTTTTTGTGCTCATAAAGAAACAAACACTCACCTGACTTTTCCTTTTGCAATGAGAGGATCTGACCTAGTCACAGCTACAATACTACCAACACAAAAGTTTTTGACACCAAGTGCCTGCAGTCGACGATAGCAGTCTCTCTGCTCTAAGAAAGTCACCACATCTGTGCTGGCCTCTTCTGGAGAATCAGGGAACCCATTGGGCCAGTCCTTTTCTTTCCAAATAAAGCGGGGTTCAGGTTGTGTGCCCACCAAGGCTGTTTTAGCATTTGGGCGTGTCTGGTAGATTGACTCAACGTCTAGCAATGAAGTGTTCTTACGGTACCACTCGTTAATATTCACTCTTATCTGAAAAAAGTACAATTCACAAAGTAATTGAAATTGTGTTCACCTAAAAGGAGGCAGTGTGGCTGGGAGGTTTAGAGTGCTGGTTTGATGTACACAAATTCCACTTTCAAATCCTCCACTCTACTACTTGTTCTACATAGTTCTTAGTTCAATTCCCACCTGCATGTCTGAGGCTAATAATATTAATTCTTGGAAATACATGAAGATGGCACTTTCTTATATATGTATATTTTGTTTGTCACCCTGTTAAAAGAAAAATTTGTTTGTTCCTGTTTATCTCTCAAACAAACTGATTTTCTATTGAAACAATCTAGCACAGGATTGACTGTACCTTTGGTTTCTTCTTTTGAACAAGTTTCTCTTTGTTTTGTGCTGATAAAGGCTGCCCATCAACACTGACCTCTTGCTGAGATACTGCAATGGTCTCATCTCCTTCTATGTAAATAAATAAAAAAGCCATAATCTTTTAATTTGCATTTGTTTTGAAGTGCTTTTGGAATAACTCCTTTCTGTGGAATAAGGTACCCATTTTATAATTTTTTTTTCTGAAAACAGGAGACACAATTCTCGTCACTAATTCATTGTTACAGGTTGTGCCTCAAAAACCCTCAGTTGCATCCTCATAGTAAATGTAAGGGACCATCCTATTGGAATAGGTGCCAAAAATGGAATGTCACCATCTGATATTGTTTAAATCAATTATTAAAATCTAATTTAATACATTAATACTGAGTCAATAAAACGTTCTGTTCTGTCCAGTTAAACTGATTTGCATATAAAGACAGGAAAAGGCATTAAAGTTTTTTTAAGAATTCGACATGGGATTTTCGTGGAGAGCACCCTTTACTGCAGCTTACGAAATAGTCTGCTCTTTAAAAAACAGTAGTACATCGACCTTGCTGCATAAGCTTGTTGATAACCTACAAGCAAGTTTACAATGTACAACAATATCTTCTGAACAGAAACGACACCATTTGAGGCCTTTAAAAGCATCCTCAACCCTCTCGCGAGACCCACCTTTCACAGATTCTAGTGCCTTGGATGTTTTCCGTGGTGATATACGCTTTTGCAGACTTTTAAATACTTTCTCATCAACATGAGGAGACAAAAATTTGAGTCGTGACCTCACTTTGGAAGCCATATTGATTCCTACAGCATTTTTAGTACCCAATGTCCACTGCTCAGTAATCATTAGAGAAACCGCTGTTCGCTTGTCTCAATTTCGCACATTAAAACGTATGCTGAAATGCGAAAAAAAATGAAAAATTTATGGATTAAAGCTTTCAGTAGTGACTTTATTTTATCGCGTCTTCCTCTTTCCACAAAAGCTGGTTCGTATTTGGACTAAGTATCGATTCCCGAAACAGACGAGCTGGACGAGCCCTCGCTACAAGTAGGTACACTTCATTACTACTTGCATGACATATCCACGGGAATGCTGGGAAGGATCAAAACGTTTTTGCTTGTAGTTTGCTCGTGGATCGTACCTGGAATGAGACAAAATATCTGCAAAAGCAGGGGAATTTCGAAATCAGACATTTAATCGAGCTATATTACAGGTAATAAACTCCACCTTACGCCATGCCACGGATCATAATCAAAGGAGGGGTTTGGAGAAACACTGAGGTAAGCCTAATTTCCAGATCCTTGTTGCATGCGTATGTGACGATGGTAAACTCTTCACGATTGAGACTAAAATGTGAGATAATTTTAGTATGGATCTCCGACTGACTGTTAAAACAAATTTTATTTCGTTTCCTTCCTACAAGGAGTAGACAGCAAAGTATAAGTTCCATTCTCGTGTTTCATTTGTATTTTGAATTTAGGATGAAATTCTAAAGGCTGCTGTAATGAAATATGGAAAAAACCAGTGGTCCAGAATCGCGTCTTTGTTACATCGAAAGTCAGCCAAGCAGTGCAAAGCTAGGTGGTAGGTGTAGATCTTTGGTAATTTTTTTCGAAATGTACAGCCATTCATTTGAGAAGTGTCCTTTAGACCGCCAGGATCAGCGTTTTCAGAAGTCCTCAACATAGAGAGAGAGAGAGAAAGTAAACAAGATGGTATACACTTATTAAGGGTGTGAGTCAAAGTGTATGAACCAAATTGTCAGTAGTTTCATTGTTTGCCTGCTCGTATGGTGCTCTGTCACTAGTGACTGTGCTGTCTGATGTGTTGGGTTTTTTTGTTATTTATCAGGTACGAGTGGTTGGACCCCAGCATTAAGAAGGTAACAAAGCCAATTTAGTTAAATCAACTGATTTTATAAGGAAAATTTGCCTCCACAAATAATTTAAAAGCTGAAACTTTGAGCATTAGCCCTTTGTCAGAGCTGTGACAAAGAGCTAACCCTCCAAACATCAGTTTATTAACCCTTTACAGTGGCCAATTTACAGTAGCAAATCAGTTGATAACACCAAATCATCTTGTAATATCCCCTCCCCCCCCTCCCCCACCACCAATGCAACACCATAGTTCCTTCAGAAAGTTACATCAACACATCAACAATATGATAGGAATCAAACATATTGATACTAAACCCAAGCAATTTTTATGTTGCTGAACTTTTGTTCTTGGATTATGTACATCAGGCTCTCTTTTGAGCCAAGTATATTGGGAAGCTTTTGCATGGGTTCTGAAACTGATGTGAAGAACATTATGAAAAGTTGCATGAAAAAATGGGAAATGTTTATTTTAAGCTGGGGCTTTAGATGTAAACAGGGATTTGCTTTTAAACTCTCAAATTCCCTAAAAGTGTATCATGAGATTTCAGAAAAGTTTTTCACCAAATTTGTGGGATATACATGATGTCGCTAGAAGATTGAACTTGGTCACTTTCCACAAGTTGATATGAGCATGCATGTCTTATCTCTTCTGTTCTCTTCAGAAACTACTGTTTGCCTTTCTCTGGGACACAAAGTTAGAATATCTAGATTCTTTTTGATTTCATGACCTGTAAGAGCCAGAATAACTTTTATTACTGTTTATTCTTGCCATGAACAGACTGAGTGGAGTCGTGAAGAAGATGAAAAGCTGCTTCATTTAGCAAAGCTGATGCCAACACAATGGAGAACCATTGCTCCTCTCATTGGTCGCACAGCATCACAGTGCTTGGAACGATATGAGTTCCTTTTGTAAGCCAGTTTATTTTATTGATTCAGATATAAGCTGAGCAATTTGGGCTGAAATTAGAGCAAGAGTAGAATTAAAATTGAGCTCTAGAGGTGATCTTGGTCTATGGCAGAGAGTTTTTGATAAAAACAATTTTCCAGTGCATTTGAACAATACCAAAGGGGCATGTATTCACTCACAAGCTAAGCTATATTAAAGAAAAACAAGAGAGAATCTTTTACTTTCCACCATTACCATTAACCAGGTACAATACCTGTTTGAGTGGATTGAGTTTGGTTTTGATTCTCTGCCTTAATGGAAAAATTTTCCCACCTTCTCCCATTTTCCCCTCCCTGCAAAAAATATCCCTTGAAACTCAACTGTGCTGGAAAACAGTTGATGAAGAATTTCTGTGGGATATACACGGCAGCTGATTTGTAGTTATTTACTTAGTCCTCTTTTTATTCATTTATTTCTCAGAGATCAAGCTCAAGCTAAAGAAGGGGAAAAAGATGAAGGTGATGACCCACGCAAACTTCGCCCAGGAGAAATTGATCCCAATCCTGAGACAAAGCCAGCAAGACCTGACCCTATTGACATGGATGAAGATGGTACTTGATAACTTTCTTTTTAAGATCTCTTACAATTTACTTATGTGAGACAAAAGAGATGTACGTTTAGATTATATCAATGGTCAGTTCATGTAACTGTTTTCATAAAGTTTCTTTGTTTTTTGTAATGATCAGAGTTGGAAATGCTGTCTGAAGCAAGGGCTCGTTTAGCTAATACTCAGGGTAAAAAGGCCAAGCGGAAAGCTAGAGAGAAACAGCTTGAAGAAGCCAGGTGAGGTTGGAAACAGGAGTCTAAGAATTGATCATACAAACTTTGTTTTATAACATAGCCAATCAAATTTAATAGTTTATTTATTTATTTATCTTTTTTCTTTGTGAATTTATTTGAGTGAACATGCTCCATATTCTCATTCAGCATGCTTATGACGCTTATAATGATTATGTGTTGGCATTGAAGGGCAATAGAGGAATTGAATGACAGTCCCCAGAGGCTTATAAGAGCTTCCCATCAGTGGGGGGGGGCACTTGGAGCATTTACTGTACATGTGTGTATATGTACACTCTACAAACAGGTGTATGATATTTTGAATGATGTTTTTTTTAGGCGACTGGCTGCCTTGCAGAAGAGGAGGGAACTGAGAGCTGCTGGAATAGAGTAAGTTCATTATTACCAACAGTTTCCTACCATCTTCTTTAAATTCTTGGCCCAGTTGTTATTCCTTTTAATGTAGCCTTCCTATCAAGTTTGGGCTCTCATAAAAAATGTGTCAGCCAGCAATTGTCTGTTGCTTACTGTAAGATTCATAACCACTTACCTACTAAATTTTCTCCCCACTTTATTCCTAATTTTTTTCTTCATTTGTCAATTCCACCTCATTCAGGTTAAGTAAATGCCTTCTTCAAACATTTTCAAGGAAACTACCGTGAAGGATAGTTCCTATGGAGGGCAGAAACGATAGAATTACCATGAAGAAAATGAAACTGAGAAGGCTAATTCACATGTGAATTACTGTATAATATTCTCATGTACTCTTGACTAAGATATTTGTAATTAAATTTTATTTTTCAAACTTGAAGAATACGAAAACACAGAAAGAAAAAGAGAGGAGTGGATTACAATGCTGAAATACCATTTGAGAAGAAACCAGCTCAAGGTAGAGTACTGTTGATACATTCATGTAAAGTTTAAGATGTACTTATTTGAAAATCTTTAATCAGGGAGTGTTAGGGGTAACAACAGCATATTTCATAGACATGTACATGTAATTCACCCTGAGATCAAGCCAGCTTACAAGACTGGTACCTATTAAGGAGGTGAAAGAGCCCATCCCCCTTTTGGTGGCATGAAGAGATTATGCCTGTTGCTCCATTTCCACATGTTATTGTTTCCCAGCATTTCAGCTTCTTGGTGCTTCTCTCTTCTTCTTGATGGTGAAAGGCATTGTAACAGTTAATATTTCTGCCTAAGAACACAAGGCAAAAATGGGGCCAGGCACTGGACAAAGATTTCTTGATTCAAAGTCAAATGCACTGACTATTTGGCCACCATCTACCTTTTCCTGCCCTCCCCTGCCCTGCCCTTGAATTGAGCATAAATAATTAAGTTAGAAACAATGTACTCCCCTATTTTAAGCATGATAGGTAAAAGAAATTTTCAAACTGATAGAGCAACCCTTTTAGCTGTTGAATTTTCAAGTAATAAAAGTTGCTAGAGGTGGTGAATTTTTTCTGGTTAGTGCCTGAAAAGGAGAACACTTTTGTTTTGACTGTTTCAATTGACAATGGCAGTGATAAGGAGGTTGACAATGATGATGATATATTTATTCATTTATATTTTGGTAGGTTTCTATGACACAGCTGAGGAGGAACTACCTGACTATCAGCCAGATTTCAAAAAACTTCGTCAGGATCATCTGGATGGTAAAATGAGAGATGATGTTGAGCAGGTGAAGATCGATTTTCACTTCCCAGATTTAGTTATATTCAGTAGAGTCAAGACAAGACAGCATCCATTTCTACTGTAGAATCAAAAAGTTAAAACTTTTTGTTCAAATCAAACGTATAGAAAGTGGGTAGTCTTCTAAAATTACTGGGTGCCCTCCATTTATGAATAGTAAAAAAATAAACAAGTGTGAAAATTGGCTTTACTGTGATTAACGCTGCAAGGAGTGAATCGTGATGATGAACCTGACCCTTTTATCTCCATAGTCAACAGATAAATTCTCCTTACCAGTCTCCATACATATTATTGTAACAGCTATGGTGAGAATTTGTCAAAGATCAGGACAGCTTCTCTTTTGTTAGCTTGTCTTGATCCTCTTGAGTTTTTCTTGAGACAATGTCTTGATAGTGTGCCCAGAAATTTATGCTGATTATTTTTGGGCTTAAAGAGAAAATCAAACCTACGTATTTAAAATGAGCCCATGGATTTCTTCATTTGACTTCATTTTACAGCAAGAAAGAAAGAAAGACAGAGAGAGGATGAAAAAGCGAAAAGAGACAGATCTTCCAGGAGCTGTGATGCAAATTAACAAGTAAATATTATGGCTTTGGCAACTGCTGGCTTGATTTTAATAACTGCAGCTGCTAAGTTGATGATGAGGTTCTGTTTAAACTGTAACAATAAGAAGTGCATCAATGGCAGCAACATCAGAGGTTAAGGATGATGTTTACAAGAAAGAGCAAAGAGTTAAATCTAATACTTTCCTCTCTGCTTTCAACCATTTGTACAAGTCAGGCATACCAAATATTCAACTTTGTTGTGAACATGAATTTTTTTTTATTCTTTCAGTGTTGATCTTCAAGATTAGAGAAAAAGAGAGCATTCTTAAGCATCATGCTTAAACTCACCCATAAAAGTGTTGACAGCCAAACAACATCAATTCCCCCCCCCCTCAAAAATAGCAAGACTGAAAATATCAAAACAGAAAAAAACAACAGGAATTTGGCAATTAACAAAAAGCATCAAAACCAAAAGCCATGACAACAATTTGCAATCAGCAGCTGTGACTATTAACAAAACCTTATTTGCAACAATATTCTCCACTCTATCTCATCTGAGAAAGTAAACAACACCCCCCCCAAAAAAAAAACCCACAACAATACTACCATTACAATTTCACAAACATAAACCATGTGCTGATTTTGTCCTCATTGCAGACTTCATGATCCAGACTCAGTAAAGAAACGTAGCAAGCTTGTTCTTCCCAAACCTCAGATATCTGATACAGAATTAGAGGAGGTTTGTAATTTGAATGATCTTCATATATATCTGTTATGTTCACAAATTCACACCCTGCAAAATCTGTTGTCTTTTTATTTTTTTTAGATTGTGAAGATGGGCCAGGCAAGTGAGACAGCTCGGTTATCAGTTGAAGACAGTAACATGGCATCCAATGCCCTTCTGAGTGAATATTCAGTTACTCCTGCGGCAGCCCATGCTCTGAGGACTCCTCGAACACCTGCTGAACAAGATACAATTCTGCAGGTACTACATGGAGGGTTTCTACTATACACTGTGCACTGTGAAAATGTTTTAATTCATGCTGATCTTGGAGATTTGTTCCTGATTTGCAGTAATAAGTTACCCCTGTGTTTAATCTATGAGAAGAGAAATATGGGTACTGGCAGGGTTAGAGACACATTTTTCTTAACCTTTTGTTATTCCTTTTGTTTCTTCCTCGTTACTGTTCTGCTGTAAAATTTGCAAAAAATTAGTGCCCAGCAGAAAAATCAGTCATCTTGAGCTGCTAAATTAAAATTCCTGCAAAATTTTGTTCCAGTGCTCATGGCTTACATTTATTTTGTGGTTGATAAACTGAAACAATAAATTTTCTTGAATCCCCAACACTAAAGCATGTTGTCACGATAAATGAATCGTTAACCAACTTGCTTTGCTCTGTTCATCAGGAAGCCCAGAATATCCTGGCTTTATCTAATGTGGACACTCCTTTGAAAGGGGGTATGAACACACCCCTCACTCAGAGTGACTTTGAGGGTGTTACCCCAAAACACCAAGCTGTTCAGACACCAAACATGATGCTAGCAACACCATACAGGACACCTCAGGGAGAGAGTGGGGGTGAGTGTCGCAAGTTAAGGACCACTCTGTACTTGGAGTGGTGCATACAGTGATTCTTCAAGTCCTTTTTTACATCTGCACAAAGTTATTTCAGTAAAGTAAGAACCACTCTCTTGAACGCTCATTTAAAATCTCACTCATTTACTATCAGCTCTCTCAAATCACTGCTGTCTCGAAATGTTGAAAACACCGAATAATTAATTAGACATTTTTAGTGTGTATGACTTTGTAAACTGTCTCTTATTTTTGTTAAAGAGGTAACACACTTTACGTAAAAATTTAGTTATCTACAGAAAGTACTCTTTTAAGGTCAATTGACGATTCCAGTTTGTGACTCGATAGAATACGCAAATAAATGAAAAGAACAATTCTCTGCGTTTTCTGTTTCGTCTGATGTACCATGCGTAGCTTTTCATTCGACCGTAAATTGTGTTTTGTGTCCTCAGGCGTCACTCCTCATAGCATGGCTGGTACCCCTCAGAGGGGAAGCTCTGCCACACCAGGGCGTGCATCTGTGAGAGATAAACTGAATATTAATCCAGAAGAGTCGCTGGAGGAGTATGAAGCAGGTTACAGAGCCAAAGAACAACAGGTAAGAATTCTCTGACGGGTTCGCGCTAGACTTCGGGTTGAGAGGTCTGGGTTCGAGCCCTAGCTGGGTCGTTGTGTTGTGTTGTGTCTTTGTTTTTCGTGATTGTTCATGCAGGAAGAGCTAAAGCTCATTTGAGAGCGGGTTTAGCATAATTTCCCTCTCCCCTCTCCACTCATCGCGCTAATCATGTTTACAGGACTTGTTTTTCGTGAATGCTACATAATGCAAACTGTATTGTGTTCATGCAGGAAGAACTGAAGGCTCAGTTGAAAGCGGGTTTGGCATCACTTCCAGCGCCTTCTAATGACTTTGAGATAGTACTACCTGAGGTGAGATGCTTTTCTTTCTTTTATTGTACCCATACTTGGGTTATGTTCAGCGCTGTAGAGATTTCTTTAAAATAGTTTTTGATGTGATCGTTTCAGTTTGGTATTTACCCAAGCTATGACCAGAAGCCTCTTCATTTTTTTTCCTTTGGCAATGTTTGCTTTCTGTTTATTTTTTTGTTTATTTTTTTATTTATTTCTTTTCACCTCCTTTGATTTTACGCGTTTCCCAAGTCGAGTAGAGTATGTAACATGAAATTTCTTCTGTTACTAACAGACCGCTGAGGGTGAAGTAGAGGAGACTACAGATAATGGTTTCGTTGAAGATGCAGCAGATGTCGATGCCAGGAAAATGGCCATGAAAGCTGCCGAAGGTTTGGAACTAGACACTTATCTAAGATATTCTTTTTTCGATTTGTGAGCGTTAGATTTAATCACCAACGATTGGCTTAGACTCTCCGAGCATAATTTGCCCTACTTGTTTTTAGTTTGATTTTTCAGAGTATAAATACATGTCTGTTGTTGTTTTGTTGAATTTTTTTACAGAACTTAGAGAATTAAAACGGCGGTCTCAGGCCGTACAGCGGGACATGCCACGCCCATCGGACGTTAACGCTACTGTTCTAAGGCCGGCCAATGTTGAACCACCCCTCACAGGACTACAGCAGGTAGAAAGAGGAAAGACTGTAGTAAATGTTTAAACTAAACACTTTGTTCGCTCGGTTTGGTCCAGTTTGGTTCGGTTTGCCAATTACTAACATACTTTCGGTAAAGTTCGGTCGCTCTTTTTGCTCGTTTGTGCCCTCTATGAGTGGGTTAATTCGCTGTTGCGTTGGTTCGCTCGTTGGTGACGGGTTCGTCGGTTTACTACATCTTTTGCTCTTGCACTCTATTAATGTCCTATTGTCGTGTCAAAACAGCGAAGTTTCGCGAACAACACTCCCATGCAGTTACCCTCAGTCAAGTCGCATTTCTCTGAGCTCTTTTAGCAAAAGAAGACAGAGAAAAAGAAAACACTGCTATGTTTGAAAATCTTTACGTGTCAAATTAATGCTTTGCGAATTTTCTGCGTTAGGCGGAAGAACTCATCAAACGAGAGATGGTGACCATGATTCGACATGACGTCGTCAATCATCCAACAGCTCTACAGATCGAAAACTTGACTCACAAGAAATCCAAGAATTCTGCGCAGGCTGTTATAGCAGCAAATCAAGCGGCTCTTCAAAATGAACCTTTGGAATCGTTTTCAGAGAAAGAGATCGGTAACGCGAAAGAGCTTCTGGCGAAGGAAATGGAATTCGTCAAGTCTAAAATGGCTCATGGAGATCTGCCCATTGAGAGCTACACTAAAGTGTGGGAAGAATGCTACGCTCAGGTACGGCGATTTAATCATCGCTTTTTTCAACACCACATAGTTTAGCTTGTAAATTCGTAGTAACATAAAAGTATGACCTGGATCCTGAAAATTAGTTTGTTAAGCCCCTGTAGAGTTATCTTTTGGCTGCCCAATATAACAGTGAGCGTAACTACAGGGGTAGCGAGGGACAAGTTTTGAACTGAAATATTGGTGTTTCACTATGTCTCCTTTGCAGCCTTGGTTATTTTCCGTCACGCAACGCTGTTTGCGAAAGCTTTTTTCGCGACGAGATAACACAATAGCGGCGAAGGAGACTGATGAACGGACCCCACCAACAACGTTAGAAATGTAGTTGATGCGCTAGGCTGTGAAAAGGATTCTAAACACTTCTCAGCTACGAAAAGTCTTTGCAGAGAAGGTTGATTTTGAGCTTAGTCATCTTATTAGGGCTAGGGTTAGATGCACAAGTGCTGTCAAGTCTTTAAAGTAAGCCCCCATGTGTGTCCATTTAGTCGAAAGATTCGGAGCTGTATATTAATCTCTATTAAAGAGGTTCCATTTGTCAAACTAGACTGCTCGTGTCTCCGACAGGTTTTGTTTTTGCCGACACAGCAGCGATATACAAGAGCTGCTTTGGCCAGTAAGAAAGACAGGCTGGAATCCTTGGAGAAAAAACTTGAGGTAAGAGACTGCATCGTCTTTGTAAATGTATATTGCTATGTAGACTGTAGAAGTTATTACATAAGTACAAGAGAATATACAAAAATGAATAAATATGCTGTATAAAAGAATGAACTCGAAAGACATACACGGAACTATTTTAACTAAAATTATGCAGATTCCAAGTTCGCGGCATGTCACTAAGACAGTTCTTTGCACGTAGTATTGTAGTCGCACGGAGCATGATAATTACGGTACACAACAGAAGCTAAACGACAAATTTTTTCTCTATCTTTTTCTTTTGATTACTGCTAAAGATGAACCGAACACACATGACAGAAGACGCGAAACGTGCAGCCAAAGTTGAGAAGAAACTGAAAGTTCTTCTCGGTGGCTACCAGGTAAGAACATACTCTGTTTCTGTTTGATTTTACTTAATACGTTTTAAACCATATTTCGCTTGACGCCTCGTGACCAAATCCAAAATCGTCATAACGTTTATTAGTGCACAGAAAATTTTAGAACTTAAAGAGAAAAAAAAATCGAACAGCTTTAATTGGAGCGAACGATTAAGGATTGATTTTGATTGGTTTCCGTTTTGATTCTGATGGGTAGGCAGGTCCATGCTAGATTTCTTCTTCAATTTCCGGGCTAAGAAAAGCCATACTGACACAATCCAGGTTACTTCCCTTACTGAATTGCTTAATTGAAGTCTGAAAGGGGACAAAAAAATGAATTTTAATCAGTTTAAGTAACCAAACATCCAGTATCTTTGCAAATACCAAGACGGACTTTTTCTAAAGAAAGGAATGGCATATGGCAGTAATGTGCAAGTTTGTGCTTCTTTAGTCTTTCCAATTCTTTTGTCAGTGAGCCTGAAAACTTTGAAGGCTAAAGTTTACATATTAATATTTTCTATGGACAGAAATATTAGGGAGTTATTCTCTCAGCGTTTCGGTCTGATATATATTTCCTTGCAGACCCGAGCTGTTGGTTTGACGAAACAGATTAACGATCTCTACGAACAAGTTGAACAGGCGCACATGGAGAAAGAAACTTTCAGTTCCCTGAGAGAACATGAACTGAGAGCTATTCCCAAGAGAGTTGAGGTAATAAGAAAGTGTATTATTTTCACTCCTAATCTAAACTTATCTTGTTGTCTGGCCAAAGGGTAAACCTTTGTGGAAATATTGGGAAGGACTTCTTCCCTCCCTTTCCCCCCCCCCCCAACCCCCTTATCTCAACTCTTACATGTATCTCTCGTCGAGCGTCCAACTTTATTGATATCCAAGGAATCTTGAGTCAAGGAACACTTTTATTGCCCAGCTTGATTTCACGATTTTTGGTCAAAGAAACTCTTGTACGACGTTGTGTTTTTATTCGCCATTTTAAGTTCCACGACTGGAACTGCACACACTTGTGTAAATGATAATCATTTTCTGGTGGGTAAGTGTTTAACATTTTAATCCGAACGTTCAAGAAGCCGTCATTGTCTTCATGGTTGAAAAAAAAAAGATTTTCTCCTGGAATTACCAATTTTTAATAATTGGAAGAGGTGCCTGAGGTAAATAGTATGATTTTTTTGGAAACTTGTGGAGTCCTCTACCGAGAGAGTTGTGAGTCCGATCCTTATATCTCCTTCCCTAAATTTGGGGGAGGGGGAGGGTTGGTCTGTGAAGGCTTTGGGAACCTTCTTTTTATTGCATTACATTACATTACATGGTGATTATTTTTTTCTCCTGTTTCCTTTCAGGCTCTGAGAGACGATGTGAGAAGACAAACCGATCGTGAAAACCAACTTCAAACTCGTTATTCCAACCTGCTGTATGAACGAGGCGCGACCTACAGTCAGATGCAACACCGCTGAAAATCCACTCTGTTTCTCTTGCGTCGTTTTCAGGGCATGAAGTGCCTTAGTGTCGAAGATTTTTTAACACATCTCAAAACGCAGACAACTTCTGACATTAACGTGCACTTGCAAATAACCGACTTGAAGATTTCTATCAAGAGAAACTTTGTTGTCATTGGAAATCTGTCTCTTGGAAGTTTCAATTTCGAAACTATTGTCACGCTGAAATGACAGTGAGGTGTTTTTGTCGAGCTACAGTCTCAGAATTAATTTAATTAATTAATAATCGAAGGGAGAACTAGAAATTAGACGTAGGGAATAAGTGAACACGAGACAAAGCACTTCGTCGCCGCCATATTTATTCACCTACACGGACGGTAACCCTTTGATTCATTATCGGTAAACCTCGTCTTCTCAGTTCGTTAGTTGACTCGACCCAAGCCTCCCTCGTTTATTTACTATCGCGCTTCGTTTTTCTAACTGAAAGCCTGAAACAGACTAGTCTTCTTGATACTGTAGTGACCAGACTAAATTTTTATGAAATAAAAGAGTTGTTTATTAATTTTATGGTGTTGTAAATATATTATAGAATTCCTTCACATACACGTAAGAAATACTCACCAATATTTAGTTATACTTTCATACAGCATTGCCTCAAAATTGAGACGAAACACTGTAAGTAGAAGAATGCAACTCGAACATTTCTTTATTTGTTTTAAATTAATTGTATATAGAATTGGATTCAGTGATTTTAAACGTCGTTATATTTTTTAATATTTAGTAATGCACCTAACAACAGAACAAATGACAGTCATTATAAACCTTGCTTGCGCTTAATGATAAAACAGCCTTTCTTGTCTCCTTGTTCGTTTCTCAGCTTTTTAAACAACAACTGCTTGCCCTGAATAAAAGCCGTCGAGAAACGAACAAGTCAAAACGATGAACTGGTCGACCAAACAGATGGTAAATTAATGAAAAGTTGATAGAAAAACTACAGCCCTCATTTGGCGCGAAAAGGGGCACGGATAGTTGCCCGCGGACGTTATCTGTCCCGAGATGCGTACAGTTTTGCGGGGAAACTGTGAACTTCGAGAAACAGGTTATGTCCGAGCTATCGTGTTTATTATCCTTCAAATATTTTTGCAACGCGTGGGTAAAAGGTTTGTGAACAGCTTACTGTTTGCCATGTGTGGAATGATAATTTTTTTTCTTAGTGTCTCTAGTGCGACTAAATGAACGAACAAAAATGTCCCTTCTTCTGTAACAATAGCTGAACGCTCTCTCACCTTTTCGAGTCACTTTTCAAGACGCAAGGTTTGAAAATTTGGGAATATTGCTTGGTTTATATCCTCGAATATTCCCCAGTTTTAGCTGAGGCGTATTTGATCAGGCGATGCGTTAAGACCAATCGCGCGCGAGCAAAACTATTTGATGCATTACAGTGATTAATATTACAGTCGATAGCACATAACAAAACAGTGTCTTTCAACTACCTATCAACTCTACCATCTCCGAAAAATGGTCTCGTTGTTGGTGTTTCTGTTTTCCTATTATGATAAGATTAATTTTTAACGAGTTTCTGTCATAATAGTGGCCCTCATGATTTAAATTCTTTTTCTTTTTCCTCGTATTTTTACGCAAGAAAATATTGAATTTACCAAAAAAGGATGAGATACATCTTATGGCTAAAGATAAAACTTGGTTACCTATGTCTGAAAAGATTTGTATTTTTTTACCAGGTTGCCGCCACTTTTCTTTACTTTCAATCAAAACAAAATGGAGTCGAATTTTACCGAGTACTTTATCGCTCAGGTACACTGTATGGGAACATAACATGCATATTTATTATAAGTTACTCATTTTATAATTACGTTAAGTACATTATGTGTCCTCATACACAACGTACCTACCGTTTTGCGGGCTTTCGGTGAAAATGATGGAATCAGAAGGGCCACAAAAAGCACTCTTGATTAGTTAATTAAAAGTCGACCTTTTCAAAATTCGTAACGCGTTTTTAAACTGTTTTTTAATCATTAACTTCGTAGTACGAAGAAATTTATAGTAGCTGTTATCAATGTGTTCTGTTGTATATTAAAATATAGTGGTATTCCATTAACAACTTCTACATTACACTAGTGACTTGGGAGACCCTTTTTCCGTGGGGCTCCCTCATTTACGTGGTCTTGGAACCACAACCTAGTCAGACGGTGGTTTGGTGTGTTTACTGCGGGACCGCTGACCCATTAATTTCCAGCCTGAAGGACACGTCAGAGCGCACTGTGGAACAGTACACTCCGTTTCGATGAGTGTCTGACAGTCCTGCGTTGTCTGGCCAGAGGACTGGTACCAATCGTTAAGCGCCTGGTTTAGGTTCTTCCCTTTCACTAAAACGTTCAGCCAGTCACTTTGGAGTAAAAAGAGCAAAGCAATTCAAAAACTTAACCACACTTATTAGCAGCAAAAAAAGTCGTATTTGACTGAATTTCTTATTACACCCCACAAATGCAGCGTGACCAGATTTTTCTGATTCATCGTAACAACATGCAATATCGCTATCGGTGGCAATGCTCAACGCCCGAAGCACGATCAGAAAGCGACAACTAAGTCACAGTAACAAGTTTTGGTTTTCGTCAGCAAGGATTTCAACAGAAACGTAACGAGAATAATTGATGGCGCGAGCCTTCCAATTTTCCAAGCTAAATATCCTTTTTTACCTTGTAAATGTTAAGATAGCGTGTAAATTTTGAAACATACTTACTTTTGATTGAGGATGCTGTGGAATATGCAAGATGGCGCAAATACCGCGCTGTAAAGAGACAAAGCAAAAGTATATATTTCAAACTTGTAATCAATAACAGTATATGGCTTGTTAACAGACATTCCCCGACCGACCGCGGATACTTTAAGCGTTGGTGACATGACGTTTCCTTTGTAAATACAACCTTAAATGGTCGTCGCCAGCAAGGAAATCCTTATAGCCTCTTTGAAATTCTCGTCAGTGTACGTCAACGTACTTTATAGGGCGGATTTAGACAGGGTCCTGATTACTATGAATCGAACAAAAAAAAAATCCAAAAAAAAAATTCTCACCACGACAGTCCTTTGGTCCTATTGAAGGAGTTCCTTACTTCATTCCCAATGTAAGATACCCGGGCCTGCTCCTCATCAGATAACTGTCCTGGTCTCATAATATGCGCACCAATTGACCACACCAGTTGTGCGCTATCGTACAACCACTGGAAAACGAACAAGGGACCTGTTTAGAGGTAAATTTGGAGACTGTTTGAACGGGTTTTCTTTAAACCAGGAATAAAGGGAAGGGCAAAGTCACAGTTTGAGCAGGTTGAAAAATTAAGCAAAAATTTTACCAAAGTTACCATTTGTAATCCCCTTCGTCTCACTCCTCTGCTCTTATTGTTTGTTATGGGTTTGCATTGTAACTTCGCTTCTTCTGTTTTTCTTATTTAAACGTAAATTTTCTAATGCGCTGAAAAATAAACTCAAATGTCCAGAGCCAAAACCAGCGTTTTCAAGTATGTCCTCATTGAGGAGCGTTTTCGAGAAGCTCCGTTTCAATGTACAGTTCGTCAGGATCGGTGCGAAGAGTAGGCCCAGCTGCTAGACTAATGATTTTACTCTTCTGAAGTTTTCATTCACACTTCTCGTACCCTTGAGGCAGTTAGATGAACGTTTTTAAATCATTTTTTTTTCAGTTAGACTTACTATGTTTCGGAGACTTATCATCTGTACGATACACCTGTTCACCAAAGAAGCATTTCCATTTTTTCTGAGGATTTCTTCTTGCGCAATCGTCAGGTACAACGCCTCTCCAATAACTGATAAACAAAAACTGAAGCTATAAATAAAGCTTTTCATTCTAAAAAACCTTTAAAAATAATATATGAAGGCGCCAAGTAGAACAAAACACCAAGCTTGGCCCTACCTACTTAACAAGGCGCAAGTGATTCATACCTGCACGTGCAAGTGGTGATTAACGCGCGAAGATTAGAGTTACAACTATATTTGATCTTTCGCGCGAGTCTCACCAGCGTTCTAGCCAAGAACCTTTTACGCAGTTTACGTGTTTACTTACGCTATTGCCATTTTGGTCACGTTTTCTTGGATTTTAGCTCTCTGGCAGTGTTTTCCTCCTGCAGGACACGAAGGAATGTCCAGGTACCAGCCGGAATCAGCCAGGCCTCGAACATCGATTTTAAATCCACCCGTCTGGAGCCTTTTGGCAATCCTGTCCAAGTTGAGAATCACGCCGATACCACCAGCACTAAGGACGAAATAAGTGCGAATCATAAATATTAGATTTTTAAAGAAAGACTTTGTTGGTGTGGGAAATAGCGAGGAGCAAAGAAAGGTTTTGAGTTCCCATAAGGAATCGAGCCCAGACCTTCGCATTCTGCGCTCCGTTGCCATAAAACTGTGCTACAAAGACCTCTGTGGTGAGTTAGGGCATGACTGAGTTCAGATGTTACATGAATTCAGTACACTGCAAATATTTATTAAGGGAATGGCGCGAGTATTTTAGAGCTAATCACAGGGCGAGGAAAACGAAAACCAATGCAATCTCATACTATTCCCAACACTTGATCACACCTGTATGCTGGTCCTATTCACTGGTTTATAATTTATTCTGAGGGAACATGCTTAAGACCCACTCAGAAATTCACCCTTCCAATTGAAATAGACCTGGTCTAAGCCTTGACAACTAAGTAGTTTTCTAAGTTAACGAAAATATGGCACTGAGACCAGAATACCTGCTTCCTGCTAGAAGAACACGTTCGGCATGTTCCAGACCCTTTGACATCAGCTCCGTAAACACCCTTTCCAATATTCTGCTTCCGACAAAAGAGAATCGCTCTGAAAAACACGACGTAAAAAGGTCTTGTACCTGTGGTATAGGATTGAACACGCCATCGAATAATTGTGGGCAGTTAACCCTTTGACCCGATGGAGTGACTGAGATCTAATTTCTCTTTACAGTATCACCCCTAAATCACACATATAAGTCACGAGAGTAAAAGAAATGATCAGCAACTTAAGAAGCCCTTTATTGTCAAACAAATTATCCTTCCAGTATGGAGAATATGCATACTGATGTTAGGGCGTGAAGGGTTAAGACTGATCGTAGAACCGGCTGTGATGAAATCTTTAAAAATCTCACAGATGTAAAACTTGAGGGGACTCAGTCTTAACTTGTATTTAGTTATTGAGACATTTCGATGTAATTTAAGGGTAAAGGAACAGGTTAGTACCTCCTGTTTCATTTGCTGATGCGTTGCCAATCCATGCGTCACTTGAGCAGTACGGTACATACCTGACGACAAAATAACAAACATTGATAACTTTTGTTTACAAGTAAGAACGTCGGTCATGAATACACAAGCTTCTTTCCCAAATGTTAAAGGAGGCCTGAATTCTGCCAGACTGCGCATGGGCATAAGCGGCGAAGAGAGATTCGAGCCGGTGAGCAAAGCCAGCGAGTGAGAGGTTTTCAAGGGGTCGGGCACGAAAACTAACAGAACCCTCGCACCGCTTCGTGCACCCTCACATCGCTCGTACGCGTTCGAAACGCACGCACCTCGCCGCTCGTGTTGAAGCGCCAAAATGATCCTACTCACAAGCCAGATTTTGCGTGTTCTTAATTTGAATATGTCAATCCTGTCCATCCCTTATCAACTCTCTAATTCCCATGGAGGACCAAGACAGAATTTCTCCTTACAATATCAATACAACATCAAGCAGATAAGTGATGAGAATAAAGAAAAATATCAATCAGGAGATTATCAATTGATCCAATACCAAATTCTCCAAACTAACATCATAAGATTTGTATGGCAGACAGTGAAGAGAGCTACTAATGACATCTTGGTGTTTATGATCTCTTCACTATTAACTCTCTTGCTTTTATTACCCGACTCCACGATTGTTTCATCGTCTTCTTCTCTCCAAATGAAATAATCATTTGGCTGAAATGACCGCAAAATATTTATACGCAGCTCTCAAATCCTCTTCTATTAAAGAATCGGGTAGAGAGGTGACTCTATAACTCGCGAGGTTTCTTCGCAGCTTATAATTTAATGACATGAACTTTCTCCCTAACCTAATACCTTAGCCCCGGTTGCACAATGAAGGATGGTTAAAAAAAGGTTAATAAATATGAAAATCTTACACATGATTTGCATTCCACCAGGTTGGATTTAGGTGTTGTTTCGTTGAGAGTATCCCGGAGCCTAACAAACAAGACAATACAGCACAAGAGATCAGTAAACAAGAAATGTTTTCTTTCTTTTTAAAACCTTATGAAATCATCAGAAAGATAAGTCGGAATCGATCTTTTAAAGCTGTGTCAACTTTTTGATAGATTCACAGTCCGGCTGTCGTGTCAGGCTATAGTTAGGAGCTGACTTAACCACCAGGGGGGGTATATTTTCCTTCTAAAAAAAACCTTTCCGTAATAAATGTAACTCGCTTAATATGCCAACCAAATTTAGACGGATGTTCCCCAGTGGTGATTGTTGTTGAAGTGCAGTCAATTTCAGGGGAGACAGGCTATATCTTCGTGCGTGTTAAACATACTCCATCTGACGCCAGGAAATTTCACGTCGTCATCTTACATATATGATGGAGAACCATATTAGAAAAGGTGACGCGCTTTTGCTCACTGGCCAATTGGTTTTTTTCAACGTTTTTGCTACAATACTTTCTGCTTTATTGAAGTTCTCGTGATTTTGCACATACTCCGCGCGCGTTGCATGAATTTGAAGGTAAAGAACTTCCAATCCCTGCACAGGAAGTCGAAAATTCGCGACACGGCTTAGGTTATTTTTAGGTTCTCTTAGGGACTCCGTTAAGGAAAGTAAAAGGGGATTACCAAGAAATAATACCTATCTAGGGGATACATTTTCTTTAATTGATCCTTTCTTACGAGTATCCACTCTCTGTAAAATTGCCAGGGCATTCCATGTAGGATAAACATTTGCTTGGATACTTTCAATCGTTTTATGCCGCAGAAAAAAAAAACGACACACACAGCGGAGAGTTTTCCGCCTTGGAATCTAAAAGAAGAGAGTCTTTTACGTTATACCTTCCTTAACAGGGTTCCACCTAGCAGAAGACATCAGATGAGTCATATCGGAATATCTCGCTTCGCAAGACTCTGCACTGGTACAGAATTCGCCACCTGGTGAGAAACAAGCAGAATAAATATCAAGGATTAGAAAGTTGATGATGAGGTATATTGTGATTTAAGGCCTTTCCACCTTAGGCAGCACGATTTTAGAACAGATTTGCTTTTGTGCGTGTTGACAAATAGAAAATAGAAACAGAAGCAGCCCTTGCATCCAAAGGAAAAAAAAATTCACAAGAAGGTGTGTTTAAATTAGGGGCTGTATGAAATACCTCAGCAGTCAAAACACACTGGGGAATCAACAGGAAACTGAAATTACATTCTATTTTTGGGAAGTTATGGTATTTTTGCAAAAGATAAGTTTTTAACTCGTTTCAATTGCTTTTTGTTTTCACTGTGTGCTGCTAGCAATCGAAGAGTAGAACCTCCGCGGATGATATCATAGCAACAAAATTGAGAACAGATCTTAAAATTAAAAAAACCTAAACAAAAGCGGCCAGAGCTTGTACAGTATCTAAGCTCCTTTATCTTTACATTCGAAATATTTGTTTCCCTAATGAATTACGGCACGAAGAATAAAACAGAAACTTGGCGGAAATACCAGCAACTGAGAGGATCAATTCAATTTCAGGGCTTCTAAGACAACGGTCTCAAATTATTCGATAAGCCGTATTAAAAACTTTCCGATAAATACAGAGAAATAACAGGAAATATAACTGAGAATCTGGACAGTTTGAAAACATATCAATTATGTGTGAGATACCAGCTCTTTAGAAACACTGCAATTCTCTTTTCAGCTGCAAATTATCCAGAGCCGCGTCAGAAAATAGCTCGTTATTTTAGCCTATCGCTAAGGACTTAATGAACCGTTCGCTTTAATGTATGTTAATATGCTATGTTCGGTTTTAGACAGTACTCTCTTTTAAAATTTTCAAAAAAAAGACCTCATTGTTTTAACGTGATCATGACATCTCCTCTTTTAGCCACGCTAAACAAGATAAAGGAAGAGGTTTTCGGCAAGCACATCCGCTCAGTCAAACGTCCGATTAAATTTTAGTTTCCAGTATCTATGAAACACTTGACAACATTTCTCGTTATTCTTTGGATGATAACTCTAATCCTATTCAAAGTACAACTGTCCCACGACATGTTAATCCTCTTTCTTACTTCAATTGAAGGTGAGAACTACGCATCAACGCAATGAACACCACCTTACAAGCATTTGTTATCAGCATTTTTCTAGCGTTGAACATTTATATATGAAAAGGACGACATTCCAAATTAAAAAGCGAATGTTCAACGCTTTTTTTTTGTTTGCTTTTTTTTACCGAATCGTTCCTTCTTAGTTATCCGTTTTCTTTACGTTCCTTAACCGCGTTTCTCGGCTCGGAGGATATGCATGAAGTCCGTTCGTAACATGTTTTCATTTTGATAAAGTTGTGAAATTCCCAACGTAGTTTCTGATTAGCGCACAGTGGACAAAATGCAGAGTGACACTAGCAATTTTTTTTTCAACAATCAGCAAACGAATTCCAGCTTTACATTCTGAGGAAAATTGTTTCGCGTGATCATTTACGCAAAAATTACCAGTATCGTAAAACGTTCACGCGATTGGCTTTCTTCCATCGAATGAAAATTCGACTTAAAGGTGTTCTTTCGTGAAGATAAAAAGACATGTTGATAGGTTATTTTGGTAAAATGTTGATGGAGGCATTTTAGGACGCAGATATATTCTTTATTAATCTTGTCCAATCTATTTAAAACTCGGGTGAGGGAGTAAGGCTTAGTCAAAACTAAAAATATACCGACTGAGTTATATTTACCCTCCAAATACACAATCCACCTTTTACTACCATGAGCTCTTCTCAAGTAATACCTGCAAATAATAAAAAGAGGGGAACAATTAGGATAAAATAATTCGTGAAAAGATTCACGAAAACTTTCCGTGGTTACGTTGTTTATCACAGTAGACTACTTTGACCTGATTTACTTCAGCAGACATATCTTCTAAGCTTTCAATATCGGAGTAAAAAAACATTCAATTAAATTTTAAATGAAGATTAGAAACTAGATGTAAATAGCACACGATTGCACCTGATTGCCTCTGCGTAAAGCTTTGTGCAAATGTCTCAGAGTTGTGGCTAATCTAAGCAAGCCGATGTATTATGGCATGCCACGTCAATGGTAAGTGGTAAAGCCTATGTACGTGAAAATGGTCCGAAGGACTGAAGTGCCATCCCTCATGGGGACTCGTATCTTTTCCTTTGCTGGTGTCCCGAAAAATGACTTAGATCTTACTACATCCCACGACCGAGTTCAAAAGTTGCCATTTTTTGTCTGGCCTTAATCAAGTTCAATCAAGTTCATATTGCATGTAGCAGTTACAGAAATCAAACTTTACTTAAAGATAATTTTGAAAAATTTTGATTTGCCACTCTATGAGTGGCGTTTTCTTACTACTGATATCTTTGTTGATTTATTTGCTCTCGATTTTATTTTCATAACTTAGTTATTTGTACTATGGTCGGCTTAGAGCCAAATTCTGAAAATGACCCGAATGCAAACATGGTTGCGTGGAACTTAAAGACGAATTCAGTGCGCAGTAAAACTTACGACTTCCAGTTCATTTTGCTGGAAAACCACACCCTTTCTAATGGTGAATGAAACTCAGAATAGATATAGAATGAGGATAGGTAATTTTTGGTTCGGTCGAAAATTAAAGAAAAATGTTTGTTTTAATACAAAGAAGGTCTAAGCCTCCCTCCCCCCTAAGAGGATTCAAACCACAAACCTTCGGATTCAGCGGATGAACATTTCATACCTCTGAGTCACAGTTAAAACGAAGTCTCTTTGAAGTTAAACTGTATTTTTTGGATTAAAGCGAGGAGAGATCACATTTTTTGTTTATCCTCTCTGATATATAGCCTTTAGATAGTCGAATTTTAACTTAGCACTTGGCAGAGATATTAATTTTTTTCTCCATTTCATTTCAATGGTTTAGTTGACCTCTTCTTGATTGCTAAGGCTGTCTTAATGTTTGAACATCTAATCCTTCAAAGGACTTGAAGTTCCTGCCATTAAAATTGTTAAAATAGTTTTTTTTTCAACGTTATAAGGCATATGGAGCGTTTAAGAAATTTAATTCAGAATGGAAGAATTAATTCAGAATTATCAAATTAACAGCGTGATAAACAGGGCCGGATTTGACGATGACAGTATGGAGGAAAATTACTATACACAGGAAACTGTAACGGAATCTATCGCTTTGTTCACTGTACAGTAATTACTGTAGCATTTGTAAACAAGACCATGTATGGATGTTTTTCGTGAGATTGAGCAAATTCGTCAATCAGTACTATTGATAAGTCGTGAACTTGCTAACTAAAGTCCAATCAACAATTGAATACCACAGATGCTGACAATCAACGAATGCACGAAACCAAGAAAGTAACTAAGGCGCCTAAATAGAGTATTTGACCAAGAGGAGGCAAACAAACTTAAGTCTACCAGTATTTGAAAAAATAAATCTTAATAAGAACCCTTTCGAAAAGTTTTAGATATTCTAAAACACATTTTCAATGCTGTAAATAAGTAGGAAGGATTTTGTGTTGGAGCCAACCACACGACAAAGAAGAATTGTCGTCTTTTCCATTTTAACTGTTAACATCTGTTCTTTGCATGGAGTTTCCTGAGAGCAAGGTTGACTTAAAAAGTATTCGGCTTTTCATCAAATTTCATAAATTGTGAATCAAAAAAAATTCCTATAACTTTTAAATTTTGCCTGATTGCACTGAAGTAATGACGTTATTATTCCTTTTGAAGGGTTGAACTGAATAATTACTTAAGGAAGTAAAATGAAAGTGCTGCGCTCTCTTCACATAAGGTCAATTGAGTTGTCTTGTTTGTATCCTTTGACGACTCCATATCGCATTAAGCTGGCATAAAATCAAAATTCCCACTTAATTGAAATGCTGGCAACGAAGAACTGCAAGAGTAAAATACTGGCAACGTTGATATGTAAGAATCTGAATTCTTTAGTTTCCTTTGATTTTAATCTTGTTGAGTTCGACAGGAAAAATTTTCCGGAAAGCACGTTGTAGCAACGTGTTGGTTATCATTGTTTTAGCACTGATATATTCAAATCTGTACTTACACCCTGAAAATGTCGATTTTTCTTTGTTATCAAAAACAAGTATTATACATTTTCTGATCAGACAGGAGTTCTTTAATTTGCCTCTAGAAACCTCGGCTTGGATCATGCAGTGAAATAAGGACATTCATAAACTTTTGTAAACTGCTTAGAATATAACTCAAGTCTACTTATTTTCGAATAAAACCGATAGATCTTGCAATAAGTTTGGCGGTTGAAGCCACTCAGGACTTATCTTCTGATTCCAAAGTCAACCTTTCTTCACATAATATGATTGCGTAAACTCCCTCTTAACCTGAGTGTAATTCCATCAGAGCTTGGCATGCGCGCGGCCATTGATACGTTTGGGCGTTGAGTTGGTCAAGGAAAACTATCTTTCGCGAAAAGCTATGTAACATGAATGTAACGTTTGAGGATTAATACTACACAAACCTGTGAAAATTATCACACATTATGCATAGTAATTCTTGTTTTGATCATTGTCACACAATGAATATTTCATCAGCACATGTATCGCTTTCTATCTCATACTTACCCTGCTGGTGTGCCATCGTTGCATGTGACATTCCTATCGGTAAGATGATGCAACCTCATCATGAATATATCGCGCGACAAGTAACACTTTTTAGCCAGGTGAACGAACTGATGCGACAATTCGTTCCACGATTCTTGCTGAAGGTCTATGCTGCAGTCAACGAGCGGAACACTCAGAAACGCCCAGAAAAACACCGTTGTAAAAACAAGGAACTGCAGGGGAAAATACACACAAGAAGGAAAAAGTGATTGTTTTCATTTGTTTTCTAAACGTGGTGTGATTCAAATATATATGCAGAGCTTTGAGTCGTTGTGAGAAAGTCAGACACGGATTTTATGAATTGTTGAGCAAAACGAAGGTTTAATAGGCCCAGACGGGTTTTTCTTTCGAAAATACCATTTCTTCCGCAAATATCACTTGCGCAAATACAACTTTCACCGATATCACATAAGTTGCTCTATAAATAAACGTAGTTGCTCTCTCAACTTATTTTTGCCACGGCTTAGAGCGCACATTCATCGTGTGCAAACAAATTAAAGGTTCAACATAATTGATTAAGTGTTCACAATTGTGACAAATTAGTAACCTAAATGCGTTTAAATAAAACAACTTTCGAGAACTGCTCATTTTGATCCAAAACAACCTAAGATAAAGTTTGAAGAAAAGACTGAACACCAAGAACTACCTTGAAGAATTTACTCACCATTTTCAAGTGGTTGTCCTTTTACACTGCAATCGAATTAGTCTTTTAACCTGAAAAAAAAATGCCCCAGCTTCAAAATAACTGGTTTTTCTTCCACAGCGTTCGTTCTTCTATCACGACAAAAAAAAACTCGCTTTCAACTTAAGAATGAACTACCCAAGTCGATGGCAACGAGACGGCCAGAATTGATAAAACAGCGATGCTCAACTAGGCTATATAGTAGTGAACTCCGCACCCTATTGGACGCGGTAACTATAAAGTCTCATCCTAATTGCTCAATTATTAAACTTCATGACCGTGTGAACCGCAAAGTTAATTCTGGCCACTTCAATTACATACCCAAGCACGTTATTGGAGCAGCCGCTAATACTTAATGCAATGATATCCAACTAATACAAATATTTACGTTGCAATACCCCCATATTTTAATATTTTATTTTAATTGCTGGAATTAAACGGCAAACGCCAGCGCGTGCAAGACTTGGGGTGCGCCTGATCAAAACCTTGGTTATACCAGGAGCGAATTTGGTGCGTCTTTTTTTCCTTCAAGGCGCAAAACGTAGTTTTTTCTCGGTGAAACCAATTAAGCCTGTATGACCATTTCTCGCGTTCCTACCCACATGGGACCCGTTTGGCGGTTGATCAAAAGAATGGTTTAATTGTAACCCGCAGGATCAAAGGTAAAAGGATAATACCGCGTTGGCGGACATTGTTTTTGCTCCAAGTGTAATCGTTTATAAAACGAACGAATGCGACCCCGGGATGCTCGCAAAAAACTTATACAATAGGCCGATCTTGAAACCACTTAAAGACGATTACTTAATCCATTCGTGTATAAATACCGTCCAAATCTGCGAACCAATGTCACGAAATGTACCGCCCTTATCGCCAATTGTGATTATGTGCTCAGCAATGCGGAGAAACACATCATAAGTTTATCACATCAACGCAATCAAATAGCATAAACAATAGAAGACAACGTGCTTTTGATTGATCTCAAGCCATGCAATTTTAAACGAAGAAGGGAAACTTACGGGGCAAGCTTATTCAGAAAAACATTGGAAATAGGCGGTGTGTTAGTTAAAGGGTTGAAAAAGGTCTAGCTGCCCAACAGACTGACCAACTTGCTATTGCCCGACCCCATTATTAGAAGCCGTTTGATGTGTAAAAAGGCAAAGGTGTTCTGACTAACGCAATTTTGTAAAATTAGGGCATTTTGCGGTCACAAATATTTCTGAAAAGCCTTTAGTTCATGACTTGGCTCAAAAGATAAATTGAATTAAATTGGAAATAAAAATCAAAATTAGGAAAAGGCCTATGGGTCATTTCTATGCTCAAAATGGGGGATATAATCACTTAATTAAACACTCAAATTAAATTATACTCTAGGGCAGAAAAAAGATGGAGCTCAACATGAGCTGGTTTGTGTCATAGCAACCTTCGTATCTGCCCTCTTAGTGTGCGATAAATTCCAGTTGCAGAGAAACAACGCGAAAGATCTATTTATGTGCCTTGGCTGACTAATTTAAGACAATTTTCTCAGCTTCGCCTCTATCAAGAATCCGAGTTATTCTCTGCTTTAAAGCGCAGAAGAGATGTTTTTCGGTTGATTACATAATAACAATAATACCGCAACATTTTGACAATTTTATAGCTTTTTTGTCTTTTTTTTTTTTCATACAGAACAGTTGTCTAAAATTGGACTCGCCGTTAACGTGACCCTTTTGTTAATTTATCATCTTGCTGTCATGACACCGAATTACTACGACACCAGTCTTGTGCCGTTCTTTGTCACTTGAATTCTGGGCATTGAAAGACACAACCAAAATGTCATACAGACTTGCAAAACTGGTCACCCAAAACCTATTTTTAATTCAGACAAATATTTTTTTTTCTAATAATGATACCTTTGAAAGTTTTAAACGACAAAGAAATGAAATGAGTGAACCCTAAAGACACCATGCAACGCCAAATTCATCACTAATCATGAGTAATATTTCTCAAATGCAGAGTAGCTAAACCATAAACTCATGAAAACCGAGCGTTCAGCTGAACTGAAACTCTGTTGGTGAAATGCTGTTTGGTTTTCACTCCATCCGTCGTACACAATTCCAATATTTCAGGTCTTCAGAGATGAAAAAAAATTGAAGATGAAAATGACAGTTACTGCCAGTACAGGGCATGGTGCTGCCAGGTCCAAATCTCATTTTGCTATGAATTTTTGGAGCACAGTACTTTATTATTCCTTCAGACAGTAAATCTACATTAAAAAAGCTAGTTCAGGAATCCATAATTTCTTGTTAGGACATGTCAACAATGTTCGAAGGCAGATACGTTATCACAATTAAATCCGTGGTAAAAGTTCCCTTTGTTTCAAGACAATTCACGACTTAAAGTCTTTCGCTTGAAAAGAAAAAAAGAGTGTACTAGCTTTTTGTTTTCCTAAAACTAAACCTGAAAATGTTTTTTACAGAGAATTTCCTTAACAAATATCTAAGTTATTCAAAACCTTGATAGAATTATCCAGAGGGTTTAATCAAACCTATTTAGTTGCTAAGTTGACGTATATTTGCTCGTTTATAAACAAAACAGAGAATGCCTGTAATAACAGCAAAGAGCAGTTAATAACGAGGTTATGTTATGACTTACTCCATCTGACAATTGATAGACAGCGCAATATGTTGGCTTCCTTACTCTGGACTGATTTTGAAGGGAAATTTTGGAATTTTTCTAAAAATGTTAATATTTTCATTTGTTTGTGTGAAAATAGACGCGATGATAGAAGGGATTTTCAGATTTCGAACGATCTCGCATTCTTCTAAACTGGATGTAGGCTGAAGTTAACACTAAAAATAACCAATTTTAGTTAAGCAAGTGTCGATTTTTCACCTGGGAATGACGATATTTAATAATAAACTATTTTAAGCCTGCTGCATACCATCAGCCTGCAAATAGAGTTCGAAAAAGCAGAAGTGAGAAACTACTAAAAAAATATCTGAAATAAGAACTGTGACAAGTGTCACTTTCAACTAAATATGCTTTGGGAAAAAAAGCGCCTTTCATTTTTACGAATCGCGTGAAAGCCTGCTCGCCTTTAACGTATTTAGCACCTCGTTTCAGATATATTGTTGCCGTAGATATGTGGGTTTGTGCGAGCGCAAAACTTTGAATAAGCTTTGATGTATCGGATACGTTTTAACTAAGCTATTTTAGCCGGGTTCTTAGTGACGGCCTGTGGTCAATACATGCTGTTTTTCTAAATTTGCGTGATCGATATATTCTCTGCAGGAACTCGGGAAGTTTATTTGTGGTAAACCGCTATCTAAAAATATCACATTTTGTTACTTTATTTACTTGGTATTACCACCGCGGCAGGGTTAATCGTCTTTAAAACAATATAAATTCAAAAGCCTATACTAAAGTACACCGTATCGGAAATCTCTTTGTAATTGTTTTGTTTTCTTTATTTTTTTTACTTCCATAGCAGCTGACGTATTTTCCGGGTTTAATTGCGGTTTCATACAGCTACGACTCACATTTTCTTCAGAGCAGGACATTTTGTAAATGCTCTCCTAGTGGAAGTGTTACCAATTATTTTGGGTATCTGAGTTAAATAATACAAATCTGAGAAAGTTGCACATACTCCAACTTCCCGCTTAGACAAACTTAAAAGCTACTTTCCTTGAGAAGCAATTTTCAGTCACTTACTATGAACAACTGGTTCATTTCGACCCGGCTCTCTGATCGCTATTTCGTTCAGCTCTGCATTTTTCAGTGTTACCAGTTTAAGTATCGATTTCAGATTTGAGATAAATCTATACATGTGGAAGGAAAAAGGAGAAGTTTAGCTCTTTGTGATCCAGCCATATAACTTCATGCTTTCTTTCCTCTCAGCGCTACTTATCCGTATCTCAATTCATGACCATCGCAGTTTCCAAAACATCCGCTTTACACAACATATCACTCAAACTTAATACGAGTAAAAAATCTATCACAACTGAGCGGCATGAATATCGTGATGGTTGCGATTTCAACGACGTTCTTTTCCTGTAAACCATTATTTTCTCACTGGCAAGTCAAAGAGAAACGCCAAATCCGTGTGATCAATTGTCCAAAAAAGTCCAAAATATGCCAAGACGCGATGGAATTCGCCGGCAAGTAAGCTGAAGATACAGATCGGTGTTTTAATTCGCGTCATTTCTTCAGTTTTGCGTTCAGGAAGCTCGCGGTTGGTTGATGATTATCAAGCGGAAGGAACTTTTGACATGTTGAAAGATCACCTCCTGACTTTTCTAGCGCGCTGTTGTTACGTAAGAACTCTGTTATGCAAAGAAAATGGACCGTGGTCGATCAAAGAGCTTGTTTTATTCACCGAATGTTAGTTCTCAAGACATTGGATGAGATAAACGTTTGAAAAGGTGAAATTTCCAGGAATTTCATGGGAGAAAAACGGCAAAAATACAAAGAAATGGCGATATCAATGAGTAGTGTAAAAATTTGCGTGTTGTTCCATTCACTTTCAACGTACTGTGCGAGGATACGGTTTAGCAAGAGTGCATTCTTTTGCTAAATGTACTTCGCAGCTCATTCTCCAAGTCGTAATTCGCAACTTTCAAAAATCGATCGGAAACGTACGGTATGCAAGCATTCACAAAGCCTTAATTGTTCAATGGAAGATTTTAGCCGACGGAGTTTTTTTTACCTACTTATTCATGAAAAATAAAATTTGATTGAGGCAAGGTAATTTTATTTTGTAGATTTGAACGTTAGATTGTTTGTAGGAACAGCATGAAGATAAACTGAATGGTAAATCACCCGCTCTGATGCAGTACCAACAAAGCATTCCGGTACACACTAGTACCCCGCAAATAATCCGTATATAAAGCAAAGAGATAATTTTTATCGGCAGGCTTTTTACAACAAGTCCTCTAGGTTTCGACGATTTTTCGATTATAAACCAACCAAAGTTCCATTAACGCCATTTTATTCCAATTTCTTTAGTTGTAGGCGGGTTCTGACATAAGAATATTACCTATCATGGTCTTTCAACACTTCACCATCTCAGTACACAAGGTAACTTTGGATAAAGCGAAAATGACCATTTAAAATATTAAAATAATACAAAAAGGCAAAATTATGAACGTACTATATTATTGACTTTTGATGCAATTCCAAGTTGACAAAAGAAAAGCTACTCCAATTGGAACTCGATTAATTATTTTCGTAAAACTAGCACTATATTACCTGAGAACCGTGTAGGTTTTATTTGCGTCTCTAGAGGAACCTCTGGGGAAGATGATTCGAGATTCCTAGGCAAAATGATGAGACAACATTAGCTCTCATGGAACTCATTTGTAACGACTGAATAGTATCAAGTGCTTACTTTGCTTTTAAAACAAGTAGACTTCACGAGATGCAATCTCTTTCTCGAGTGGAGACTTCTTTTTGTCGAGACATCGAATGATTTTGATTTCCTCCGAGTTGAAGAATGTTTTCTAGAGTCCAAGGGTCGAGAGTTTCTTTCTGACTCTGTCATTTTTTACGAGGAGAAATATTTTTTCTCGTGCCTTGATTTTTTTTTCTCAAGGTGAAAATTAGATTGCGTTTTGCAAGATTCATCGTTGTTTCTTTTTCGTTGTCTAGTTTTTCATTTTCTCTTTTCCTCTTCCCTTTTTATTCCTTTTATGTAAAATAATCAGCTCCGTTCGCCCTTCCTGCTCTGCTCTGTTTCTATTAAGCTGGGTGGATGGAATTTGGTTTTCGACTGCCGGGGCCTTAAATCGATTATCCTTTGCCTAATATTAACCGACAAATTTTTTTACAGTCACAGCACCACCATAGCTCAGACTAGGGAAATGAGATTTTAATCGTCAAATTGCTTTTGATCACATAAGAGGTCAAAGCGTTTTTATTCAAAGGTTTTGTAATCATCATTAATCGAGATAAACGATTTTTAATTGCATGGGCAGGTCATGTAAACCTTGCGGACGAGTTTAATGAGCTAAGAGGTGAGATCAGTAACTTGTGTGCGGGTCTCAATGGGTAACAATCATTAAAATGCCATTGGAATGAAGAATTGGTATCCTGTCTGCTCTGGCAATGCGTAAAATAGTATTTCGAACTAAAAATAACTAAACATCAGCGGCCTGGCAGAAAATACAACATTGAAAAAATGTAAAAAAGAAATATGTAGACGCGGCAATTGTCAATCCAATTGACGAAAATGAACACCAATAAAAAAAGATATTACATGATATGCAAAGATGGATTAGGGATTATCGGCCAAATCAAGGCGAATCAGTGAAAGAAAAATATAACCAGATGGCTGTGGAAACACTAAGTTTTTGAAGGAGGGAAAGTTTCATTAAAGATTGAAATTGATTTAATTTGTGCCGCTGTCAGGCTGGTTGTAGATGGTAGCGACGTTGCAGTCAAGATAAAACAATCAGTCTTTTATCTGTTAGATATAATATGAAAGATGTGAGAATATTCGCTACCCCAGTGACCACCGTTTTCCTTTTACGAAATGTGGTCTTCAACCCGGCCCACGCTTGCTTCGTAGGTGGGGATCCGCGCTCAAAGTGCTATTGTAAACACAACTACATACATCAATGAAAGTCGATGAGAACTTTAAACACTTTATAATTTACAGAAATGCGATTGCGGCCGTAATCGACTGCTGGTAAAAAGCGTGACACATACATAACAAGCTCTTAGATCGTCAAATGACCACCAGGAGAGCGTGCGAATTTCCATCTTGCTTACACAAATAAGCAACTTAGCAGGTCTGAAAACGGTTCTGTGCCCATGGGTGGGCGCGGCGCTCTTTGCGAATAAGTTCCCGTGAGAAAAGAAAACACAAACAGGGAATCGAGGAAAAAAAAAATAAATGTATAAGGAAAACAGAAAACCGCCTCTCTAATTGGGAAAAAGCTAAGGGGATTATTTGGCGCTGTAAGAAGGGATTACATACCTAATTGAGGTGTCTCAAAATTGCTCTGAAATCAGATCAAGGTCATCAGGAGAGGAAGTCCACACGAGGAAAGCATCAGGGGACGCGACCTGTCTGGGTTTCACGATACGGACAATATCCTTCGCGACAAAGGCTCAATGATAACATCCTCAGCGTTGTGAAAACAGATCAGTATTAGGCAAAAGGGTCCTGCTTTCACCTTAGCAATCAAAGAAGATAAGGAACAGATAATCTATTTTTTTCTTCTGCACGCAAATGTGGATTAAAAAATCCCGCCTCGCAAACAGTGAGAGACAGTACAAATTTTCCTCCCTTTCTCTAAACTCTGGAATGAGGCAAATTTGCTTAAAGTAAACGTAAGCTTGGTTCAAGCTGGAAGAAATGCATGATTTCATGTCTGATTATGACAAAACCATCTGCAGGATATGACGACATCAGGGACATATATATCCTGCGCTGGGAACATCAAACTGTGCAAACTTAATTTGAGGGATAATGGACTTATGAAATAATCCGTACAACCAGAAAAAACAGTTTAAACTTAAAAGATATCGCAAAAATGCCCACATAGAAAATAGTTTCGCCAAAATTTAAAAGAAAACGCGATTATAAAAAAGAAGACAGAGAAAAAGGAATTATCTATATACTAAATTTTGTTTATTGCAGATTTTCTATTTTTGGAGAATTTTCTATAAAAAGATGATAACATTAACAAAAAATAATAATCTTGTAAAAAGTGGAATTGAAGGAAAATTGAATTAAAAACATTTCAAAATGAAACAAATGTCTATGCCTTGAGCAAATGACGACAGTGCAAACTGCGCTAAAACAATCGGTCGTTCTTTCTTAAACAACCTTTTCAAACCATTTCATAAATTATAATCCTCTTTTGAGGTGTCGCATTTGCGCGACATTTACAGAGCTCTTTTGTCTTTTGCTCACGGAAAATGGAACGAAAAACATTATCAGTTTCAAAGATTAATAAATCAATAAAGAGAAAACGCCTTTGGAGAAATACTATTCGGTTTATTGTCGCTTTCGAATATTTGCTTGCGAGGAGGGTTCTTTGTGTAACATTAATTTTGGATCCTAAACTTAATTGTTCTTTTCTTTTCTCAGTCTTGGGTTGATAGTTAGAGGATGTATCATCCACCCTTTAAAAAAAAATGTTGACGCATACGCACCAGGTGTATGGCGCCCTTCGCGGACAAATCTGTTACTGAAGTACGGTTGGTACATGACCGTAAATGGGGGGTGATATTGGCACAGGGAAAGAAGGGAGGTTCCTCATTTCGCTTTTTGTTACTGTTGCATCCCTTAACCAGCTGACCGCCTAAAACCAGCTTTTCGTCGAAGAGTTTATTTATACTTCATTAAGTAGAGCATCCTACTGCGAAATCTCAAGATCTTAAATTAGCATTCGCGTATGACTCAGACTTTTTTGGTACCACACGCTTGTGCTAAATTAATAACATATTTCTTTGTTTTAACATATTTCTTTTCCATCTCCTACCCTTTTTTTAAATTTAAACATCTTACATAGCTCTTAAAGTGTTCATATATCATATGCTTGATTTAATTTTGTGACAGTCGGATGCAATCCGATGCTATTTAGCTCTATCTTCAGTCTTCTTTGTTGTGCGAGGGAGTCGTGATCAGAGGCCTGCTACTCAACGATCCTTGAGCCACCTGAAGTGGCATAGTCAATCGCCTTGAGATCCAGTGCAAATCTCGATCGCTAACTAAACGGAGATAAATACCACCTGAGGTGGAAAAGAAACCTGGTTGGAACAAGCATCGTTGTAAATGGAGAGATGAATATTTTGAACAATTAAGGCATAATCCTTGGAGTACGGTTCTCTCAGATTTTCCTCTGCACCAGTTATTCAGAGTTAGGTATCGGTTTTCTTTAAGATCGTTGTGAATCAACAAACGTGCCATTAAAACATGAACGAGAATATTACATTAAATGATCCTGACCATAGGGATAGGGTATTGAGTTCAGGACGTCAGACTGTTCTTCGTTTAAATAGTCTAACGCAGATAGATATACAGAAGGAATAAGGGTATTCACAGGAACGATCGAACGATCAGTCGCAGCAGTTGCCCAAAACAAATCTTTAATTGGCGCAACACAGCTATAGTTTTATCGCTGTGAAAAAGAAAAAGTAGCTTCACAGGAGAAACCCTAATTTAAGCAAGAGTATCTTCATCCTAAATTTACATTAACAATGAAAGATGGAAAGCCGGTGATCTCGACAAACTCATGGGTGTTTATCTAAACTGTGACATTTTCACCGATCAAGATGGTCCTTGTTCCTTTTTAGGAGTGGAACGACCTTACGAAATCGTAGGTCAATCTGACAATAGTGGGGAACAGAGTTCCAACAGGAAATAAATTTGCACTGGACTTTAAACATCTCTTGTTTTTTAATCAACTACCTGTTCTTCACATCTAGAAGCTAACTTCCCTCCCTCCCTTTCTTCATTAACTTACACTCCAAGTTGACAGTAGTTGTTTTTCATCATTGACTTGCACTAACTGAGTGATACTTCAACACGTTTTAGCGGACTCTAAAGCCTTCATCAGTTTCGAGAAAGCTGAGCGTGCCAATTAAATACTAAAAATAAAAGTTAAAAAATAAAACAATGACAAACTGTCTGCGCGTGACTTCAGACTTCTGCGATGACTTAAAGCCATTTCCTACGCTCAGATCTTTCACAAACATCCAAGTTTCAAGGAAAAGATGTTGAAGCGACGGTTGCTCAAGGACGAACACTTTTACGTGGTCAAAACCCACATTCTACTGTTGAAATGACACTCAAGGATAATGATAAAGCATCAAGAAAGCATTTTAGAGTTCGGAAATCCGCTTCGCCGTTATCTTTCCGTTTAACCACAGCAAACAAAAACGCACTGTTTGCTAATGACCTTGACCACTAACCCAGATGCTATACCGGCGGTTTTTATCTACAGCTTTGGTCATGGACGGCTTAAAAGTTCGCCGAAACGACTAAAAGTACCATCTAATTGTTACGAGTAAGTGACAAATGGTCCCGATTTTCACCTACAGTTTCATTCCTGACTTCAGCTATTCCATATCTAATTCTTAAACTTATTCAACCGACTACCTATCAAGTTGTTCCCACGCTGTGTGTTTGTTCACTTTTCCATAACCAAATTCTTTAGTCAATCATTCATTATACACAATTTTCTTTTTATAAACTCAATTCTTATTTCAAACAACTGTGGTGATGAAAGTCGCGGCCATGAACCGCAACTTGTTGAATTACCATCGAGTATGGCGAAAGCATTCTCTGTGTATTTTCGTAAAACGCGTCTCTTATGATCTTCTGTGATCTTTCCGTTTGGAATAGTATACAAAATCACACCGTCTACAATGGATCTTGAAAAACTACTCTAGACTAAGATGGAAGTTGGGTTTTAACCTGCGCTTCTGCCATGGAGGCTTCAGAGTTTGCCTCAAAACGCCTCGACGTATTTCCGATCTATATTTACTAGTAAGTGACAAAATTTACAATTTTCAACCAGTTCGTTTCTCTTGACTACAACGAGTCTAAATTATACCCCCCCTGTTTAACTGCCTAGCTTTTTTAGGTTAATCATTTTTCAGCGCTCATTTTTCCCCACGGTATCTAGTTGTACCCGTTTCTTTAACTGATCTCTCCGTTATATAGCGGTCATTATTGTAATTCTTCCCGACATGTATTTCATGTTATATCTATTTTAGTCTAACTTAAAACGAGATTCGTGGATATAGCTCGAAAATTGAGAATTATGATCAAAACAATCGCTGTGATCGACTTATTATCGACTAATACCTTTAATTCATTGACAAATTTCTGTAATCGACATCTTTGTAACATTTACCCTGCAAATTTTTTCATACATCTATTTATCATGATATTTGCAGTGTTGTCTTGAGTTCTATGATTTTTTGTGTAGGTTACACTGTGCACTTTAACTATCCTCGCTAAGTGCAAACTGACTTCATATTTTCATGAAAATATGTAAAAGAACAAATATGTCGCTATCGTTGTTGGTTTTGTTGTTGCAGAGTTTGCAATCATGCATATTAGCGCAGACTTCTGCCCTTTTAAAAAAAAATTGGCCTAAAAGATCTCGTGTCTAATAAATTGACGTGACATATCAATATGGCACATAATGTAGATGCATCTTTACATTAGAGCTACCGGGATACATTGCTTGGTTATCCATCTGCTCTTCTATAACCCGCCCAAAGCGAATCCTCTTCTGTCGTACTCGCTACTGTCCAAAACTTTTAGCATGAATTCCGCCACATCTGCCCGACACATCCATATGTTTGTGCCTGTGTTACATTGTCCCTCTTCGACTTTATACATTCCAGTCCGTTTACCTACAAAATAAGGTCGATCCTCTCGTCAGTATTTTGACCCAGAATATCAGTGGAAGATATCTATATTTAACGGAAGAAAGAAAGCGAGATTTCATTCCCAGGTGACCAGAGCCTGAGATGCAAGCTTTAATATAACAACTATGTTAGAATGATACTGCTACTTCTTCCTACAAACAGTTTTATTAACAGAGATTGCAATAGAAGTTCATCTCCTGTCTAAGTAAGGCGACATTCGCTCTAAATGTGAAAATCAGTAAGGTCGTTAACTTCAGGGTCAAGTCTGTTGTTACAGCTTCACAAATAGAAGAGACGAACTCAGAGTACACTAATCCAAGAGTACACCCATAGGAAAGTAAAATTGTTTGCACCAGTAAAAGTTCAATTAGTAATGGTTGACAGGGCAAAGCTGTGATAGAGTCCCCATGGGAGGTACACATCCTTCAGATTGAAGGCAACTTTTTAACAGGGTAGGAGGTACAACTGAACCCATGTTAAACATGCTGAACTCAAGCATAGGGGAACTAGCATGTTAACTGTGCTCTGTTCTTGGACAGAACATTTCTCTCTCACAGAGCCTCTCCTCACCCAGGAGTACAAATGAGTACCAAAAAACTGTCAGACTGTTTGATAAAGCTGGGAGGAGGAGGTAACATTTGATGGTTTAACATTCAATTCAAGAAGAATAGGATTATTTTCAGTCACTCAGTGTTGGTAGAAGTTGTAGACAGTTCTGACAGAACTGAAAACTTATTATAACTTGCGTGCCAAGTTTTCAACACCTGTGACAGAAGTTGATGTTTCAAATCCTGAGGGGATGTCAATACCAGTTATTGTGATTTGGTATTAAAACATTCCGCTACATGCAAGTTGCGGGGAAAAAAAACTTACATATGGTGTTCTCAGGTCTTAAATGTTTACTTCAAGTGAACTACAAGCAGTATTTTCTTTCAGGGTAACAGACTTTGCCAAAAGAGAGAGATTGCTCGTAGTCTGCCTTCAAGAGGTGACATGTTGGATTTACTATACAAAATGAATACAAAATTAGTGAGAAAGGTAGTATAAAAAGAATACTCCTCCCTTCCCTCCCCTTCCCTTCCATTTTTTGGCCGATTTAAAACCCCCCCCTCCATTGCTGGAGGGAAAAGCTTTCTTTTACTTCAAGCCCAATTCTTTCAAGTCTAATTAAAATGGCACCCACAAAAATCCAAATAATGACTGGATGACAAGGACCATTCTCTAACCTTAATTACAGCATGCCTAAACTGCAGGCAAGCCAGCAAATTGATGCATATCATGCAGCTTACCATTAGTTAATCCACAAGGTCTGATTATTGTGTAGTTCAACTCCTGTGGGTTAGTTTTCTCAATCATTTTCTCCATAGTGGTCATGTCTTTTATCATTCCACTCAGGAACAGGGGGTTGACTATCCAATCTGCCAGCCAACGATTGTTTGGGCCTGGCTGAGTGCACCATGCTGTCATTACTGCAAGTCTTTTTACTCCATTCCTGTCAAGGGATTAATTTAGATCAATTTAGTCTGTTGAGCAGGAAGAGACTATTTTCATAAGCTAGGGAAAAGATTAACTCAACATTTATTGAGTGTTTTTCCTGTATTCAAGCATAATTTTACTCTAAAAGGAAGATAACCCTTAATTTCAGGGAAAAAATTAATGACCCTCCACAAAGCTCAAGAGAAGTGCTACTATGTAAGAGTGTCTTCTCTGTGTGGGTGAGTGGCTCAAAGGTTGAGCATTGTCATAGGTTAAGTGCGTCAGGTCTAATTAAAATGAAATCAATCAATATATCAATCGATCAATGTATTAAATGTGGTTGGTACACTTAGTTAAAAAGCTAGTTTACAGGTACGCCACAACAACTTGTGTTCTAAGTCAAGAAATGGAATTTTTTCATGTTTTATGCATTCCTGAAGCTACTAGTAACCAAGAAAAGTTGGTCTAAATGCCAGAAAGTTTAGTTTGTAGAAAGAGCTGCAGTAGAAAACAGCAAATTAAAAGTCATTTTGAGCACATCAGGAAGTCTATCCTGTTAATTGTCAGTAATGCACACTTCTGCGATTGCGCAAAACATTCACAAAATTTCATTGTGTTTCTAAGAATAGAACTCCTCATAAATTAAGTGAAGTATTTGATGTCATGTTGATTGCCAGAATTACAGTGGCAATGACCTAATCAACAATAATTATACTCTTAATGGAAGAAATACAGATGAAAAATAATCAACGCAACACTAAATACATGAGCAAAATAAATGCATAGGCATCATTTAAGATTGGCAAGTCACTGTGGCTGGGAGGGTTCATTGGATGTTTCAAATGTAATGATTACAACACATTCTGAGTGGACTTATTCTATATGGACAAAGATCATCTTTAAATTTTAGGTGAGATTAAATTGACCCTTCAATCAATAAAAGTGTTAAGAAGAAGTGTAAATTTTGTGTAATACTATCTAATCTCTTTACGCGAGAGGGAACTGTGCCAAAGATTGAGGAAGGATAAGAATATCACGATTAAACAAAATTTGGGGGGGATTCCTATCAATCTACATGAAAGACATGCAGATTAATAGGAATTCTGACCTTCCTACTGGTATAAGAGCTTACGATAACTGTTGATGTCATTTGAAACTCTCTATTTGGCATGCGTGGGTGCGTTTTCATTCATGCGTCACTACAAATTTTAAAAGTATGCATATGTCAAGTCTAAACTGGATTCTGCCAGGATTTCTGTTGTGCGGCAAGCAATGGAATCTTATTTTCCACCTATTACTGATGGAAATAGTTAGATAAAAATGTCATATTAATTGTGTCAGTAAGAAGAGGTGCAGTGAAAAACTTATAACAGTTTTTAAATAATCAAGAGCTCTATTATTCCCAAACTTGGCAGCAGGCACTACTTAATATGATGCAAAAAGTATGCAAAAAATTCCTTCCATACCTAAGTATCAAAGTCCACAAATTTAATCTCACTTAAATTTTTTGACGTCATGCTGCTGAACGTTACTCACGTTTCATGTGCTGTAAGTTGAGTGATAAATAAATTAATCTTGTATCATTCAAACACAGCTGTCTATAAATCAGAAAGCAGAGGCAAATAACAATAAGTGGCCACGTCATATTACACGCAGGACTGGGAACCATTCAGTTAGAATATCCCAGGCGCACAAAGTACACATGAAACTTTGAGGAAACACTTAACATGGAATTGATTCACGCATCTAAACCTGTTATAGGTAAATTGTCTTTCAGTTCCACTCAAAAGTGGGAAATAGCACATGCATAAATTCCATCAATGGTATTTCAATAATGGCATGATTTTTCATTCCTAAATACTCTGAAGTGAGAAGAGCGAAGAAGGCTTACAATGGCAAAAAGTCAGAGGTTTTCGTTGGCTACCAACTTTTATTTGACAGCTCTGCTCAATAACCATCTCAGTTTTACATTTATTTCATTAAAGAACTATCACAACCAATTACTCTTAACGCCAAAACATATTGGAAATTCTACATCTTAAAAGACTGGAAAAATGAAATAAGCTTTGCTAGAAATTACTCAACAAGACCATTTATTTCCCAGTGATAAGAAAACTATGATCTTTGGATTAGTTTAACACCTTATCACCATAAAAATGATTCACCACCCAAAATTGCCAATTTGTTTCCACTGATATATAATTTAGAGCCCAAAAACCATACAGTATGAATCACAAACCAAGCACTGACTCAATTGGATGATCTGATTTTATAATCTCAAAATATATTTTAGGTTGTTCAACATTTTAAACTGCAGAAGTTCTTCACTTCCTTTTGCTTTGTAATTTCAATATAATATCTTGCAAACAGGTGATACAAACAGAATGGCTTATCAGTTTAAAGGTGGATCACGACACCTACTTCTTTGCTTCATACATGAGGAAATTAATGAAATAAAATGCGCTGATGCAGAAGAGAGAATTAGTGACTGGATCTTAGGAGTTAAAGGGTAAGATAGCTACTACCAAAAAAAGAAGGAACTAGAAAGCCACTGACTGTGTATTCAGGATCATGAATAAAGAGAGAAGAAATCAAGAAAGCCATCAGTCTGTTAACATTCTAAACAAACTTGACAAAAAAATTTACATGATATATTATGCAAAAAGATAAATTCCAGACACCTATAACTGACCTTTAGAAATCGTGAAAATTGTTTTTTCTTCTACAACAGCTATCTTCTCAATGCACTTTATGTGTGCTGCACTTTATGTACGCTGCACGACTTGCGTATCTTCCCGATAAATACGGCAATTACCTGGTACAAAAATCTACATAATAGTGTCGACGTAATATACTAACAGTTACAAACCTTTTCATTCCTCCCAAAATGGCAAACATGGACTCTGAGTAAAAAGTTGTTGGGTTGAAGATACTTGCAAAAACTCCTAGACAAGAAATTACAGCATCCTTCCCCTCCAGTGCTGCAGAAAAACTCTCCAATTCACAAGCATCGCCTCTAACTAGCTCTAAGTTGGGATGCCTAAAAGGGAAGGATACTACCCTCGAATTAGATACAAAAAATAAACTTGTTTGAGGCCTATTCGGCTGAGAATCATGAAAATGTCGTGTAAGTTCCATTTGTCAAACGAAATATTCGTAGTTTCTATGACTATAGCAATAAAATTTTTTGAATTTTATGTTTTACTTTCCTCTCTAGCTTGCCTGCTTGAAGTTCTAGTTATCAGCTGTGTTCAGATGTGGTGAAAAACTTTAAACAACAGACTTTTAGATTTATGGCATACCGTTCTTGTATTTTCTCCGGAGATCTAACTATCGCTGTAACATGATGGCCACGATCTAGTGCCTGAGTCACCACTTCCTTGCCTGTTAACCCAGATCCACCAAAGACAACAAGTTTCAATGGCATCCGAACTTCAATTTCGTCCGCCATGTTGAATTCTTCGACACGCAAAGGATCTTTGGCAAATGATTTAAACCCAGGCCTTCTACGTCCATATTTTCTCTCGGGTCGAGGCGAGCGGAAAAGGAGGAAGGGTTTTCGATTATTTTCCATCGAAGAGTGTTCTGTGCAAGAATTCTTCACGTATCTCATGCACACACAACCAATAATTCTTAAAATTTATACAAGACAATTAGCTACTTAGTTTCTGAAGATGTTTAATGAAAACACATAAAAAAAGAGAATAAAAACACGTAAAAACCCAGTGTTGAAGTTGTCTTTTAAATGTCAGCTCAGTTATTAAGCCATTTTGGAGTAAGTTTGACCAGTCATTAGAGTTGAACACCATATATAATAGGAGACAAATGGAAAGTTAACAAACAAAGATATGATAAAAAAGGAAAAGGCAAAAATCCTTTTTTAAAAACTTTTTATAAACACATTAATTTTGAGGAAACCACAAAATAGATTTAACAATACCTGTTTACAACATGTATCTTCAGCTGTTCATTCTAACCTTTGATCAGGTATTCTCTTTTAATTTTTTTAATTGTGACAAAAGTCAGCTCTAACTAAGAAATAAAACACCTGATTTTAAGATTGTAGTTACATGTACCATTAGTTTTGGCTCTATTGCAGGTCAATCAATAAACCACTCTTATCACCTTCTGCTACTTCACCTTACCACTGTGGATATATCACTAAATCAATCCCAGAGCCTTTCTTTGTTAACATTATAAATCAACTCCATGACAGATTCCGCATTTTCATAACCATGGTATTATCAAATTTCTTAACTCTTTAACTCTCAAGATCTGATTGTTAATTCTCTCCTCTTGCTGCTACACAATTCCTTGTAAATTAGTTATGAGAACTTGGTGTTATATCAATATAAAAGCTCCTTCCTGATAAGTTTTAGTATTCTCATTAACCATTTGCTAGAAACTTATGGGAATCACAGGGAGAAGTTTCATCTTAGTCACTTCTGAGAGTTAAAGGGTTAAGCTATGTAGCAGAAACTTAAGTTATCAAGAATTTATCAGCAAATTCCCACCATTATGATATGTTAACTCTTCCAATCCCAAAATCTTAATATCAATCATTTGCATTGTCTCTCATACATTTGATATAATTTTAACTCTAATAATTTGGTGTTAAATGAAACAATATCCCTAAAGCTGATGTATTTTTATATCTCTCTACAACCTTTTTTGCCTTAAAATGTATTTATATTGTTAGGAGAAATTCCTCTGTGCTCATTCCTTTCATGAAAGACAATAAGGTAATAAAAATTATCAATCACAGTCCAGCAATTGCAAATCCCTTCCTGTCGTACTCATTGCTTTCTAAAGTTTTTAGCATAAAATCTGCAACATCTGCGCGAGTGATCTTGCTTGTTGTTCCAGTGTTACACTGCCCTTCTTCAACCTTGTAATTTCCTGTCTTTTCACCTGGAAAGCACAAGTCCCATTAAAATCTGTATGTTGAGCAAGTTTGTATTAGCTTGCTCCCTCAATGTTAAGATTGTTTTTCATATGCAAAGGAAATTAAAAACAGACTAAGTTTTACTGTTTCCATGCTTTTCAAGATGTAACCGATATACTGGGAAAGGTTTCTGTTCAAGATTTTCTGGATACTAAATTTGGCTACATCAGTGATAAAGGATTGTTAATGAGTTCAAAATGTTGATCACTCTCAAGGGAAAATTGATTATTTAAATTTCCTATCCTGATTTCTAACTGACCATAGAAAAACTCCAAGACAGGTCATCATTAAAATATAGATGTAACATACTTTTTTTCAGATTGTCTCCAACCATTCTAGCCAATCAGCTATTTCTATGATTACAAGATCTCTACCAAAATATAAAATCAGGAAGCATATGGAAACAAAAACTGGAGTTGTAGGGCAAGCCAAGATGAGTCAGGATGGCCCCGAATTTAAGGCAGGCCATCTAAAACTCAACATTTAGCATAAAACTAAATGTGTGTGCAACCAAACATGATTATTATAATTATAATAATCATGTTTGGTTGCACATTATTTTATTGGATGAACTTGTAAATCTTAGCAAAAAATAAAGTTAAATGTGTTTTTGTAGAGTCACAGATTTACCTAAGCCTAGACCACAAGGCCTGACAATTGTGTAGTTTAAAAGATCAGGATCAGAACTCTCCAACAGTTCCTCCATTTCTGCCATATTCTTGATAACACCATTAAGGAAGATTGGTTTTAGAATCCATTCCACAAACCAAGAATTATTTGGTCCTGGCCGAGTACACCATGATGTGACAGTTATTAGTCTAGTGACTTTGTTTCTAGATCATAGGAAACAATGAATAATATTGATAATGATTAAACTTTATTTATAATTTTCAATATATATCACACCTAGAATATTAAAATAACTTGAGTGTGTTAACTTTCGTTGTCACACATTTTGCTTCTCTTCAAATGTGGTCACAAAATATTAAAATTTGACAACTGTGGGGGACAAATTGAGGGAACTCAGATCACATACTGGAAGCCTAACCTCTGGCCTAATGTACAAAAAATAATAATTCGTGTTAAAGAACAATTTGTGGCTTTTCTATATTAAGCATATCATTCATGAATAATTGATTAGCATTGTATGTGTTCAAGTGATTTCTCATCAAAACAACCTTGGAAGACTAGCTGCCAAAACTAGCTCTCAGGTCTTCATGCTTCTTGATATCCATTTAACAATACTGATATAAGACCAAACTAAAATTTTTCCCTTGTGATTGATATTGATACATGCATTTTTATAGTCCTGTTAATCATGTTGCAAGGACAAATCAGGCCACAAATCATCAATTCACCATGTAAATTCCAAAATGTGTCATAAGCAACTTAGAACCTTTACCTTTTCATTCCCTGTGCTATTTCATTGAAGGTTGTGGTGTAGAATGTTGTAGGGTTGAAGATATTAGCATAAACTCCCAGAGATGACAACACAGCATCTTTCCCTTCAAGTGCACTAGCAAAAGTTTCCACGTCACAGGCATCACCTTGCACTACTGACAAATTTTCATGCCTGTTGGAATACCATGAAAAGAAGATGGTCTGGTTATTATGGCTAAAAAGTTTGTAAAAGCCATGGATAGTCAGCACTTTGGAGATGTTGTGGAGGCTAGCAAAGGAAGAAAGAGCCCGATCTCACTCTTTTCCCTCTTAATGAGCATTACATAACTTATAAGCTGGTAGGCCTTATGGATGTTTACATTAGAGTACCCATTTTCACCCCAAACTTTTGCTTTCAAGGCACGCACTAGTGGATTTAGTGGCAAAGTATTCTCAGAGCTCCGACATGGAAAGAGTACCCGCGTGAAAACAACAAGAAAGTGGCAAACTTTCACTGAAATTTAGGTGCAAAAAAGGCTTAGGATGAATTTTAAATGAATGACCCAGTTTCTCAGTGTTCAATTTAGAACAAACGTGAAAACAAGCTCACACAACTTTTCTTACTCCAACGCTGCCAGAGTATTACGCATTCAACATCTCGAGAACAAAGCGAATAGTCCCAAAGGTAATCTATTGTTTGCGCTATTGTTTTCTTTTAACAAAGCACTGTATGCATAATGAAGTATGGGGCTGTGCGGAAACTTTGCGGTAACCTCTTTTCGAGAATAACCAGTTAGTCTCAAATCCCGGACAAGTATATGCTATCTACATGAATTACTAGTGAATACTTGACACTTTCTCCTCCACAGCGAGCCTTGGAAAGGGTGGGGGTATCATCTGAGTCTGATATGACACTCAAGGGCAATTAAATGGCAGTCTGCTGCCAGGTAATTTACTCACTGTATATCGACTTTCTCGGGTGTTCTCACAACAGCAGTTACATGGTGTCCCTTTTCCAGAGCTTGCTTTACAACTTCTTTTCCCGTTCTACCAGTAGCTCCAAAAACCACAATTTTGAGCAGTTTTGCAGCGACACCTGATGTTGCCGTTGGCTCAGCCATGTTGAATAAATTACTGTCAACCTTGTTCCCAATATCTGGACGCTCGCAGGCGACTCAATACCTGAAGCGTTCACGGAACAACGAGAGCAAAACCTTGGAAGCGACAACCTCATGTACTAAATACCTTAATTCTCACCTGACCAATATGACGTCTCCTATGTACGGTAACGTTCCAGAATATCCCAGAACGTACCTTGTCACGCTTAGTCATGCTGATGTTGTTTTATAACAGACTATGATGTAATCACTCAGTATTTGAAGCTCGTGTTATCACTAGATAAGCTGTCATTAAAGGTGTGTTGCAGCCCTTCAAGCGGCGACAAGTTCTTCCCATGGTTGACCTCTCAGAAGCCTGAGAAGAGCGTGCGTGGAAAGCATAGCTCAAGACGAGCTAAAAAGCGTCCTCTCTATCCTTCCTTTCCGTTCGTCAATTTTTTCTCTTTACTTATTTTGCTCGCCTTCGTCCCATCCCCTTTCGCTGCACACGCTCCTTTCTTGTAAACGGGAGGAGACGGAAAGGCCTGCGAACGGCTTCTGCTTTATTAACCGTTTACAACCTAACATCAGTATCCATATTCTCTATATCCTTCTCTATAAATTTGCTTCGGTACTGACAAGGAGAATTTGTTTAGCAATCAGTGCCTCTTAGGTTGGTAGTCATCTCGATGATTCGTAAGATTTTAATGAATGATTTTACAGAATTACCGTAAGGTGAAATTAGAAGATGGTCACTCTATTCCCTACCCCTCTACCCACTTTTTTAAGGCCTGAGCGAATTAGGATTTTGGCCTTTTTATGGTCAGATAGTCACCTTTGTCAGGAGAATACTTGTGTTTTAAATACAATTTGTTTTTGACTCATTATCTAGCCCATCACTGAGGCATCCTTCCTCGTAAGAGTCAAAATCCCGAGATGATAATACCGTTGGTCGGCAAAAGCTTAGAATGTTTTAGTTTCTAATTCAAACAGAGAACACGTAAAAGTTGTAGGCCTCCACTTGGCCTAAATTTAGTAATAAAATACATTAAACTTCTGAAGGACAACGTGCAAAGAGTATCATAACTTGTTTTATTTACCATTTTCTCATCCGCAAACAAATGTCTGGTATAGTTTGCACTGCATTTTTTGGCGTTTGTCTCGATCTTTTTTTTCCCTACAAATTGCCTTCAACCCCTATCCAAACCACGAGCTTGGATTACAGGAAAAGCTGGAGGGGAAGTCGGCTTTTTTAATAAGAAATAAATTTTTTGACTTACTTACTTCTTTATAACTGATGCTAGCTACAGAGTATCGATCAATTTCAATTCTTAGGAATAATGTGAATTACTAAATCTTATATCTTTTTCATATTTAGGTTCCAAGAGCCATTAATTTTTCTACCAAATTTGGAATATAAGGTCATTCATTCAGTCACTATATATATCAATAAATTTTCACAGATCGCAGGGGTTTCAATAACTTTTCTCCGTAAGCAGCTGCCAATGGCGTAATTGGCGGCTGTATCTAGAGAAGGGGCCGTGAGACGGAACCCAATCAAGGGAGCCTGCTCGCACGCTGAACAGAAGGCGGTTAAGTGGTCCCAGAGGCGACGGAAGACCGCTGGAAACCGGCTTTTGATCAAAACCCCTGAGATCAGTGTTAGAAAAGGTGTTAAGCATTTAGGAAGCTTTGTGAGATCTTGATCAAGTGTCGTAAACTTGAACAAAACTGAAAAAACAACTCGAGGCTAATGCCAACGAGTGAACAATACATGTTTAACCAAAAAGATCAGATCTGAGAATTCCTTGAACGTTGCCGCGCAATGCATTTACCCGAAAGTAAGCTCAGTTCACAGTCGAGGCGTGAGATTTTCTGGATAAACCTTTTCTACTGAGATTTTTAAAACCAAATGCTTACGACAACCGATCAAGGCGATGGAAATTTCGCGAGGTAATCGCAAGTCAAGATTGTATCCACAGGTCAAGAAGGGGCTTGATTGAAAACATACAAAAAAAGGAATCATTTTAACACTTGATTTAAACCCCTGCTAATTCTAGAAAAATTGAATTGGTCATCCACTGACAAGAGGAAGGCGGCCATAGAACAACATGTACGCTTGACTCTTGAGCACCTTACTCTCCGCTGCGGCACTTACGCTTGAATCACTGACATGAAACCACTGACCACTCGGTGCAGGCTCATGATGAGTACGGGAACTACCATGTTGAGCTTCGGACTTTTGAGTCCACATTTTCTCTATAAAATCCGTTAACTCACTCATTGAAGTAATTTTGTCGTACAGACTTTTCAATGGTGGTTCGCTGACTTTCACGTAGGCTGTGTAATGTCCGCTGTTCATATTACCACTGTGCTGAATTACTCCATACAGCGAGTACAGCACTTTGCCTTCTGAGTCTGCTCGACTCTAAAACCAACAAACAAAAACAGAAACGTAAATTTTCCTGTCGCAATAGTTAAGAACACGGTAGTAAACGAAGGACGCACTGGACTCCGGATTAAGAGTTTCCGATACAAGTCTAGATACTTTTTCTCTCAGTGTATTCAATTTATTTCGTTTCCGCTGAAAACGATTAGCTGAAGCCAAAGAGGTTTATGTTTAGATAAGTTCTGCTTCACTCCTAAGTTATTTCAACGTAACGACGACTAAATAACGTGCGCGAACGATTTTACACGTGATCCTATAACTAAACAAACAGAAACTAAAGGGGTCCCCTGAATTCCGAACAAACGATGCCTCCATCCACAAGGAGTTACCGAGCAACGACAATGAATCGATACGTGATCGGGTGTTGTGCGGCCGGAGAAGCGTCTTGTGTTGGCTAAGCTTCAACCGCCTCGCGAAATATCGCCTTTATAAATACCTAACCTTGCTTACCCTTCCACTTCTGCTGCAAAACGGCGCAAGGTTCAGTTCCAGTGGAAAGTCCACGTGTTTGGTTAGTTTTTGCAAAGTAAAGCGAGCTTGCTGGAAACGCTTGAGGTGAAGAGTGAGGACTGGTGGAGCAAGAGAAATCAGCATCTGTTTACTAGCCACGGTATACACGGTCTGCTGTTGGGAGTCCTTGTTCTTGTTCTTCGAAGACTTCTGTGCTTTAGCACCTTTTGGTTCGTCTGTAAAGAATAAGAAAGATGAAAAAAACGATTAAACCAGTTGCGAGACAGAATCCTTGATTACCACAGGTGATGGAGAAATAATGAGAAACGACTAATCAGCACTTGCAAAGAAGTCTTAACGATTAATTTCGAGTTAAGAGCCCGAGTTAATTTCGAATTAAAGCTTCCAGTATTCATTCATACTCCTGAGCGGAGAAGAGCAAAGTGGAAGAAAAGTGTCTTACCCAATAACACAACACAAGAAGGCGGTCGCGACCCGGAGTTCAGCACGCTAGCCACTCAATCACACAGTACCGATAAGATGTTTTTCAATCAAAAGAACGTCAACTTACCTTCTGACGAAGAGTCCCCACTAACATCATCTTTGTCATTGTCTTTCGTTTTTCTAGATCCCTCCTCCTTATTGTTCCGCCGCGCTCGCTTGGTACATACCTCACAGGCAAATTTATTATTGCCATCTAATAATTCTGAGACGCAAAACTGGCTTAAACACGACAAAACAGAGCATTCGCCCGGGGAGGGTCGATACGCGGGTTGAACAGTAAGAATCCTATCTATCCCGTTATCATTTTCAAATTCTTCTTCAGACTCAGTTTCACTTTCTTCTTCGCTTTTTGCAGATATCTCCGTTGCCCCTTCGTTTTCATCGCCCTTTCCAGAATTCGAACAAAGTCTTTGGTTCTCTGTAATGTTTGTTTCTTGCTCTGTTTGGGCGCAATCATGTTCTACGCCAAGACTAAGAACAATTTTAGTTGATTTTCTATCTACTTCGTCTCCATCTAGTTTCTCTTGTAAATCATGAGCCGTTTCTTTACCCTGTTTCTCACCACTAGATACACAAGAAGGCGAAAAACTCCCCGATGGACTACTATTGACAATATCGTCTTGAAGTTCGCTTGGTTTACCTATATTCAAGTTCACAGCCAAATTTATAATTTCTTCTAAAAATTCTTTTATACTCGATGGGATTTCTTCATATCCCTGTTGATAATGGTCAGCTTTCTCAGTCCCTTTTTCTTGGCTGCATCGCAAAGAATCGCAACCTGGCTGTTTCGACGCAGTTACCTGATTACAGTTCAAAATTTCCATTGACGAACTTTTGTTTTCTTCATTGTCATTAGTGGAACCATTTCCACTCGTTCCGCCATTCAAATGTTCTGTACTTTGTTCAGTTTGCATCGCGCGTTGTTCCTCCGAGTCTTTCACGCCCTCAGCTTGCTCTGAATCAGCACAATCAACTGTGTTTTCTGCCAAATATTCGTCGTCGTTAGAATCTAAAATACAAGTGTCCACGTCCTTTTCACTGACTTCAGCGGACTTCGAACTGCTATCATTATCTCTCAATTGGATATCATTGTCCGGAATCATTTCACAACCACTGTTAGAATTCCCAAGTACCTCTGTTTCATTCACTTTAACCTCATGATCATTATCACTTCCTTCCAGGTCAGACACGTTCATCTGGTCAAGTTCATGGCCTTCCTCCTCTGACGCCCTCCTGTCTAATTCATCATCATCATCTTGTTTATTGTCGACCTGCTGCGACACTTTTCCTTTCTTTCCGTGGCCTTTTCCTCCCTTTTTCTTTTTCTACACAAACAAGACAAGACAAAATATGTCACATTACAGTTATGCACGAAGTTGATTAGTTAAAGGAAATACTTCACGTTTTCGGTGCGTGAAAAAGTTGATCAACACTCTTCAAGTTCGTCATTGTCACCAGTCACGACTTGGTCACCCGCGTTTTCCCGCGCTTTGGATGGTTTGCTTGTTTTTACATTAAGTTCTCATTGGCTCTTCAGTGTACTTCCTTTTTTCTGATTGGCCGTTGTGATTACTTTGATTTTGGTTTTACGACACTCACTCGAAAAGCGTTCGATAACGCAAAGTAAAGGAAGACCACTGCAAGCCTCCCAGGTAACCTGTTGGTCATGGAGTACATTTGTTACTTACCCTTTCGGCTTTTTTGGCTGATTTTAGCTGATGTTTACTGAGACTCTTAGTTTCCTTCTGTTTTTCATCTTCCTTCTCATTTTTCGAGACATTCTTAGGAGTATTTGATGATTTTGGATTTTGTTTACCACCTTTTCCAAAGAACTTGTTGCTGAAGGATTCCTACAAGGGTAGAACGGAAAACCCCTTAAAATCATAAAAACAAACTAAAACGAATGACGAGATAAACAGAAGAAAAGTGCCGTTAAAGTGATTTGAGTTAACAAGACCATTACATACCAAATCGACCTCATATATCAACTCTGTGACTTACACGATCTAGTCAGTAATTCTTCCTTTCGGCTGCTGGAGATTTCCTTGTTACTTAGGAGAATTTGGCGAGATATTAACCTTTTAGCTACTAAATTTGCCTATTCTCATCACCCCCATTCTAGACAAGGTCCTGATACTGATAAGAGTTGTTAATTTTTCAAAAATGTTTGTAAGATTTTTTGTAATTGTTATTGACGGACTCAAGACTCGTGTTGCATGCTTCAAAAGAAATTAGTCAATTACTACATCAGAATCAGTCACTGGCAAGTTGTTAAGATCTGCTGAATGGCGGCGCCCTCACCTGCGGCGGTGACGCCAACGGTAAAGACAAATCCAGGAATGTCTCCTCCACTTTGAATTCCTAAAAATTCAATGCGACAGATTTCACGATTTAGTGGGAAACGTATATGGGTTGTCGGTAGGCGGGTCAAAATTGCAGATAAATTCAGATCAGGTGTGATATACTCCAATGCAAAAATTGATTGAGCCAGGGTTGATGGACTAGGCTATAGCTTTTCGGGGTTTAACTCAGATTGAGGACTCTTCCAAGGGCCTGCGAACTAGCCTTCTCACCAGGTGCAGATACTTCGCGTCAATATTTCGGACGTAAATATTCAAACCTTTAAGACATGACTGCCAACACTTTTTCCTTCCTTCCCCAAATCTGATCCCAGAGAGTAACCTGAACTTCTCGATGCACAGCAAAACGACAAAAACTACCCGATTGAACTTTCTGATCTCATTTTAAAGGCAGAATCTGTTGGAATACGCTTGGCAATCTTAAATTGGAAGAAACCTGGTTACTAACCTGATGACATTGGTGACACGTGACGATGCTAACGAGCCTACCAGCAAACACACTATCTATGAGCGGTGCTGCAGCGCTCGCTCCGTACTCTATGTAATAAAACAACAGAATCGGGTGTGAATTGTGGTAAACAGTTGCACCCTAGAGTTATTGTGACAGTGGATAGATTTTGAAACTCGCCCATTAATACAAGTTTATGTATAGTTTGAGGTAATTAATACCAAAGGCAATTGGTATCAATTGTTTCAAATAATGTGCCAAAAGAGAAACAGACATTTAGTAGCCGCGTGTGACATGTGAAATGCGCCATTTAAGAGTTCTTTGTGACCAAAGAAAAAATCTGTCGCTCTTAAAAGTTTGCTTTTTTAGAAGTCAAGCCCGAAAAAATGAAGGATCGTTCATTGCAGCCATTTTGTTACTCAGTATTTTTGCCCTGTTCTACAGAAATACCGTGGCATGTTTTGCAGGTTCTCAAGACTTTTTTTGCTAAAATGACATCGTAGTAGAACAATAATAGTACATAAATAAAGTAGAGATATATTCACCTTTAACTTGTACACGTTTGCTGTCGTCCAAGGTCTTCGCATCACCATCACCTTTAACACCGAACGAGTGCAACACAGCAAGTTTGACTCGCTAAAAACATTGATAAACAAAACACAAATATATCAAGATGATGATTTGTTTACTTTCCTTTCTTCGACAGAAAAAGCACACAATTCTCTAATTTCGGTAACGTTATCACTGATGAAATTGCTTCAACCGATTAAAAAGAATACTTGTAGATTTACCCTGAGTTCTTCATTTCTTACTGAATCCAAAAGGTAACGTAGTAGCTCTTGACTGTCTTGCTGTCGATATCCCTTAAACCGCGTGGCTCTGTTGGAAAAATTAGAAATAGCTTTCAGTAAATACGATCCTAGTAGCACAATGATATAAAATGAATATGCACTGACTTTTCGGTCAATAGATGGCATGACAGAAAAGCAACCACCTGACTGAGTAGCTGACAGATTGATTAATCAAGACCGACCAGGAGCGGATCTAGGAGTGGGTACATGGGGTGCACCCCCCCGAGATGACCTTCGGCTTTCTAATAGACCTTCACAGTAATACAAGGTCTGCAGTTTTGTTTGCTATGTATTGTCAGCAGTTCTCATTATCTTACTGACTTGCCATAAGCCTTCTTCTTCGTTGTTTGCTTTTAAAATCTCTTTACGTCACCCGTCAGTTACGTCATTCCATGGTGGTGCACCCCCTCAGGAAAATGTCCAGATTCGCCCCTACTGGCTGACTGACCAACACACAGACAACCTGACATGCTGACTGAGTGACTTGCTGCCTCCCTGACTGAATGACTGCCTGCCTGTTTGACTGACTGGCCATCTGAAAACCTGACTTAGACCAAAAAACAGACAGACAGACAGACTGGCTGACTAACAGACAGAGAGAGACAGACTAACTGACTGACCAATTGACAGACTGCCTACCTGCCTGCCTAACTGACTGATTAACGAAAAAATGACTGATGTTTACTTCTTGCAAATCTCAGCAAACAGCTGACGTGGTGTTAAGGTTCGATCAGTTGAGGTTCTGAAATCTTGAAGTAATTTCCATAGAGCTTTGGTCACTTCTCCTGGTGCTTCTTCAACTTTCAATTTTAGTTTTGACTGTGAAGGATTAAAAAAATGTTAGTCTTAAGTAACTACTAAGACGCCTTGACGCCTTGTCCCTTTAAACATGAAGGCTATTGAGCTAGGCCTTCAACACAAATTACTTGTGAACTGCTTTTCTAGGGGTGTGGTTGGACAGAATTCAACAATTCCTGCCATCTGGTGGTTCCTGTATCACCATTTCCCTCAACAACTGACATGTACCTGGACTCATTTTTAAATGACAAGGAATGCCTTTGAAACTAGATTTAGAGGCCAATGAGCTTACATACAAGCAACAAACCTCAGTGAATGAAAGCCAAGGTTAGTGCCCAAAGCAGCTGAGTATAGTGAAAAAAAAAGGTTGCCATTCCTCAATTCAATCAATTCCAAGCAAATGGAAGTTGCTTACCAAATCTTTCTTGTTTGGGGTAACATGATAGGAGAACCCTTCTTGTGTAGCACATGAAGCTGCTACATAAAGCAGCTCTGTCTGGCATAAATTCTGCAAAAAAGAAAAAAAAATTAACAACTGCATGAAATGCAAAGATTTCGTGTTAGAGTGCTGCAAATTAAATTTGCTTTGTGAACGCCATCTAAAAAAATACAATAGAGAATAATACCTGCATAACAGAATTAAAGAAACATGTGTTCCCAAGATTTGCCAAACCCTGTAAAAAAATAAATAAGTAAGCTCCTGATTTAACTGGTGCAATCAACAAGCATGCTCATGGAGCATTGAACACAATTTGTGTAGGTAAATGGAATACAAATGAATGTTCATAGATATCCTTCATTCAATATAAACCCCTTGGCTCTTGTTCACAACTCTCCCATCCTCTTCCCTCCCCCTCCTGATATAAGGAACTTGGCTGCCTAATGCAGTGTACCTTAATTTGACTCTTAAGCTGGTTATTGGCCTTGGATCCATCTTTCTTAGGTTTTTCAGTAGAAACCTTATCTTGACTAGACAAGGAGGCTTCCAATTCTGAAAATCAGACAAAACTCAAGTTACAATAAGTTCATATCCCAAAACAAGTTTAAATTTAAAATTTAATAAACTTTAGCCAGGTTATCCAATTCACCTAATTATAGCAAATATCTTCACACATTGCTTCTTTTATTCATTGTATTTTTTAAAGATATTAAATTTGCCCTTTCTCGACAGATATAGGTCATCCATGTAATTTGAAAAATTGTATTGTTCTGAAGGATGATGGCTATAATGAGGACAAACCTAATTAATTTGATTTGACTAATTTAATATCATAACTGTTAGAATTACCTGCAGGAGGGGTTAAGTTCATAGCCTTTAATAACAATTTGATGCACTTTTGAACAGAAGAGTCAGGTTCAACTGGGACGTCGTCATCGCAAGCATAACACCTACAAGAAAACAAGAATATTTCACTGTGCTCACTTACAACAACTTGACCACACACACTAAAAAAACAAAGAGAAGTTGCAGCTATAAGCAGCAGATAAATAAAACCAATTACATTTTACATTGTTATGTTTCCTTAATACTTTTACGTGACAAAGTGTTGCCAAAGGTTTAAGTCCAAAATCTTTGGATTAGTTGTGGTAAGCTGAAGTTACTTGAGGGTGCCATGGCCATGTTGCATGTGACCAGACATGCTTTTTAGAAAACAAGCTGATTTATGTTCTAATCATGAAGGAACACATGGATACATGCATTTACTAGAGATGAAAAAAGTGTCTAACATGCAATTGAATGTACTAGTCTATAGTGTGCTTAATCTCTCCCAACTCATCTATTCATCCAAGAAAAAAGGGAATTGAGAGTCAAAGGAAAGTGACTGTGCCCATGGGTGTAACATATTTTGACCGATTTATTAATTTTTTAAAATATTTCTTTCCTTTTATATTAAATGAACATTACACTTTGTTACATCATCCTTACCATACAACCCAAGTTTGAAGACTGACTACAATGGTGTGTGAAGGATTTTCTTTATTATGTGATAGAGCATGTTTGTCTTCACTATTCCTATCACATCCCTGTGGATTGAAAAACAGAGCTGAGAAATGGTTTATCACAAACTCTGCATAATAGTAATGGCACATTTGAGGGATTTTTGTTAATATGAAAAAGTGATGTTGATATATGATGCCTCTCTGGCCACTTGCTATAGGCTATCACTGTTCTCAAGTCTAACCCACTGAGTATGAGACTCACCCACACAATTTCAACTTATGCTCTCACACAAAAGGTTTCTGATTCAAACTATTAATTTGAGATAACAAACTGCTGCTTCAATAAAGTACTTTTAAAATAAATTATCTTTCTAGATATACCTGATGGGCACAGAAAAGACAAATACAGACACCAAATCTTTCTGAACCATCCAATTGACCACAATTCTGTAAATAATAAAGAAAAGATCTGAACTTGGATGGAGCCATATATATTCTACAATTAGTATATAATACCAGTTATAATTGTATCATGTGTGATAAAGCTTAAATTCTCAAGAATAACAACAGTGTTTTTTTTATAATTTCCCAATTATTGATATTATGAAGAAAAATCTATTTAATGTGTAATGAATGGAAATTCATAAATTGTATCAAAATATTTCTTTGCATGCTAATTCATGAGCTACAGTTTCACCATTTGCCCTGATTGAATGTCAAGATTCTGATTATGCTGCCGAATGTCAAGATTCTGATTATACTTTGTATCTTTTGCCTCAAATTTATCATAAAATCTGGGTTTATTTTGGATTGGGATAAACCTTAGAACTTGCTTACTTACACCTCACAACCCACTCAAGAAAACTCAGCAGAACTGGCTCAAATAAGCAGGATTATATATTGAAATAATTTGTTATACACTTTAAGCTTTTGTAAGAATAAAATAAACGTCACTTACTAAGCACTGTCCTAGTGTAGTGTGAGGAACTTTGTTCTGCAAACAGTTCAGTTTGACTGACTTTGAAATATGAGGACAAGTTTTATCGTCTACGTTTGGCAACAAAAAAATTAAGAAAAAAACATCAGTAAGTTAGCGTTGAAAAAATATTATTTAGATCTTTTAACGTTCTCGTCCCATCCTCCCCACCCGACGCAGATAGTGACGTAAAATCGTACAGTCTATAGACTGTGTTAGTCCTCATTACGCCGTTATCTAAATTACCGTCCCCACCCCTAAAGTACTTCGAACCCACTTCCTCTGTTATCCCAAGAAACTTTCTTCTGAATTTATAGCGACTTATTCGACATTACGATATTTTTAACTAATTTTTTCTCTTAAAGATTAACGTAATCCATAGGGTTTGTGTTTCGATTAAAATCTACATCGGCCGATAACGTAAACTTTGGACTTTTACCCTAGCCAATAGTAACTTCGTATCTTATTGCTTTAAAGGATAATTGTTACACAACGTGCCGCGGATGACTGTTAAACAACATGCCGCCATCTTATTTTGGGTCTAAATTAAACGTAAGTGCAACTTATTACCGTCATCTTCCTTGCCATTTTGAACCTCATCGGTTCCCTTTTGTTGCTTCTTCTTTTTCAGTGAATTCCGCTTTCCCTTCGCCATCTTCACGATCGTGACCGGAATACGTGCATGGTCTTTTCTCAGTGCCGCTCACACCAGGTACATATCTCTTCTTTAAGTATCCGCTGTAGCAAAAAATAGCGTGCTTCGGTATCTGTCGCCCATAGGGCTTGGTGACGAGGATGATTCCCTTAGTGTCATATTCGTGGAGTTTATTGATTCGTTGTTAAAAAAGACACTGAGTCACTTTGCACTGTTTAAGAAAGGCTTCTTGTTCCAACACGTCTTTTATACGCAACTTATTCGTAGTCGGTATTATCAGGAAATTTTCCGTCGCACACAAGCAGAAGTATAAATTTACTTTGCTTGCTATGGAGGTCTGGCGCTGACCCGCGGTACAGTCCTTATCCCAGCGGACACGTCTTCAAAAATGCCTCGTGGATTACAGCTCTTACTGCTACTATTAGCCGTGCCTTTGCAGTATTTGATATGCCAGTGGACTAGTCCATCTGCAAGCGAAAGGGTTCAGCTAATCAAACAGTAAGTTCATTGGAAAAGAACAGCTAAATCTATCACAACTCGAATGGAGAAATTTGTACATCGATCTTGTACCTTTTGGATGTTAGTTTAGGACGGTCAAGTGCAAACATGTTATTTTCAGCCAAAATCTATCTATTTTTTTCTCGTTGCTATTTTGGTAAAATTTCCGCACAGCCCCATACTAAATTATGCATTCAGTTCTTGGATAGAGAAACCAATGACAAAAACAATAAATTTTCATTGGAAAAACAGATTTTTATTTACAATAGTATGGGGCTGTGCGGAAATTTTATCGACGTGTAATCTCAAAATCTCCATTCCTTCTAAAAAGGATGAACAAAGCGAATCAATATAAACTTGACAGCATCATTTTTGTCTTGCCTCAAAAGATCACACCTCCTAATGTTATCTTCTCCTTTCCCTGCAACCCTGTTAGCTATGTATAGTAATCTGGAACATATGTTAGAGAGTGAAAAATTTTGATTTAGGCAAAGTTAGCTATGACTCTGACTATCACCAACTGTGTCACAGTGATGTTCATGTCAATTACATGTGCTTCTGTGAAGTCAGAAATAAGGATTTATAACCCTTTACACCCTAAAATCCGTATGCATTTTCTCTATATTTGTACTGTTCTTTACACATTCCCCATGTTACTATCAAGGAAGATATGTTTAACAGCCAAGATCTTCTTTAGTTAGTCATCTTTTCCTTTAATCTCACTAGTTTACTGTTTGATTTTGAAGTAAATTGCAAGGTGAAATTAGATGCTAGTCACTCATATGGGTGAAAGGGTTGAGGACTGTGCTGATTACTTATGGTTTTTACTTTTAATTAGTTTTTTTATTATTTGAGCAATGAATAGTGCTTTTTTTTTTTTTTTTTTCGGCTTGGGCTTTATGCATTAATAAATTTGCTTCAACATTCCCCCTTCCCACAACCCCCCCTACAGGCTCTTAACGTTGACTCCACCCAAGTGCTAGATTTTATTGTCAATTTTTTTTCTAAAAGGCAAAATAAGCAACTCAGACTTTCTTGAAGACATTTCTTTCTGAGCCATCTACCATTAAAAAAGTGAATTTTTTTACCTTCAAACATCTTGATATTAAAAGATTGATTCCATTGGAAGGACTTGACAACTTCAGTTCAAATTCCCACCTTAATTCAGGCAAGAATCAAATTCCCTAGCCCCAGATGATAAGGATGATAGTCAAATGCTTGTGGGTTTCCTAGTAAGGAGGGGAATGTTGAAGTTCCGAATTGATCAGCGCATTATCTTTCACAAACAGTATAATAAGTAAATAGTTTTCTTAAGGTACTATAAGGTTTGTATTGTGCTTTTAGACTATCAAAGCCTCTGAATCTATTCAGTGGTGGCTATATTCTGGATTGGAATAAATGGCATGACATGGTTGTCAAGTGGACTCGATCTATGATTAATTTTTTGCAAGATGAAGATGGTGAATGCCCAGCTGAAGAAGTTTTTAAATTTCAAGAGAAAAATGGACACTTTGGAATGTCAACAGTTCCACGTACTCCCAGACCTAAGCATGTGAAATTTCATGTGGGCCAAGTAATTAGACATAAACTGTGGAACTACCGTGGAGTCATCGTTGGATGGGATGAGAAACTGAAGGTTTATGTAACTGTATATTGGTCAAGTGACATGTAGTAAATTTTGAGAACTAGGAAAACTCAGACAAGTATAATTCAGCTCTCTCTCTCTGACTGAAGTCTCCCTCCCCTCAGAAGTGCTTTGAGGAGAAATTGATCAATTATTGATGGATTGTGTGATCAGTTCTTTGAAAGAAAATGATTATCAAATGACACATCATCCTCTCCCTAACAAGTATAATGGCTTTGTAACAACCACTTACAAATTTCTCTTTCAGGCCTCAGAGGCATGGACACAGCAAAATCACGGAGATAAAAAGGTTTAGAAGAATTAAATTCCATATTTGAAGATAAAGCTTTAGTATTTTCTCTAATTCTGATTCCTATTTTTCCTTCTTTTCAACTACGTTCAAAGTCTTGAAACTTATTTAAGATTTAATAAGAACTGAATTTGTTCAAATTATCTGTTGATGTAAACTAAAATGCAGTCATGTTAAGTCTTTTTGTCATTCCTCAGCACTGGCAGGACATGCCAAACTATGCAATTCTTGTAGACATCCGTGATCGTCCCAGTAGTCAAGTTACCTATGTTCCAGAGGAAAATATTGAACTTATTACCAATACCAAGGTATGATAATTAGGGAATAATATATAGGCATGAGTGAGATATCGAAATAAACTTTAGAAGAGAAATTCCATATCTAGTAGCAACCATGTCTTATTTTGTTCATCATATAAACACAATAGGCCTTTATTGACCAGAAAAGTCAATTTTATTAATGAATGAACAAGATAGGATCTACAATCCTTGAAAAAAAGTTGTTGAGTGCTTGGATGATAAGGCTCGAGATAAAAAATGCATTGAATCGTTACAAAAACAAACAATGGGCATAATTCAATTCTCAAAACAAATTCTCAGTTATTGACTATCAAAATTAGCCTGTGTCAAATCTTCTAGTTGTTTAATTTCATTTGCAGCCACGAGAAATGCCATGACCAAAGCATGGTAGCTTTTGGTTTCTCTTTTTGTATTTTGTTTTTTTTCCACTTCGAGGAAAGTTTGAACATCACTGTCTGTAAGTGATACAAAATATTCAGTATTGTTAGTAGCCATAATCCAAGAAAATTTTGACAAACAACCTTGGACTGAGAATAGTGAAGGACCTGCCAGAGTGACACAAAAGGCTAGTGATGTGTCATCAGCTGATTGGCGATATCAAACACATAAAAAATTATTGTATATTACTTTTGTGTTGTTACAGCCTTTCTCAGGGCTGGGACTCCTTGTCAAACATGACAGTTTATATAATAAATACATAATTAATCATTATGTATGGATCAATTACCCATTACTTCTGATCAACTGGCACTTTACACAAAGATACAACTTGTTTCCCTTGGACAGGATGCTAGTCCATCGCAAGGTTACCCCCCCCCCCTAATTTAGCAGAGTCTCAAACCTTGACCTCTCTGTGCAGAGTCCAGCTCACTTACCATCAGGGTACCTCATCTCCCACACATTGATGCCTAAGCCTTGATACCCATATGGCTGGACCTTATTCCAGTTTCATTAGCACAAAGAAACTAAGAGGACAGTTACTTCCCTTCTAAAAGGATGCTTGTCAAGGCTAGGTTTCACTCAAGCATTTGGATACATTTCCTCATAAGTTTGCCACTACCCAGTCATAAATGTGTGTGGAGACATACTGAGTGAATAGTGTCTTGCCCATGAAAACCACACAATGGGTTCTGCCAGAGCTTGAGTTTGGACTTGTAGTGTAGAGTGCAGAGCAATAACTGTTTTTGTCTGTTATTAATGGTTTTCCTGATATGTAAAATTTCAGATTGTTCACTCAACACTAGAGGAATACTTTGGTGAATTTGATGGTGCATGCTATTTACCAAGACCCTGGCTCAAAAAAGTTTACCCTCATGGATAAATAATTACCTGTGGGATATGTCTTATCACCAGGCCTCAGTTATTTGAAGCTAAAATAACACTATCCACTGGATAAATCTCTATCTGCTGGATAACACACTATGTCAAGCTATCACTTATCAGCCAGATAGCGATTTATCCTTTGGATAGCGATAGCATTATACAAATATGCATTAGTGCTTGTTCAAAAAGGTTTAGAAGGAGATGGAAAAATTACCTTGTAGTCTAAAGTTTGTTGAATCCATACGACAAAAACAAGTCAGTTTTGATACGACCATGTGCAGTGAATTTTGCACAATAAATTTCTATTTCCCCCTGTGTTATATTTAATGAAATTGAGTATGTATGCTGTTTCTAGCTCTTTGTAATTTATTAAGCAGTTCAGTTCTTGACTGCTGTGTTTTAATATTTCAAAGAGAAGAGTTTTCTGTCAGTTACATTCTTAGTGTAATGAGTTTAGCAGATTGGTCATAAGGTTGGGTGAGTCACAAAACTAATCATGCCATCATTTGTATTTTGTATATAAAAGAGTAGATATGAGGGTTCCAATTAAAAAAATGGAGGGAAAGAAATGGTGTCCTGTTTCTCTAGTCTATTGTAACCTATTGTAGCCTTTTAGCTGTCTACTCGAGGATGACCAGCCAAAATATGTTTATTTTTTGTGTGGGAGTGCAAGTCAGGGAAACCCACCAATCATTCCCTGTCCTTTTACTTTGCCGAGTTTGGTGCTCCCACAAAAGGAAGACACCTGGCTTTAGGTTAGCTCATTCAAAGATGGACTGACCTACTACTTAAGCTGCAAAAGTCTGACTCTAAGTGAAAGTGAAATAGTGACACGTACCATCAGGGTACATACTGTATTATATAATAAGCTCAGTTATGCACGCGTTTTGATTGGTTCTCACTTATGATCTATTGGAGGACAGACATATAGATGACGTCATCATTAAAACTTTTTTTAATTCTTTATTATATAAAACAAATAGATTCCAAGTTGCCATGCGTCTGTTCAGTAATAGATCACAGAGGATATCAAAATGTGGTAAGAACATCAGTGACACACTCGGCTGCACCTCGTGTGCCACTTTTTTGTTCCTACCACATTTTGACGTCATCTGTGATCTATTACTGAACAGACGCACGGCAACTTGGAATCTATTTGTTAATTATATACCTACATCAGTTACCAGCCAACTTAATTAGTCCCCAGGCTACCATGAGTTAGGATGGACAGACTGGCCTGGGTACAAATCTATCAATCAAATATTTAATTACAGTCACTGGTACTGTTGCGGTTGTTTCCGACCATTTTGGAGCTTTCTAAAACTGTTTATGCGTTATTTTACCTTTGGCTACATTTCGAAGTTCACTATGGCACGGAAACGAGCACTAGCAACCGAGGTCGAGGAAAGCAAGCCGAGTAAAAGACAGAAAACTGCTAGTAAATCAAAGGGAACTGCAGAACATGGAGAGGGTTCATCGAGGAAAAGAAACGTCGATTCGGTCCCAAAACGAGACAAACATGGTAAACTAGTATTCCCTGATTTTCCAGACTTTAAGCCAAACTTGACTCCCAAAGAAGTTCTTCAGGCTGGAAGCTTTGGAGGAACATACTTCCGACCCATTTATTCCAGCGTCACAGGTGAAATATAATTAAAATGAAGCTTATTTTTAACAGTCTAAAATTGAGATTTTTGTGGCTACTGCCACTTTTGCGAGGCGAAGCTATATATGTTATCGAAATGAGTGAGTGGGTGATGGTAAGTAACAATAGAATAGCGAACTTCACCCGATTTTGATCTGATATCAGTCATTGTTTGTTTCGAAGTTTCTTCGTAAATGGAATTTCAACGAAATTATCTTTAATTAAGACGTAAAATTAAAAGAAGCATAGCTTAATCATCGTTGTAATAAAGTTTTCATACAACACACGCTGTCTTTGTTTGAAAGAGCATGCTCTATCAGAGTACAAAATGTAGAGCTAAGCTAAAGCTGTCACGCTATCCGCTGAATTGTACTACTTGTATGACCTACTCTGACCATTTCCTGGACTCCTCACTAGTTTTTTTTTTCGTTAATTGAAAGTGAATTTTTGGAACAAGCGAGTTGGTACGTAGCAACAGAAGAACCTAACAAAGGTTTGTAAATATGCTAAGCACCTTAATTTACGTTATTATAAGGTGAGCAGAGACAAAAATCCTCAAAGAGAAAACAAAATGGAAATTCCAAGTTTTGAAGTGTTCCTCACTCAGTTAGATTGCAAGCTTACATAAGGTAATAAAAATCAAACATAGTTAACACTTGAATGGTGAATATAGTTTCGTGTTCAAAAAACAAAACGGAGCAAAACAGGAATTATGAAAAATATATAGCCAAACTGGCACAACCATTAAAATTCACACCAATCATGATGTGTCAGAGCAACTGTGATCATACTGAGGTTCATTGTGGTTAGCTCATCATGGCAAAGTGAAGCAAGCCTCAGAAATTACATCGGCCACCCTTCGAGTGAACAACTAAGAGCTTGCACTGATATCCTTGTGGATGCATTGAGTGGAAGGCCATGTCAGTCAAATTGTATAGCGTTGTCATTCTGAGCAATCTTCGTTCTGTTGTAAGCACTTTGGAAGCATATATTGTGTATTATGTTATAGAATGGAGTTAAACCTCAGGTTTGTTTTGAAAATTTAATTAGAACAAGAGTTCCTTCATACTGGCTTTCAGTTTCCCCTTTCTTCACACCCAACTAGCTCTTATAAGAAGCTTAAAATGTGTCAATATGTAACAATTATTCAACAAATTGGAGGTGAATAGAGCAGAGTATTCCACAACTTCCATTGACTGTGAGACCATCATATAACTTTTCCCACTAGCAAACATGAACCTATTTTTCTTTGGTGTCTGCTTATTGGAATAATTTTTGTAGGTGGACAGTTCTACTTAAGGACACATTGTCAAATTCCCAAGGGTTCAAAGAGAGTTGACTGCATTTTCAATGCTTATATCTGCAGATTGCCTGTAAAGTAAACAAATTAAGCTGGGTAATTTTGTTTTATAAGCAATAAAGAAAACAAATGCTCTATGTAAGAGAGAGCCTTGGAGCATCTGTGAAGTTTGAAATCATTACAATCTCCACTAAAAAAAATTCTCAATTGATTTAGCTTTTGAAATTAAAGTGGGGATTTTGGGGTGGTGTACCTTAAAACACCCAGTGTCTTGTAGGATTCAGTTCAATCATCAGGATTAAAGAAAAATAATATTTACTAAAGTATTTCTTACATTTTCATTCTCAAACACTTTATTTATGCAGGTCAGAAATATTCCTCTGATGTTTACAAAGAATTTCCTTCTGAATGGTTTGAAGGACTTAACATCAAAAGGCAGGTGACATCATCTGTCTATCGTAATGAAGTCAACACTTACAAGGTGAAATGTGGGGGCAGTTTAGAAATGTGGGAATCATCTGGCTGGATAAACAAACAAGATCCTTATGGCTGGTTTCAGTGGTGAGTTTAACTAGGCAAGGTATTATTTGTTACTCAGGTAATAATTGAGATACCTGTGCTCTAATTGGTCCAGGAATTTGTCATATCTTGCCATAATCACCTCTCGAGAGGTAATTTTATTACCAGTGTATATTATTTCAAAAGAAGATTGAAATATTTATTATTCTTATTATCCAAGTTTTCCCCCAACAATGCTTTTGACAATGCCTGGGTCACTATAGAGTTCTCAGTAACAGAGACATAGAGGGGGAATCTTGAGATCTTGGGATTGATTCCTCATGTTCAATGAATAACAAATGGCAAGGTAAGTGAAGAGTATGCTTGGCAAGTTTTTTCTTCTGTCCTTACCAGAATAAGACCTACTGATAACGCAAAAACAATTCTGAATTTGTTTCCTTGGTAGGTATTGTAGATTTTACCTTGGGCGGCGCACAGAAGATGATAGACGACAGGTTGACCGATGGAAAAACTGTACTGGAGATAAGGGTCGTTGGCGAAATAACCTCATTTCCAAATGTGTTCGAAGTGGTTGTGCTTATGATAACTTTGCTGTGTCACCTGTTGTAAGACAAACTCTTCAACACTGGGCCTATAAACTGAACAAGGAAGACTTTGATAAATATGCCAAGAAAGTAAAAATATAAGAACAAATCACAACTATGTTGGCCTTGTCAATTCTTGTGTGGCACGTGAGAGAGAAGTGTATAGTTCTTTTATTGCAGGTTTTCACAATCAATATAAAATTGGTTCAAATTTTGGATTATTGTTTGAGATTGTACATACTGTCCCCAGAAAAAAAAGGAAAGAGTCTCATTTTTATACATTCAGTTATGAGTCACCCCATTAAGTCATTCAAAGTCTGACCACAAACTGTCACCCCTTCCGTTTGCACTTGCTTGATTTCCTGTAACTCTTGTTTGGCTTGCTCTCTGGACAATGATTGTAGAGAATATAGAAAAGGCCTTTAAACAGACTGCATGGTCATGGAAAAGTAACTTTCTTTTCACACTGTTTAGTGTGTGCCCATGTGCACTACAATTTTATTGTAACTTTTACATTTACTTGTAAATAATAAATATCCTATCCTTTCAATCTTAATATTGATTCCCATTGCTGGAAGTGAACATTATCCAACACAGCAACCTCAGGACTATTATTGCTATTATTGTTATTATTATTATTATTATTATTATTATTATTATTATTATTGTCATCATTTTTTCTCTTAACATGCCATTGTTATTTTTCTTTTGAGCTATCAAATAGATCTTAAATCATGTTTACCACCTAGGAGTAAAATCTACCACTGCTATCAGTCTCTTTCCTTGTAATCCTTCAATAGATTTAACAGAACAGTAGACAAATATATGGTGTTCAAGACAATTTACAGTGCCAGAATGAGGACAATAAAAATGACTTGATAGATGAGTTATTTCCAAAGCGAAAGGCTGAGAACACCAATAAATCGAAACGTTTTGCAACCTCTGTGTTCAATGATTGTCCTATGATTCGAATACCAAGATTGTTCTCTTTAGTTATTTTGGAATCAACATTTCTTACACCTTACATTCACCGCTTTCATGGAAAATCTACCCCTGTGATTGTGAGCCTTCCTCAGTAGGAGAGAGACCATGAGTTGCTAAACGTAGTGATTAGACTTCCGTTAAAATGGGATTTGAAAAGGAACCATAAGCGCAGACCTTCTGTGTCTGTTCTGTGTCTACTCTTGGTTCTACGGAAGTCAAAACCGGAGATGCAAACATGTTCGCCTTTGTTTCCTAATGGCAGATGACGTGAAAACAACACGATGTGAGTGCGTTTCTATAGTAACAGGAGATAGTGAGTACGCGCGTGAGTTCGCGAAATTCGCGATATGTAGCGCAGAGAACAACATGGGTACAGCTGGTAGTTGTAGTAGAGGTGAGTTTTCTAGGTTCATACTTTCCTCATTTGAACCAGGGAAATGATCTTAGCTATTCTTTCATCACAGGTGAAGTCATTCAGAACGAAATACCCACGTTCAAGGTTGTTCTTGTCGGTAAGTTTTGCACATTCAATTCGATCTTTTGATGAGTGGCTGATACATGTAGCTCCCTGAGTGTGTTGTTCGATAGTTTTAAAGCGAAGGCTTGCAAACTTTATGCTTCTCTTCGTGAGAGATGTGGTCCCAGATACAAATAGATAAGGTCGTTTTAAAACCAATAACTTTTTCAGCAAATTTACTGAATATACAAGCTCACGACCAATGTTTATCGCAATACAATTATGCGAAGCTATTTACTCAAAACAGATTTCACATTATATTGAATTGTCTTGTTGATGAAGCAAGGATTACGTAAATGAGGAATGTTTTTCGATGATCAGATAGGGAAAACGTAACTTTCCTTTAAGAACTTGTGCTTTTTTTGCACTGTTTACCGAGTTAAATGTTAGACGGGGCTTGCACGGAATTTTTCCAATTGGAAACGCAACCGTATTTGGAAGTCTGAAATTTCCGTTGACAAAAATTAAAATTTTCTTTCATTTGACTTTTATCATCTATCAAGAGATGAAGACCTTTGTGGAAACTTTCGCTTTAAAAAAAAAAAAAACCCCGAAACTGTCTATAGCAACGGGCATCAAAGAGTCTCGGTATACCACACTGAACAGATCGATATTGAGTGGGAAGTGCTAAGTACTAACAGGAAAGTAATTAGTGCCAGGGAAGGTTTTATTTTTCTTATTACAAGGAAATTAGATCGTAGGGCTCTTTAAAGTGATGAAAATTTTACAGCAAATAATCTATGACAGTCTGTCAAAATGGCGCGAGACTACACCATTTGATATAAATTTGGAGATTATGGATTGAGATACGACATAGTGCAGCTTGTTACTGGTAATAACTCTTACTCGGCTCTCATAATTCGGATGGAAAGGTTCTTATTAAGTAGCGTTCCCCTCTTGACTCTGGATTTAAAGGTACTGGTGTATGACCAATGGAATGTTTATTGAGTTTTTTCATCATGACAGCCAAATCAATTGTCTTGCGAATATTGCTTTTCTTCACCAAAGACTTTACTATATATAGCCGGGAGACTGTAGAATTTGGGTCAAACTCAAGCCGGAACTAGCATGTTTGAGCTGATTTCTTTGCAGTAAACACAATGTGGGTAGCATACCTCTCTGTCTAGTAAAGTGAAATAAAAGTAAATTTTTTTTTGTGATTGATTTAAGGTGACCCTGAAGTTGGAAAATCCAGTATATTTTTACGCTACACAAAAAACCAGTTTGACTACAGTTATCAGCCTAGTGTCTCTGTGAGTATTGGAAATATTGTCAAGCATGTCAACGTCCCATTTGAGACCATTGTGTCTGTGGCATTATGGGACCTTCCTGGGCGAGAGGAAATGGACTTGCGAAGAAGCTATTACAAGGATGTGGATGCTGCTATTGGTAAGAAGTACAACTCAGGGCCTAATTATACGGTCTTGGGTAACCAACACAACCCTCCCATGAGTTTGAAAATTCAACCAATCATTTTTATAGGTAATAGCATGATTTCCAGTGAAATTTGGTGTTAATAAGCACAAATATATTTTTTCAAAGACAATAAAATTGCAATTTGTAGTCTTTAAAAATTTACAATTGCTTATTACACCAAGTTGCAAGAGAATTAAATCATGTTATTACTTGTTAATACTTTACATGAAAAAAGCATCACAGAAAGTCAAGACAGACAAAATTTTAAAAGCATGCACAAGCTATTTCTAATTTGCACTTGTGTTAGAACTTTGCATTTGTGTTATATGAGATTGCACTCATTTTCAGCCAATCATAAGTGCATAATTTTTTCATGTACAATGTTAACATGAAAACCATGAACTTGTCTTGAGGGGTAAGGGGATTTAAGAGGGCAAGTTGTTTCACCTTAGCAGGTAGGATAACCCCTCAGGTCTGTCAACTTTTCCTTATATAAACACTTTGGCTTGCATGCCTGAGATGTGACGGCTCAAATTGTGTCCAATATTTAACCTGGCTAGCTGTTGCAAGAGAGACCAATAAGGGAAAAGCTGTTACAATTCACAACTCCATGTAAAAATCTCCTTTGAAGTTGTCTTGAGGGGAGGGTTGTGATATAATATAATTAGGGTAATTTTTATCGTTCCCTTGTTCCTTTGTTTGAGGTTACTATGCGATAGATGATTTTAATTATTTACTTAAAAGAATCAGAATATTTCACGGTACATTTGAATTTCTCAGTAGATTAAATGGGTCAATACATCATCATGATGGTAAATTTCCTTATTTGTACTGCTCAGTTACATATGATATGCAGTCATTTTAAATTAAAATTTGTGAGTTCTCTCTTCCTTTTAGTTGTTGTTGACATGGATGACATTGACTCTGTGACTATGGCTGGAACCTGGAAACAAGACATTGTAAATAATGCCGTATTTACAGCCAATAATGGAAATATAAAGGAAAACATTGCAGATTCTAAACTGATACCAATTCTACTTTTGGGGAACAAGATGGATAAGGTAAACTATTAGTAAGATTCATTGAATAAAGAGGGTGAATCTCCAAAGAAACTGTGGTGCTGTGTCAGTAACAGAGTATAAAAGGTAATTTAGTATTATCAACTGAGTTGATAATGTAAATCGGCCAATGTAAAGAATTTCAAAATTAAAGTTGCAAGTGAACAACAAAGGGTTAACATTTGAAATGTCAGCTTTGAAACTCTTTACAGTGGCCATTCTATGTTGTCAACTCACTTGATAATACTAAATTACCTTTAGATTCATTATTGAGTTTTGTGCAGAGGTTTATTTATGCTTTCAAAGAACTGGTAGTCATGTTCTTGCTATACTAGGGAGATTCACAAAGATATCACCATTCTTAGTAAATATATTGTGGTTCAAAATGTAATATGTTTGAAGCCAGTTTGATTTTTCTTTTTCTTTGTCTTGTATTCATTATTTTAGATCGTAATCTAAAACACAGGGGAAAAAATTTTAAACTGGCTTGAAAAGTTTTTAAATAAGGAAAACTTTAAACTGAAGCTGATGCCAACCAAGCCTCATTTTGCTTGAAGGAAAATGAGTAAACTTTTAAAAATTGTTCTCAAGTTTCAAATACTTGCAACTTAATTTTGCAGCTCAAATATCACAAGACTGAAGAAGAAAGAAATGATGATGATGATGAGATGTCTTACTTAGAAACAGTGCGAGTACTGGAGGGTGTGGCATTACAACATGGCTTTGTTGGAAGGTAACTGTTGGGCATTTAACTGCTCTTGAGACACCCCCCTTCCCCCCAGTCCTTGTGGATATTTTTTTAATCCTGATCAATTCCTAATTCACTTTAAATTTATTGTTAACATGAAATTGTCCTCAACCCCATGTTAGGAGTTTTTTTATTTTTGTTATTATTATTATTATTTAGAGGAGGATGTCAGACACTGCCATTACAGCATGGTACTAATACAGTAGTAATAGTAGTAGATCGCTTTCATATTCACAGTCGTTTTAGCTCATTTATTATTGATAGCCGGGAAAAAAAAGGAGCCTTGACAAAAGCATACAAATTCTCGCTAAAAGCTGAAAAATTATTTTGAATCCTGTTCATGTAATATTAAATAAGACTTGATAAGTAGATGATGTATAATTTGTCTTCATCCTTTGTCTGTTAGCTCTGATCTAAGGGTGAATATTCTAAATTGTAGTGTTTGTTCTCCAGTGTTACAGTGTCAGCCAAAGAGAGTGATAACAGTGTACATGCTGCAATCCAGTCGCTAATACGACATCTGTTGCAACAGAAAATGAAGAAAAAGAAACTTACTTCAAAGGGTGGGAAACTCAGCAAGAATGATCTGGAACTTGAGGAGAAAAACTATGTAACCATAAGTCCTTTGGAAATTTCAGAGAAAAAGGAGTTTATTCCACTTATTGTTACCAAAGTGTCTGAGGTAAATGAGTTGCTATCCTCTTTCAGTCAAGGGTTTAAAGTTCTCATTGTTCACTTTGCCAATATCTGATTTTATTTGTTTCATACAGTTTGATGTGTTCTTTGCTGAGTGTAATAACCCAATTGAGACTGTTCAGAACACAAGTACAGGACTACTTGATGCCATGAACAATTTTAAGAGAGCTTGTAGTAGGGCAGGTGTTACTAGCAGTACAAAGGCAAGTCTTGAAGAGTGTATAGATGGACTGAAGCAGTTGATAAGGACAGATGATGATGAAGATGCATTGGAGGTTAGCTTGGATAGTTTGTGATATCTACATCCAAATTCTTCTTTATTGCAACTAGAGATTGAGATTAATAGCCTGAAGCATTTGGAATAAGACAACAGTCACGGTGAAGAGTCCTCATTAAGACACTTCTGATAAGCAAAAGCATGCATAAGTAGTGTGTCACTTTTGCCATGGAGTTCCTTTTTCTTTCTCCCCAACATTGTCTATTATAATAAAGTTCTTTGATGGAAAAGATTATAAGCTTTGTGAAATGCAATGTCAATTTTCCTTGTCAAGGTTCTTCAGTATATACACTTATTGAAAAAAGTGATAAGCATTCTATGCACTGTGCCTTTGGTATGTGTTTGGAAGGTGTCACTTTCAAGGACTTTGAATTAAGATTTTCCAATATTAAAGATTCATATATGGCATGGCTTGGCTGCATTGTGATGCAATAGTCATCTGATATATTGAAGATACAATTTTTGTTCAGTTCACCTCTGGCCTTGCCACCTAATTTTTCTTCCAGTGAATATATTGCTGACAATTTCCCACATTATTGATGTTCATGTATCAGTCATCCTTGAAGTACTTTTAACCTTTCCTCTCCAGGCACATGAAGATGGAGGGTACATAAAGTTGTTAGTGAAAGAAGAAGTGAAAGAGCGTGTCAGTGGCCCAGTACAGAGAGTTTTGAACTCATTCCACTCAGAGGTAAGAACTTTTGTTCAGTATTTTATTATCAGCAAAATTTATTTAAATGCAACAAACACTTTACTGATGTCTCAACAGAGGGCCCTTTAAGGCATCTATTTTCTCATTACAATATCACCCCTGAATCCAACATTAAGGTCATGAGAATAAAGGAAATGATCATAACCAAATAAGCTCTTGATTGTTAAACAGATTCTCCTTGTTAGGGCCTTTGGAAATATATCAAGAACAATACGGAGAATATGCAGATTGATGTTAGTGTGTAAAGGGTTAATTAAGGAAGGGGGCTTAACATGGAGGGAGTAATGATGTTCAGGGGATACTAAGTCATTTTTAACTTTTCAACAATTTTTAAAAATGGTCTGACATAATACTCAGTTCATTTTTATTTTGTACAGCTGCATGTTACCATTAGATAGTTAGTAATAAGGGATAGTGGTGGGACTTTCATTCAGAAAATGCCATTTCTTCTTCTTCCTCACAATCATTGACCTTAATATATTTTTCTTTGCTTTCTGGCAGGTTGGTGCTGCTTCAAAAAAAGTTTTAGTTCAGTGTCCTGGTGCTTTAAACAGCCTTCGTGAAAATGAAGATAAAATAAATGAACTAAAAGCTACAGCATTTGAGCGTGCTACAGCTCGAGGGATGACACAGAGGAGGGCTAAGGCAGCAGTCTGCAATATTGACGCTAACTGCACCAGAATAGGAGAAGCTGTGGCTACAGCAATGGAAACCATGACAGCTGTTGATAATGACTATAAAAAGATTAAGGCAGCTATGTTGTGGTAGCTAGGTACCTGCAGTATTTTTATTTATGAGCATGTTTATGAGACAGTAACCCAGCAATGGCTAGCTATGGAACCACACCCACACTGGAATTAGATTATTCTAGAAGACTCCTTTATCTTCTAAGAGTGTACCTATCTGGAAGCTTGAGTTATAATGACACCCCTTTTGTAACAGGCACCTCACCTTCATAAACCGAACCCTTTCAGTGGGTCCCTACAACTTAACACTCCTGTGCATGAACACCTCTCTCAGAACACCTGTGCTGGCTAGGGCTTGATTTCCATTGCTCTGTCTCAGCTGGTCTTCAAGTAGAGGATAAATATTAGTTCGTCTTTTAAATTGGAAAGAGTTGATTACATAACTATTTAATAAAATCAATCTAATGTCTAGCAACCCCAGGTCACCCCAATGTCTTTCTATGATATTTAGTACAAAATTTTCAATTTTTCAAAAAATTTGAGAATATATTTCGTGCAATTATTCAGCGCCATAGTAAATATTGTAAGGAACAAGGAGGGAGTTTTGAAAAGGCTTTATGCAAAAAGATCCTCTAGACCATGAAAAAAAAAATGTTGAAAGCATTAGAGTTTTTATTTATCATGAAGGGTTGTGGTGTTTTTTAGTCAAGTTCCTCGTACCAAGTTATATATATATATAGTATGGAATCTCTTTTGATATTCCAACAAACAAACAAAAACAAGGGGAAAATATTTATACTATAGAAACATGAGTCCAGGAAAGGACTTTAACAATAATCTGTTCTTCCCAGTTTCTCCTAATTTATACCACTTGTTGTATTATTTCTCTTAACTTATTATTACATTAATGTTTGTATACTCATTATTTTACAAAACTTGAATAATGCACCAAGTTGATGATTAACTTGCTCAAAATAACAGCAAATTGACCAATTAACCCTTTACACCTTAACATCAGTTTGTATATTCTCAATACTGTTCTACATGCACTTCCTTTAGTACTGGCAATGAGAATTTGTTTAACAATCACAATATATATATATATATACATACATGAATATGGGAGTAGAGTCTACCTTGGCATAAAGTGCTTAATGCTGTGGTAGCAGAGCTAAGTATAGATAAGTTAAAGAATTAAAGAGGACGCATCGATTCTTTGTGTTTCTCTGAGTTTCCTGAGTTTCAGGCAGAAAACTCAGAGTCACAGAGAATCGATGCGTCCTCTTTAATTCTTTAACTTATGTATATATATATATATTTTTTTTTTTTTACTGTGCAATCATTTCCTTTTTGCTCATGTCACCCTAATGCTTGATTCAGAGGTGAAACTGTAGGGAGAAATTAGATGCTAGTCACTGTTAGAGGTCTAAAGGTTTACTTTATGCTGATAATCAACTATGTGTTTCACTTGCCCCTTTGATGAAACAGGTCATTGTGAAAAGCGATGTTTTTTGCCAAAATCTGATTTAAATAGAATGTTGTGGTACGCATTGTACATAGCAGCCAAGTTTTTTCATCAGATAATTTATGTGGTTTACCTAACAGTTGTAAATACATTTTGCACACTTTTTAAGACACCTTAAAATTTTATTTTAAGTATAAAGTATTTATTTTTCTAGACCAGTGCTGGTTAGAGACCATTGTAAATAATTCATGTTGTTGTTAAAAGCATCATTTGATCAGCCAAATAAATTTTAGCTTGTAATACAAATGATCTTCTTGTGGAATTAGGGAATCAATGGTCTCTAATTTAAATGGAATTAAAGCTTCTTCAAAGGCTAGGACTCAGCTTGTTGGGGAGCACGTATCCATTTACGTATTCATGGGGACTTGGTAATGTTCATGAGGCGTACATGACATATCTAAGTTTAGGCCAGCGAGGAGGCTGGAACCTAATGTTTGAGCGCGGTTTTCAAAGTAAAACGTTTGGTTGTGGGATTGTTTAGTAGTACTCATCACATTTGATCTGTCTTGGATTTTATTCCTGCAATGAGGCGAACAACCCTAGGCCCTCTTAACATAGGAAATCAGAGCAGACCGGTCGCTCGGGAGAAGAAAACTTCTCTTGGATCGAGAGCTTCAATAGGAAATAGGACATCACTCGGTAGACCTTCGACTTCGGGGAGACCTTCGCTCGCTGGTGCAAGATCATCAGCGACTGGAAGGTAGGAAAACGTCGTAAACCCAAAAAGTTTCGCCCCATCTTTTAACGTTATTATGATTCGGTGCTTTTGTATCAACTGCCTATTACATGTTTTGCGCGGAAATAATGTCTTAATTTGGTATAACTTTCTGTATTTTTTCCCTTCTAATGCAGTTGAATCTAAATAATGTCAACACTTCTACTGAAAGCTTAAATCAACTGAAGCTTGATCTTTTTATGCTTATTTTGTAGTTCTAATAGATCTTTAATCTTTCAGGAGACCATCTAGCCAATATGGGAGAGAAAACTGTGTTCAGATGAAAGATCCGCGGCCCCTCTCCGACAGAGGTGCATGAAGCCTTCTCTAATTTCATTTTTTCCTCTATCCTCTATCAGGCCTTTTTTCGTTATTTCTCTTTGGTTCACTTCAAGACTTACATTTTTCAGAGTCCATAAACTTTTTCTAGGTCTTCATGATCACAATAAAACTGCATCAATTGTTGTTTATGGTTTTATATTTTGAAAGAACGACCTATACTTTTTATCAGAACAGCCAAATATTTAAACTAGGTTCAAAGCTTGAAACCTACTTTTTGCATTTTCATCCCAGGATACCAGCAAAAAATGATTAGATATCTTATGGAGGTATGTGCAGTATTATATTTTTAATTTGCAAAGTATATAGGGTTGAACCGGATGGCTAATTAATTTTCCTGGAATCACTCTTATCGTTCACATATCAAAAACCTGAGCCAGTTCACACGTTTGCGATTTGCCGTGATCTCAGCTCATCTCTTGCAAAATTATATAACTTCGGATGCTTTCTCATAAATTATCATGACTTAAAGAAATAATCTCTAAACCTGTTCAGCTGATGTGTTCATCCCCCTAAAGACCCTTGCAAGACTGTCAACACATAAGGATATTTTTTTTCTGTTAAATTCATCCATTATTATTTACAACATTTTTGAGCCTGTAATCAATTGTAACTACATTAAGTTTTATGTCAGTAATTGAATTTTCACTAGTCTTACAGAGTTAATGAATAATGCTACCATTATTAACTTAGTTCCTGACAGAGTTTCATTATCCACATCAAATTTCCATGAGAATTCTGAGTGCTCCTTCTACAAAAGAGTTCTGCAACATTTTCCAGGTAATGTAAACACTGTAGTTTACAAAAAAGCTAGACACTTTAAGCTTGCATCTACCACAGTGATTTCATGTATTTTTGGCCAGTTCTTCCTTCTTATGGTAATTGTCAGAAACTTAGTATTTTTTATAAGTCCTCACAAACCTATTCCTCAACTGCATGTATCAACAATTCTCTGTAAATTAGAAAAAAAGTACAAATTGACACTCCCAAGAGTATGTTATGCTATCTGTGTTTACATTATTTTGTTGTTTTCAACAAGAGAAATTTGAATGTAACCTCTGAGAGATTATAGGAGTCCTTAATTTTTTTACTCTAAATGTGAGGTCTATTTTGCACAGTTTCTTTACAAGTACATAAAGGCAGACACTCAAAAAAACACTTCACTGGAATCCAAACCAGCAGAGGAGATCCCAAGGATTTTCAAGATGTTAGGGTATGTTGGGAAAGCTAAGATTAAGGAAGAATTTTCTTTGTTTCCTAGTCAGGGCTCTTATAACACAATCAGTGAAAATTATTGTATCAATTATATATATTCCACATTTACCTCCATAAATGTTTTTTGTTCCTCAGTTATCCATTTACAATTTCAAAGAGTAACCTGCACTCTGTTGGAAGTCCTCACGCTTGGCCCATGGTACTCGGTGCACTGTGCTGGCTTATTGAACTTATCAAGGTTAATTATTGTTAAATTATACTGAATTTGATGCATTTTGCCATAGTTAATGATCCTCAGAAAATTATAGCTGTCACAATGTCATGACCAATGACTGCTTCACTGGCTTTACATACAGAGAGACAAACAATTTGATTTTTTTTGTACATGTAATTAAATATAACAGCATGCCATGAGTGTTGGTCAGGATATTGAAGGCCATGTTCTGTTCCCTGAGGACAATTACAGAGCTGGTGAAGAATACCAAGATGGGCCACAACCTGAAGACAAGGTAAGTCATGAATAAAGCTACAATTAGTTAGACTGGGTGACATATGTAGTCTGTGAGTCATCCTGAAAAGAACTGCATTGCATGGTTTGAACCCAGGAATAAAAGTGTATGGTATAGTCAGATCATCTGAGTGCAAGTAGCCCTGAAAAGGCTGCTGTCAATGATATCATTAATGACTGAATACTTAATGACTTCATGGCTGCAAGGATTTTTTTCTTTTCTTGGGAGAATGGTGCACTTTCTTTCTTCTTCAGGCATTTTTTTTTCTTTTTTCCTTTTACCAGGGACTTTCTTTTGCTTTTGATTTTCCCATAAGCAAAGATTTTTCTATAAGTCAGACAAAAGGCTAACGCTTGAAAAGTCAGCATCTAAACTCTTTACGGTGGCCAATTTACATTTTCAAGTCAGTTGATAACACTAAATTACCCTATAATTTCAGTACTTTTTTAGGTATTTGGAGAAAAGTTATGCTGCTTTCATGATGGGGACAGAACTTGATGAACTGGGAGAATTTGACAATGAGTTTATTGATAGCATAAGTAAGTTTAATGTTTGGGTGTGAAAATTTTCACAATACAGAAATGTTCTTAATTTGAAGTTTCTCAATCACCAGTCTTGAGAATTATAGAGTTGACTTAACTTAACTTTTGGTCACATTTACTTTGTTTTCAGGATCAAGAAATGCTGTTCTGCTTGAAGGTAAATAGATTTTCTTAGATTCAAAAATTTAGTACAAAGGTTCATGAAAATCTACTAAACACCAATAACTCATGAAAATCTACTAAACACCAATAACTCAGCAAGTTAACAACCACACTGCAGCTTGTAATGACAACAACCTTCAGACTAACTGTAGCTAGCTGTGAGAAGTGTTGATATCATTTTTTATTTCAAACGTAAACTTGTAGCAGTGGTCAGTGAATATATTATTTTATTTAACTTGGTTCACTGGTGGGTAAACAGCGATGAGAATAATCATCAGCATGAAAAATAAGTTTTCACATTTTAGAAGAGTAAGATAAACCTTTTACATTCATTTGCTTTCAGGAAATGAAGACCTGATGAGAGATAACCTAATGCTGGAGGAAGAATTGAACGCCCTGAAAAATGATTCTGTGAGTACTTACTAGAAAAATTGTGTCATCTCATGTTATTAGTTGATATGGATATTTATCTTTTCCAAAATGAGAAATCTGTACTGAATTAATAAAATTGTTGAGTTAAATCACAGTAAAAGATTTTCAGATGAGAGAATTTCTTGAGCTGGGAAGCAGATTGAAGTCAAAGAGGAATAAAAAATCAGTTTTAAAAAGAGACACTTTGTACAAAACAAGGGAAATTGAACAAGATTGTTTTTTCCTTTTCTTTCAAATGTCCTCTGAGCTTTGCTATTGACTTTTTGAATTTTAAAATATCATTGAAAGGAACATGTATAGAAGAAGAACATGTATAGAATGTACTAATAGTTGTTTGTTTTCTTGCTTTGTAGTTGCGTCTCCAAACGTTAGCTGAAAGAAAGATAACATTAACTTCTGACAAGTAAGATTTGCACTGAATTAAGTATAAATTTAACATGTACCTTCATTAATGCTTGTTCTCTGGATCATGTGTTGTAAACAGGTTGAATATATTACAACCCCCTGGTCATCTGTAATCATTACTGACTGTCAACAATTTCCTGTGCTTATCCTGTAGGGAAAAGTTTCAGAACTACCTAGGAGACTTGGGGAAGAGTACAAAACAGTTGGAGGAAAAGAATGACCAGCTTGTTGAGGAACTAAGAGGACTAAGTAATATATACTAATATAGTAATATACTAAGTAATATATATATATATAATATATATAATATATATAATATATACCTCTTAATGACTGAGTTTGAGGTTCACACTCTAAGCTACAGACAGGGTTAACTTTCACTTGTATTTATGACCCAACTCAAAGTATGCATGTCCACACAGGAAACATAAGGTACCGTAACTCAAAGTACAGACCTCAAACTCAATTTGTAAGAGGTTAGAAGGAAATTTTTTCATATCTCTGAGTTCAATAAGGAGAAGATTTAATTTCAAACAAACCTTTGAATGTAGCAGGCTGTACTGTGAAATACAGCCTGCTAAATTGACCAATCAAGTACATTGAAGTATTTATTTCCTTGTAGTTACAGTATTTGAATCCTTTTAACTTTCTGTTAAGTTACAAATGAATATTATTTTTTGTTGTATCTGCAGAAGTAGAACAAGATGCCATCACCCAAGAAAATGCACGGCTTCAGGTAAATATATGTTACAAGGCTTTGTTGTTGTCGATGTGTGGTGTTTCTTGAATGTAACTCTGACCTTGTGAAGTGCAAACATTGTTACTTAACACCCACCCAAGAGAAAACACACTAATCACTACCTTGTAAGTTCAATAGAGACAGTATCTTACTGCAGTGTGAAAGGGCAAAGTTTCAAGTGTCTGACAGGCCCTATACACCTGAGATTTTATGCAGGTCTGTAAAAACCATGAAGCCTTTTCTGACCTAATGCTTGGGCATTGTTGAGTCTTCTTAGATGGGGATGATGCACTAAAGACCAAATTTTCCAAAGAAAAGGAGGTTCTTTTATCACCATAGGAGACATCCCATTACATATATGTGCTCCAATAATACCTTTTTCTGTGTGCCACTGAGTTTAGCCATCTCCCTTCCTTGCGAATTAACCCTTTAAATCCTGAGAGTGACCAGCATCTAATTTCTCCATAATAATTTCTCCATTCATAAAATCATGAGCATAAAGGAAATGATTATTACATGTAATTTGAGAAGCTCTGATTGTTAAATAAACTCTCCTTGTCAGTACCAAGGAATTATACAGAGAAGGGTATGGAGAATATGGCTATTGAAAATATGGTGTAAAGAATTAAACTTATTAATTCAAACCTTAATTTTAAACAAAGTATGCATATCTTTTCATTCATTTTCTAATCATTACTTGTTTATATTGCTGCAGCAAACTCTGAACAACCAGGAGCTGAGTTCTGCCGATGTTGAAAGAATGAAGCATGAGAAAAAAGAACTACAGAAGGCCATTGAACAACAAGAAAGGGAAAGAGATTATTTTAACCAGCAGATCTGGGAAAAAGAGATGCAATTTGCGAAAAAACACGAAGAGGTTAGCTAGCAACAGGGCATTCAATTTGAAATCTGTCGCTGACTGTAATACTGTCATACCATAAGGAGTTTGTTTTGTCACTAGTGTAAAAGATAAAACAGAAAGCCTGAATCTTTTTTCACCAACTTTTGGCATCCATTTTAGACTGAGAAGCATGTACGAGAATATAACGAAATGGCAAGGAACTTGAAATTGATTCCACCCTCAGCAGAAAATGCAAATGGTATTGACTTTGAGATGCACTTCAATCCACACTCACAAAGACCTGATCAGAGAGCTCACATGGACTTTAAGGGAACCATAAAGGTATGTCTAATGACATAATACAGTGTGACTGTAACCTATTTGCTGGATTTCCTGAAGTGGCACATTTTGCCAGAAGTTATCTCGGATTCATCAACAGGGGGTAACTACTGAGTTGGGGAACTTTTTTGTCTGGGGAGTGCATTAGTGTAACTGCACAAGAGTTGGCTGTTGGGAAAATGGAAATAAAGAGCTCCATTTTTTGTGAGTGCTGTCTCTCATGCTGCGAAACTGTTTTGCTCCCCCCCAAAATAAAAATGTATTACACACATAAGTGTGTCATTGGTATTACCTCCATGTCTCATTTGTTACATCATGATGATGGAAAACATTAAGCTGAGTTCTAAATGTGAAACAACAATTTCATTACATGTATTATTCAACAGCCTGCCCTTCTTCATCTCAAACAACAAATCAGTGAAAAGAGTCGTACCACTCAGTCTCAGGTCATCACTGAAGAGGAAGCATTTGATCAGGTAGAAATTTATGACTGGTTACATATGAAAACTAAATTGAAGGTGTGAACTTGAGTTAAGTGATGTGGGGGGGGGAGAACTAAAAAGTTTTACAATCTGTCTCTTCATTATGGTCAGGATGATTGATTTTAAGGTATTCAGGGCCCCTCAGGGTACCAGCCTTATGGCTGATTGGACCACCATGGTAACATAAAGCTTAACACCTCATTCGAAAGTAACTCTAAACAAACAATAGTCATTCAGGCCAAACAGGCTTGTATTCTGCAATTTTTCCTTGCTGCACTTTTAGTACATCTAACCATTTAATGTGCTCTTGAATAATAAATGTACTTGGTGCACCCTTAAAATGTGGAGTTTTCGTCAACACTAGACACTGAAAACAATCAGTCATTACTTTTGTCCAAGGCCAGGTTGCTCAAAGCTAGGTTAAGATGAACCAGGGTAAGTGTAAGATCTGATTTCAGATCTAAAAGCTTTAATGAATATAAAATGTATAATTCTTTTTGTCTACAATTTGTTGATTGGATGTTGTGAAAAGAATGAAGAAAGTCATCCCTAAAGGTTTTTGGACAAAGGAATAAAGAAACCCAGATTAAACTTTAACCTTGGGTTAGTGCTAATCAGCCTTTAAACAACTAGGCCCAAGTGTTCACAACCCTAATTAGATGCTGTGTTATTTAAGATAAGTGAGATGGTGGCAGACAAGCAAGAAGAGGTGACAGCTTTGGAGAGCAAACTGCAAGTACTGGACAAGGAGTTAGATTGGAAAAAGGAGGTATTGCAGCAACTGTGAAGTTAACTGAGTTGAACAAGAATAACATCCTGAATTTGAGAAAACTGCGTAATCCTTGAAAGTTGTTGGGTAGTACTATAGAATGAAATGTTGTACTGATTTAAGAAGCAAAAATTTAGAAAGAGAGCTTCTCTTTTGGTAACAGAATATAAATGTTTGGTCTAACAGTAGGTGCCAAAATTGAAATTAACCATCATGTTTATTTTAAGAGAAGATCCAATTACTGAGCACAAGTAGAGAGCCTTGAGAAGCATAGAAGAGAGCAAAGCTGGACAGACATTGCCCCCCCCCCCCAAATTTCAAGGCAAATTATGATAAATTTTCCTCAGCAACATGCCTTAAGACTATGTTCAAACTAACACCATTAGCATCTACTTGTCAAGGATGCTACCCCTTTCAGACTTCGTCAATGGGAAACATTTTATTTTAAGCTTGTTTTTGGTGTTGATTGTTGTTAATTTTTTGGTCATTTATGATGGTTTTGCCTAATTTGCATAGATCATGGCAAAAGAGTACCAGAAAACCACTGGAGCTTCACAGGGTTTGGAGGAAAGTGTCCAACAGATGAGAGAGAAGGTGTTAGAATCTGAGGAGGCAGTGGAAGACAAAGAAAGCACCCTGAAGGAAATAAAACTGAGGTTACAACATAGCAAAATAGCATCTGTACCACAAACAAATGAACATGAACATGAACATGAAAAAGATACTGCATTGAGGTTGATAGACCTTTACCAGATCAATATTCGCAGATGATGATGATGATGACAATGATGTCTAACTTGTAAAATTTACTACCAGTAGTGTCAAGCATGCTTTGACCAAAAAATGTCTGATCTCTATTAACTGTTTATCACCCAGAGTGGAGCAAAGTGTTGTTGAGCGACAGAAGGAGAAAGAAGAATGTTCAGATTTTGTACTGAAGGCAAGCCATATGATCATGGAACACAAGACTCTTATTCAGGTAAGGTTGTTATAAAGTTTTACCTATCTACTTTCATTACTAAATTGCAGGTTGGGGCAGATGAGGGGAGCTGAAAGTGACAATGTCCTTCCCTATGACAAGTTCTCAACTTGTAGTTTATGCAGATTGTTATTTTCCAATGCTTTAGTGAAACAACATAAGTAGAGAATTTTTTTCCTCACATTCTTCTGGGGCTTTTTAATGTGCCTTGTCATGCACCTAGGTCCATCAGTGACCTAAAACTTACTAAAAAAAGATTTCAAGTTATATGGTGCTATCACATATATCTCCTCTTATGTCTAGAAATGCATGCAGTAATGAAATGACAAATTTGATGAACTTTCGTCAACCCGAGTGAATGTTTATGGATTTGACAATTTTGGTGAATTTAAGTCAAATTTGTCAAAGTGAAAACAGAAGGACAGGATTGACAATTTTAACGAATTTTAGTAGAATTTGTCAAAGTGAAATCAGGTCAGTGGATTTGACAAGTTTGTTAAATTTTCACCAATTTTGTTACTGCATACATTTCTGGACATACCTTGGTGCAATGGTTGGTCTATGTACAAGCCTTGCTGATCTCAAGCTTTGTATGATGTGACTGTGGAGTTTTGTTGAGTTTTCTGGAAAGGTCTGTGCGGCAGAGCTACCAGTATGGTGTGTGGAAGTTCACTTTAAAGGGAGAATGAATCACTTTGACTAGTTCGTTGCAAGTTAATAAGTTTGGAGCCATTTGTCAAAGCTCATCCTTGATGCATCAGCCTTCCCAGGCCAATTTGTACTGATAAGTCAGAGTATTTTGCTTAGCAGAGTGAATTGACAACAAATTGTAACCTTATTCATTACATAACCAGTTGACTGTTTACAAACAGCAAACAAGTGTGCTGAGTTTTTTTTGCTGTTATCAGCCTCTTATTGTTAAATTGTTGTAATTTTTAATTACAGAATCGAACGCATGAGCTTCTGAAGCAAGCAGAAGAAATTTATGAGCAAACAAAACAGCTTGAAATTCCTAAAACATCCATACATATTCCAGAGCAAAATGGGGAAGAAAATTAAAATACTAGCAGAGCAAAAGTTTTTTTCTGGTACTAACTGTAATTTGAGTTTCTAGTAATTCATGTCTGAGGCATTGTATTATAGAAACTTTTTAGTTAACAGCACATTTTCCTAAAATTTATAAATAAGTGAACAATTAACTTAGAGTACTTTTAGTTGCTAGGGAAAACAAAGTATAAATGCTTTTCTGAGTCCCCCCTCCAGGTATTACTCGGCTTTTCCAAGACAAAGCTGTAAAGTGGAATTTTAAACTGCCCTGATCTTCTTGCACAAGGAGGTGTAAATGGTTGTCTGATTTGAATTGTTATTTATTGGAACAGAGAAGTGTTTTGGGGTAAAATGCAATATTTGAGAGTTTGTAATTGTTCATGCAAGTTTGTAAGGAAAGTTTTTCAATCCATGTAAACTAGATATTGTCTTGCCAGTACATATCATCCTCTCATTTAACACAGTCTTTTATATTTATAGTGCATCAAATTGAGAATTTATGATGAACAGTGTATGTTACCTACTAAAGGAATAAAAACCCTCTTTGTGAGTTGCACTTTTGTGTAATTCTGTTAATCTTGGTGATCTTTCTTTTTTACTTAAATGCTCATTCTAACTCATTCATTTTTTCCCCAAAACATCAGTGAAGAGCAATTACATAGTTGAGGGACAAAATTGAGCTAGGAAAACAAAGAGGGGTTCATCTTTCCCTCTACTTTGTGAACTCCAGAAGCAGGCTCATGTTTAATGGTGATGGTAGAGCTCCATTCTCATTGACACTGCTCTGAGTCAGATCACTTGTAGATTTTTCCTCCCTCACAGGTTTGACATTGAGTCCTTAACTCAACTACCACCAGTTGGGAATAATATCACTGGTTTAATATCTGTGGCTTGAATGATGTTTATACTCATGCGAAGAATGTCTGCTCTTGTGGCCTTCAGAATGTTTATGTTTCTCTTGATAGTGCTTTGAATTCCTGTCTTTGTGTCTTGGAGAATGATCCCTATCAAAAAATTAATCAACCAAGGAAAGTTTACATCTGTTGCTAGGGCTACCATCTTTTGTAATAAAAGTGTTGCTGCCATGGATCGATGGCCAGCAAAAATCACTTAAACAAAGTCACAGCTGATACACTGTTAAAATTGTGAAAATCAGTTTAAAATGATTACTAGTAAAAAGGGAAAAAAACTTAAATAATTTAATCAAGTAGATTGTAAAAAAGTAACAATAGATACCTATCTCTTCAGTTTTTGTGATCTGTTGACTTTTCTTCAAGTTGTGCCGCATGTTTCTCCTCAGCATGCTGATAAAATAAGGACATCTGCACTTTGCATCAATATGACGATTACAAATAACCTCTCACCATCATTTCTGCTATTCTAATTACATGTACAGGGCATGAAATTATGCCTAATACAGGTGCCAATGTGACTAAATTTTTCACTTTAGTGACCAAATCCTGAAAATTAGTTTAAAAAGATTTGCAAAGATAAATCTGTGGCAAGCTTCCTTGTTAAGTTTGTTTTCAAATGCAGCACATGCATCTCAATTGATAACTTAACGCCATCTTGGATTTAGGTGAGCTTGAACATTATACATCATCCATCTTAGTGTCCAATTTGTAGCATGTTAGAGATCTTTTCCCTAACTTAATTTTGGAGGGTCTATCTAGAATGCTGACAGCATAAAAAAAGGTTTTGTCTGTCTTTGAAAATGGCGACCAACTTTTTTTGAATTGGCTACCACTTTCTAGAATTTAGGAGCCAAGTGGCAATCAGAAAAAAATAATAATTTCACGTCCTGATGTACAACCTTCTTGATTGACTTACTAAAATGAGTTGAAATGTGGGTAAAAGCTTGCAGCAGGGGTCAAAGGTGGGGTAGTACTGACCCCCTCATATTCTGGCTGGGATTACAAGGAGAGAGAGTGACAAAAAAAGAGGTTCCAAGACTGCAGCAGCTTGTTGTTAACATTATGGCATCCTTTTGATCTCTTAAAAATTGTTACACTTCTCTTACCTTATGACTTCTTGAGAATTCATCTCCATGTTTCTTTTTCTTTTCAATTCTCTCCATGTTATCATCACTGTTGCTGGGGCTCCTTCTTCTTTCCTGTTTATCTCTCTTCCTTCTGTCCCTTGGACTATCACCACTACTGTAACTTTCTTTCTTTTCTGGCCTTCTGTCCCTTTCCTCTCCACCATGTTTTCTCTCTTGTTTGTTATCTTCGTTGTCATTATCACTGTGCCTTGATGTTCTTTCTTTTTCGATTCTGGACTTGGAAAAATCTTTATCCCTGTTGCTTCTTTCTTTTTGTCCCTTCTGTTTACTCCCAGATTTTCTATCACTGTGGTCATCATCAAATACCAAATCATAGCTTCAATCAAGGAGTCAAGGAAAAATAAACTTCCCAGAAAAAGCACCCACCCTTTTGGCCATAATTTCAAACAGGCACCCCCCCCTCAAAATAACCCCCCCCCCTTCCTTCTACCCCACTCTCTTATAAATAGTAGGGATAAAAGCAAAATCTGTTTCTGTTGCCACTTTTTTCACATAACTTTTTAGGCTTCAACTACAGCAGAATCAGAGCAGGAGAATAATAAGCACCCTCCTCCCAATAAGTGCTATCTCTCCCCCCTTTTAGAGGGAGGAGAAAGTGCACTCTCTCTCCCCCTGGGCACTTTTTCAAGGAAATACCGTATATTTAAAAATAAATTTAAACTTAGTTTGTAAGCAGAGCTGATAAGGATACTTTGAAGACTGCTTTTGTCCCTTGATGGCAAATTTAGGTTTGTCCTTTTCACTTTTGTCTGAGAAGACTGGTTTAGCACCTGTGTTGAAGAGGAAAGAAAGAAAGGCAAAGCTGTAGACAAATGATGTTTCACTTGCTTGATATTGTTTATCACACATTTCTTATAATTTTAGCTTGAAGAATTTTATGCCAAATCATACAAATATAACCTTTGGTTGATATTGCTTTAGCTTTCTTCTTTTTTCCTTTATGCTTAAAAACGCATAGATTAAACGTGAGGAGAAATTAATTTTTGGTCATTCTTGGAAGTTAAAGAGTTGAACAATAAAATACACTCAGGATTGCATAGTTGCATTTTCACACTCCAGTATTGCCATTTCACTAAAAAGGCAGACGATTTAATGAAAAAATTACCTTGCTTTTGCATCTGGACTTTAGCCACTGATTGTGAAAAATCAACATGGATTCGCCGATCATCAATAAGCACATTATCCATTTTAAAATAAGCTCGTTCGCAGTCTTCTACCTAAATAAAAATATTCTCAGGTTGTTCATTATTATTACTGCTTACCATAATGTAATACCTAGAAGTGATTGGCAAATGACATCTTTTTGCAGTTTCATAAAATTATCCAGAAAACAGGAATTAAGACAAGACAAATTTTCCACCTGAGGAATGTTACCCTCAGCTGATAAAAAAAAATTATCAAAAGTTTTCAAAGTATGGGGAGATGTTATATAACAAGATTGAAGAATTGTTGTTCACGTCTTGGCAGACATAAGGGTCAAAATTTCTAAACAATAACCTTAAGTAAGCCAATGCACTGTAACTCGCCAAATTCTTGAGCACCATGGAAGAATCATCTGAAGGTAACAAGCACTTACATTCTCAAACTCAATGAATGCATACTGTAAAGATTCTCCAGTCTTCTGATCACGTATGACTTCACAACTGAAATAAAAAAAACAAAGTAAAGACACCAGTACACTTGCAAAAGAACACTACTACTCCTGGCAAACAAAGCTCCAGCTGATTTAGAACAGTCTGATTAACTCTTAAACTTCTATTACTGACCAAAACAGAATTTCTCCTTATAAGATCAATACAAAATCTAGCAGACAAGTTACAAGAATAAAGAAAATATCAATTAAAGGATTATTAAAGGGTTATTATTATCCAATACCAAGTTCTACAGACTAACATCATAAGAATTATGTGGCAGACAGTATGGAAAACCACTCAATCATGAGATCTTAGAAGTGAAAGGGTTAAACCATAGCAGTCTACTCAAGGAATTCACAGCAAACCATACCTTTTAATTGGACCAAACCTTGAGAAAATGATCTCCAGGTCTTGATCCTGAGTGACAGGATTCAATTTGCAAACAAACAAGACATTTTCTGGGGGTGCCATGTCTGCATCTGGAAGATCACCAACCTGACAAAAAATTTAAACTACAATAACCATAATTTTATAGAACAAGGTAACAGGCTTAATCTGAGGCCAGAGGTTTGTAGATATCAAAGAAAATTTAGCTTAACCCATTACACCCTAACATCAGTATGTATATTCTCCAAACTGCCCTCCATACATATCCTAAGGTGCTGACAAGGAGAATTTGTTTAACAATCAAGAGTTGGTGGTCATTTCCTTTATTCTCATGACCTTAATTTTTGATTCAGGGGTGATATTGTAAGGAGAAATTAGATGCTAGTCATTCTTTGGGATAAAGGGTTAAATTACAAGCTTGTAATATAAATAATCCAATAGCATACAGTTTGAAAGTAAGACAAATATTTGTGACAAAGAATTCTAGCCTAAATTAAATTTAAACAGAGTATGCTTTGCAGTTCTCTCAGATGTGCACAACAAACAGATCAGGTAAACAGTAACTAAATGATATTTAAGCATTCACAATGAGACTTGCCCTTTTGAAAATAGATCAGACTGATAAGTGATAGTTTGTTGTAGCATTAATACATGATCACAGTTATTTTTTCCTGTGAACACACCTGATAGCTACATCAATTTTGGTTGTCCTTTTTACCAAAGCAGTGATCATGCAATTTTCACTGATGGTTTAATGAATCATGAACAACCACAACCAAAGCAATAAAGTTCAAAGACCAGAGGCAAGGATATTAATAACTTTTTCCACATGCCGATGGTGTGTTAGGAGGCTATACCAGAAAAGGGTCACAAGGCAACACCCAAACACAAGAGCCTGCCAGCTGCCAGAACAGACTGTGATAAGAGGTCCTATGGGCAACAGTTGACTACCAGTAATTGGCTTTTATTGAAATCATCACCTGAGGACTGATCCCTGTGAGCAGTTCATAATATGTAAAAGGCTCTTTACTGGCAAAATTACCATTTCAAGAATTTGTGTCCCAGCTTTAAGCTCTCGTTCCTCTATCATCTCATCAATTTCCTCCATGGTTTTACCTTTGGTGTCATCAATTTCTTCATCAGCTCTGATACGGCCACTCTGAAAATAAACAACTTTCAGTCTACACAGAGATCAATGCAAAGCAATCTGTTCCAAACCATTTTTGTTCTACTGAAAATCATGTTCTTACTCAAAATAATGTCATTCTCTAATTTCACCATCTAAATTAAGTGTAGTTGTAGATTCTTTAAATATGATATAATAATAGTTTTAAGATAAGATACTATTTAGCTTGCACAGACTACATAAACAAGTAAATGAGCCAAAGAAAAGTCAAAGTTTTCACTTACGTCAAGCTGTTCTTTGGTTGGTTCTGGTGATCGATCTGGTACAACTAAGCCAGCTGGATCATCATATGGATCATCAATGATAACTGTGTGGTTTATTCTGTGTTATTAAAAACTGAATCACTGGATAATACAATTCAAGAGTCTTTATTGGCTTAGCCAACATGGGTTATGAGCCATTATACCATGTGGGTGCATGAAGACAAGTTAAACTGAAATTTAGTGTTTTTGTACATTGTAACATCCTTTTTGTTCTCACAAAATACAGTTGAGTAGATTTATCCATATTTTGGGCATTTTTAATGAAACAATTATTCCACTCACACTTGTTGGATATGAGATGATTACAGCCAACTGAGCGATGGGCCTCAATTTGGCTGTCTTTGATGTCATATCCAACACGAAAAGAGAATGCATTATTTTGTTAAGTATACAACGCACAGGCTTTTTTTTCAGAATAAAAGTGCAGAACAGAGATCATAAAGAAAATATTTAAAACAGCAACTGAGTGAGTTGAAAGCAGTCCCTGAGAGGAAAAAGATGCAGAAGATCCCATAAAAATTCCTTAATTAAAAAGACCCTGATCAAATTCATTGTTCATTCATTTATCAAGTTCATTTTGAATTCTTATTTGAAAGGAATGTATTTGCCAATTTGTGCATCACTTTATATAAATTATTGTCAAAATTTAACAATCATCATGATAAAAGCATTACTGGTACTTAAAATTAGAAAAGATCTCTCTGATTGCAACTGTGCATGACTTCTTTGGACTATGAGTAGTACAGATGATATTTTTTGATGGAGAAAAAAAATAAAACCAATATAAAACTGACATGATTGAATACATGCCTGATGTCTTGGTATGGCCTGTGATCATCATCACAAATTGCTTCATTCAGTTTGTCCAAGACTTCAAATCCTTCAACAACTTCAGCAAATACAGTATGAACACCATCTAGATAGTCCAAATCATCTCCAAGGGTGATGAAAAACTGTTGGAAAATGAATAAGTTCAGATCTGAGCATGCAAGTTGGATGATATAGTGGCATCTCTCTTTTAAGACATCTTGTCCCAGAGGACACTTTTTCAGGTCCTGGGTGCGCAATTAAAATTATATTAGTAGGAAAGAAAATTAATTCTCATTACCAGCAAACTATAAACTGAAGATAACCTGACCAAATTTCAGATGATCACCTATAATAAATAGACTGTCAAATATCCCTTCAAAGTGGTGCAAATATACTCCTTGTTGCTGCATGCAACAGCATGTGAAAATATGTGACAGCAGGAACGGTTCACTTGGCCTTTATGACTTTATTGTCCATTGTGTGTCACTTTTCACATTCAACTGTGAAACTCCCCTATCTAACACCACTCATGATGGCCGATCAGATGCCCCTAGAGCACTTCAACTTACTTGAGAACCATGTAAGTTGTCTCCATTGTTTGCCATAGAGACAGTCCCTCTTGATTTATGTTTGAGGCGAGGTTTAGTTTCTGCTTTAAAGAATTTGGCTTGATCTCCATACAAGGACCTAGAGAACATGAGATAAGCAATTAGGAAAAAAAGTAGCAGGGTAAATAAACTCTCACAATTATTGTGAGAGTTTATTTACCCTATTTTGAAACAGCAGTTGCCATATGGTTTCCCACATTCATTGACCTAATAGAGACAATTGGATTTGACTCAATATTCTTGAGATTGTCTTCAAATGTGATATCATCATGATTTTTTTTAATTTACAGAACTGGAACATTCACAGTGAAGGGCAATACATTATTGTTTGTTTCATCGACTTCAATGTCAGTAATGGGCATCAGCATCATGCAACCATTGACACAAGCTGCACCCCCCCCCCTCTATGTTCTCAAACAGCAGAACATTTCCTTGTAAAATTAGAAGATGAAAATTTTCCATGGCCTTCAAATATACACTATAAACCTAAGAGTTTTATGCAAAAAAAACCTATGTCCCTCATTCTTGCAAATTTAAAAAGTTTGCATGTACCTGAACACAGATTCCCCTCCATTGCCACGACCTGTAGGGTCTCCAGTCTGAGCAAGAAAGTTTTGCTACATGTAAGAAAAAAAAAGTTAAATGAGCCACTCAAACATACACAGACAGTTTGACTTTTTCTTTGTCTATCGTGCGTGTTAGAGATGAATTATCCCCTTACCTGGATAGAATGAAACAAGCAGTAGTTGTAATACTTTATCTTGCACAACTTCAAAAAGTTGAAACATGCTGAAGAAAGAAGGTAACAATGCCCGTGTCATAATCGAGTTTTAGGTATGAGTGTCTTTAAGATACGCTTAAGAACCAACGCTAGCTCAATGGTGCTATGACTTCCTACAAACTTTGTAATCAATTTAGAGAATCTTCGATTAAATAAACCTTGCTAATCAAACAAAATCCTTTTTGCATTACGAACAACTTCAATCTGCGGAACGTAAAACGGTCATTTCCAGTAGAGTATTTAAGTGACAATCAAGAAACAGCACTTTTTACACATTCATGCCGCCTTGCAGAATAAATTTCAACTAACCTCGAGGTCTTTCGGACGTAAAAAGATCGATTATAATATCTCCTATTGTTGTCTCAAGAATAACCGACATTTCTCAACATGAAGACCTTCAAAAACCCCTCAAATAACTATCACGACTAAAAAGGCTTATAGTTTCTAATTCGGGGCTCAGAAAGCCAATAATCGCCCTAAACTTTAGGGAAAAATGCCCAGACAGCTACGTCACAAAAAGATCTGGGTACTATGTCAACGAACATGCGCCTTACATAGAGTAGATACAGAAGAGCGGGAGATTTCGATGCTGAAAAACAAGATGACTTCTTGTAACGAGTTTTTTAATCGTCTCCGAAAGCTTGCTTTCTCGGTGGATAGGGAGACTAACGGATTAAAAGAGGCCTTAGAGAATTCTGAAGTATCTACCTATGATGAAAATCGAGCCTGTCTGTTACTACGTGAAACTTTAGCGGAAGTTAAGGATCTGAAGGTAATATAACTCTGGGTAACTCCTTCTAAAAATTATACATCGTGATCGCGTCGGAAATGTGGAAGATTATTTTCAAATCCGCTTCTAAGTGATAAACAAAGAAAAGTACAGTAAAATTTCCGCACAGCTCCATACTACAGTAAAACAAATCTGTTTTCCCAGTGAAAATGTATTTTTTTTGTCATTGTTTTCTCTATCCAAGAACTGGATGCATAATGTAGTATGGGGCTGTGCGGAAATTTTACCCAAGATCTATTTTGTGGACTGTGAAAACAACATACGGAAACTGTTTCTTTTATTTTTCTTTTCTTATTTTCTCATCTGTGCAGAAAGAAATTAACGCTAAAATTGAAGATTCACACCAGCAATGTACATTTGAAGAGTTCATGTCAGCCTGTTCAAGGATCGTAAGTCAGACGAAAGAACAGATAAATGAACTTGAGGATCATTTGGTAAAATATGGATATACCAAATCCATGGGTAAGTCATTTAAAATAGAGGCAACATCATTAAATTTCCCAACTAGCTATAGGTAGAGGCTCACCGGAAATGTGTTCTTTCAGGAAATTTACCTGATCTGACCAAAGTTGGCACAAGTCTTCCTGGAGGCAATGGAAGGTGAGCCAAGTGGGAAGGACTTTAACAGATTACATTTATTGTTAAGTAATAACACCTTTTCACTGCCTTGCTTGGATTCAGTTTAAAAGGAAGTGTTCAGTGACCCTCCCCACCCCTGCCCTTAGCCCCCCTCCCCCCATAAATAAAAATTTTGTTGAAGAGACCATGCTTTTTTTGCTTCATGATTGCTTAACAGACACTAAATTTTCTGATTCAGTGTTGCTATGGATACTGCTGTAAGCTCTGAGCAATCTGATAGTGGAGATGATGTGACATTTGAGAAAACTTCAGATACTGAGGAGAGTATTCCCATGGAAACAAACCAGCCTGATCAGATCAGTAGCAAAGGTAGCAAATGTTGACAAGACTCAAGTAGCTGATTCTTTTTGTTCAATTCAGAACACTAAAATGCACATGAAACACTTTAACCTTTACACTTGAACTCCTGCATGCATAACTCCATGGTGTTCTCTATACACTCCCAAGGGTGTTGACAAGGAAAATTTTTGAACAATCAGAAGCTTTTTAAGTTGATCATTACCTTTATTCTCATGACCTTAATGTGAGATTCAGGGGTGATGTTGTAAGGAGAAATGAGATGCCGTTCACTCAAAGGTTTAAGCAGTCAAGCTAGCTTGCTTATATTCTAAAACCAGTAAAACAGACGTTAAATTCATCTCTATTCCCTGTTGTAGATGAAAACCTTTAATGACATTTTTGAAGGGAATGTGCTCTTTTCAATGTATGTATGGTATTGCTCAGATAGGCCTGAGATAGCCATTGTAAGAAATAAAAAGTGATTCTTAGTGTCTTATCTAATTATATACACCAAATTGACTTTTTACAGATAATGTTGAAGATATTCTTAAAACTCCTGAACCACCAGTGACGTTCACCAAAATGATTGAGGTCACTCCACAAAGATCACATGATACCAAGGATAAAGTACTAACAGATACAGAAATGATGTCCTGTTCAACACCTGAAGCTCCACAAACCAACACACCCATGATAAAACCAAGACTATTGGTTGAATCCACAGAATCTCCAATCAGCATCAATTCAACACCACAGGGTTTCCTTGTCCCACCACAGCCTATCACAGTCACACCAATGCTTAAGCATGCGGACCTTGTGGCCGTAACTCCACCTGGTTTGTCAAAGGGAAAAGAACATCCAGATCTACCAGCCCCACCCATCATGGGTACTCCAGGATTCAAGACAATTGTGCCCACAGGAGAGGAATCTCCTGTCGTTGGGCTTGAATTGTCCTTTAGTTTGGATAGTCTCCCACCTCCCCCTGACATTACATCTGTTCAGCTCCTGAAGCCAGGTAAGATATATGCTGTTACGTGATTATTTTTAAGGTAAAATGTTGCCTTATTACCCACCAACTTGCTCAGATCTTGTCTCAACTCAACATTTTCTTCTTAGTGTCTGTCTGTGTTGCGCATACAAAGGAGACATAGAAGGGGAAGTCACATACCTAACTAAAGTGTAAGGGAAGCCTTGGGTACAGCTGTTAGAACCTTAATTAACTTTTTTTTAGTTTGCAGCCATTATTTATGCTTTTCACTCACTTCTGTTCCCCTCCTCACCTGAGAGTAAAGATTGCATGACAAACCTAAAGGATGTGCAGAGAGGTTCTTCCTGCCAGTAACAACCAACTGAAGAGCAAAACCAGACCATAATGCAAAACTAGGACAATTTGGGGGGAGCTCAGAGGGTTATTTCCTAATGAAACCCTTTCTAGATAATGTCGGGATATTCAAACAACATGAGATTTTCATTCTTAATTTGACAGATGACATAGCAGCTCCTATTCAAAGCAACCATTTGGCTGTATTTGTACAGCCTCTTAGTGAACAAGAGTACAGTTCCTTACCAGTGTACGTAGCCAATCAGTTTACCTTAGAATGCATCAATCAGCATCTCCATACAATAAATGGATTTTGGGCAGGTGGCAATCAAGGTAACATAAGAGGCATTAATTTTCCATTTCAACTCATTACAAAAAATGTTTTAACTTAGTAATTGGTAAAAGAACATTTAATTGTTTGTCATTTGTTGTAATAAGGATTGTAATGCACCAGTGACAACAAACCATAATACACCAATAACAACAAACCAGCAACACATAACCTTTCTCTTTGTCGCATGACAAAGACTAGCAGTATAGCAGTCAAAACATCACAATCAATACACAATTGATTAACCTGACTCTTACACTGTGAGACAAATGATTAAACATTCATTTATTTATAAAAATTCACAATAGACTGCAACAATTTCTAATGTGTTAGTAATTACACAGCATGGTCTTAGTGTAAGCTTTATGATCAATTTATTGAATGTTTTTTTTTCTTTTTAATATGGCTGAGTCCTAAGTGGTATACATATAATGAAAACATATTATTTTCTACCAACACCATTTGCATAAGGGAAAAAAATTCAACATTTACTCCCTGTGTCTTTAGCAAGTATTCTGTGGCAAAATAATAACTTTGGAATAATTTCTTCCCTCTGCATGTGTCATTGAGTCAATCACACACTCTGGAGGGCTTTGTCCTTGATAAATAACATTTTTCAAAAACTCCCTTGATGGTTTTTAGAGGAGGGGCCTTGTTTCCTTTTGCCTTCACTGTTGAGGAAATTTTGTCAAGGAAACTTTTCCAAAAGTTTTTAGGACAGTCTGGTTTTACTTGAGTTGGGAATACTAATACAGACACCACTGTAGACCCTTTTTACACACTGTTTCTAAGCCTTGGCCATAAATGTCTTAAAGTAAATATCAGGCTTTAATCTTCTCTTCCTTGATTTCAGTGCAACATGAACCTGTCATGGTTGAACAGGATCTTAGAGATTTGTTAAACTTGGGAGCAGCTACCAAGGCATTCATGTTGGTGTTGGTGAAAACAGGAAGGTTAAAGCTCACAGGGAAGAAGATCATGTTTGTGAACTCTGCATAGATCAGATCTGAGCACTAAATTATAGCCCTTACGCCTTTTCCTTAAGAATGACTGAGAATAGCTCATGTAAAGATACTGACTGGAAAGTTTTTTATCCAGGAACATATCCCACAGCACTTGGATCAAAAGAATAACCACCAGAAATCAACAAAAAATGTATGAATAACTTTATTTAATGAGGGTGAACACTCTACAGTCATGAACTAACAAACTTGTTTCCCTCTCTAGAAAGTGACAGGGCTTGAAGAAAAATGTAATGCAAACAAAGCTTAAGGGTGCATTCCTTGTAATAGTTCATAATGGTGGTAAATGTGGCTCACACACACGACTCTGACAAAGAAACTATTATCAAACAAAGTTAGGATTCTGTGATTCACCTGCACATAAAAAAACTTTTTCACAATCAGGGGGTTGGGTGAGGGAGGGCAGAGAAGAAAATAGACCAAAAAAACTGCAGCACCTTCTGTGGAGTTTTATATTCAAGTGTTGGATTTGAGCATTTGATGGAAGTGCACTAAACATCATCCAAGTTCTTTTCATTCCCATAATAATTTTTGTCTACAATGAGTATTCATGTACTGTCAAAATGCAACTCCACTCCTTTTTACTGAACATAGATGGTTTCAGAAACAAGACAAGAACTTACAAACATGATGATTTACAGACAACAGTTAGACTTAACTTTTATATTTTACCATTCAATATAAAACAAAACATGTTGCTGCCAGGTTCTGGGGAATAAACTCACAAACCCTACATTTTATTCCCCAGTGCCTTGTGCAGAGGTCTGTTGTTTAACATTGAATTTTGTAATATAAACTGGGCTTTACTGATATTATTTGAGTCCAATACCTACTGTGAATCTTGTTGATAATTATTGATCCACAAATAGTGATTAAAATGTCTACCTTGAGAACAATGGTAAAGTTGAGATGAAATAAATTTAATTCACATTGTCAGCCTGTTTTTTTCCTTTTAATTTTATCCTGTGGTTTTCCTTTTGTATTCAATTGTCTTTTGAGTCCTTTCATTTTCCTGGTTTGTAATTTGGAGTAATCTTGCCTTTGCATGTGTACTTTTCCTTCCTTGGTACCAAATGCATCATATGAGACATTCTTTACTTTCTTGGGCTGGAAAGGAAACAGAATTGTTAACAAACTTTCCTGACAATTTGTCAGAACCTGTTTCAGGGGTTTCAGAATTTTTTGGAGTGGACATCAGACTCAGCAAAAGTAGGTGACTGTGAAAAGTTTATTAAGGGCCAAATGTTAATTATTTAAACCACATTGACCAGCAAAATATTATCAAGTAGCCAGTGGAATTCCAACAGTTGCCAGTTTGTTTTGAAACCCCCGCATTTATACTCCTGGGTGAAGAGAGGCATTTTGAAGGTAAAGCGTTTTGCACAAGAACACAACACATTGACCTGGCCAAGTCTGGAGCCTGAACCTCAGGACCCAAAGTCCAGTGCACTGATGTGTATCCCACACTAATTACTCTACAAGGCAGTTAACACTGAAGTTTTGGCATGTCTACTAATATACCAGTAATTTTTTACAGTGCACTCTGAATATCTGAAATTCATTCTTGATTGTATAAAAAAACACATTCCTGAAAAATGAATTGCTAGTATTGTGCATGTGCACATGTGAATCACCATCACCAAAACATTACTAACAAAACTGTTGTCTGGCTCACAAAGAAAACCAGTTATTTCCAAAAATTTCAAACAAGAATGTTCTCTGATTGCCTCACTTAAAAAGAGTGACCTTACCACTGTAAAAGTAACACTGACCTTAACTACTTTAGGTACTTTTGTTGCAGCCTTCATTAAGTCAGCTGATGCTAAGTGTGTTCTTCTAAGAACCAGATCAAGAGAAGGACCCATCTCTTCAACCTCAATACGTGGAGTGCGACTTCCTGATTTCTTCAGCAATACTCTGAAAAACAAAATATTTACATCTTATTGAAGTCACCTTGACATAGAAAAAAGGAAAACTATTAACTGATTAGTATATAGAAGAACACTACCACATTAGCATATAATTTTTTTTTCAGTTCTTAGGATTGCTTGAAATTTCTAAACAAGATCTGATACTGTCAAAAAATTAAAAAGAATTTTTGATGGAAATTCTGTGAAAATTGTTTGGCTGCCAGCATGTAACCAGAGGGTAATTTTATAATATTATACTAACAAATTTTCTATAAAAATGTCACTGCATAATATATATTTCAGCAATCCCACCAATCTAACAAGTCCACTAAGATCATCAGATCTGGGACAAAATTATATCTGTCAGTTTCAGTACAGATGTAGATGAAATCAGTCTCCATTACAACAAAGCCATTCTCACACCTTGAATTACTTTTTCATAAGATATTATTAATATTATCACCAGAGAAGCATCCTTAAATATCTCAAACACAACTTAAAATATGCAATTGTTTAAATATTTTTTTAATACCTGTAGCTTCTGAGATAAATTTTCCCATCCACTGCTGTAAATTGTAACACATGCTCAAGTCCCTGTAATCTGACTTTCTCTATTACTGGTCCTCTGTAGAAATCTGAAGATGAAAGGCAGCTGACAAATGAATAAAATGTCCACATACACTGTTTGTAGTGTCACATGTTTATTGCAGCTTCTCTTGAGTCAATACCCAAAGTAACTGACATTGGAATGAATTACTATTTCCAATTCATTTCTGTCAGGCAAAAGGTTTTGATCTGAATGTTTGGACATTCCATAACTTGACTGTTAAGTCAAAATTTCCAGTCTAGAGGATCTCTTAACTCCTTCCCCGAAAAAAAAAAAGAAAAAAAAAAGAAAAAGAAAAGAAAAAGGAACCTTCAACTCCAAAAAGTGATTAACATGTAATTTCTCCCCATAGTATACATAAGTTATCCAGGAAACAGATAATGAGAATACTCGAATTTAGTACATAGAAGTTGTAACCTTGACCTAACACCAAATTCTCATAACTGATTTACAAGGAAATGTGTAGCAGCTAGAGGGGAGAATTAACAATAAGATCTTGGGAGTTTAAGGGTTAAGGAAAAGAACTGAAGTTTAGCCTGCTAAAAAGACAAAGGGTGATATTTTACTCTTACAAAAAAAAAATTGTGATGACAAAACACTTTTTAACTTGGGGTTACTAATCTGAATGCCATACGGTTACAACTAAAATTAAAATAAACAATGTTTGTAAATTATGAGAGCATAGCCTGTCACCTAAATTTTGGCCATTCAATATGGCCTCTGACTCACAAACAACATGCTTCACTATCAGCTTTGCAGTTCAGTGAAAAAAGGGGGAAACAAACCTATGAAAATACTTTTCAGGCGTTTGTAAACAACATCATTTTCAAATTCTTGTCCAGAAAATAGCAAACAAGGCTTGGTACCAACTGAACACTTCTGAATCTGAAAAGTAAGTTTAAATTCAGAACAGAAGTCTTGTGTTAACATGATACAATCCCAGATATTTTGTTGGGAGCCCCCCTACAAGAAAGTTTTGGGTAATAAGGTATCTGACTCATGCGCTTGATATCAACAGTTCATTTTAATAACTCCCTTATATTTTCACATTTCAATGATAGATTCAACATGCATACTGAATCTTGTAGGCAACAAATAATGTCCATCTTACCTTAAATTGACTTAGTGACACAAACTTGTCAATTCCTAACTCAATCATGTCCAAGATATGGCCATCAAAACAGCGACCTGAAAGGTGACAAATCCTTTGTTAAATCGAAACCATTGTGAATAAACACATCAAGGACTTATCTTGTGGTAGTTATTTTTTTAACATTTGAATTATGGTAGATCAGTACAATGAGTTGACATAATCATTTTACTACCAGTACTGACCAAGACATACATTCTCCTTAAAATATTAATACAACGCCGAGCAGAATATAGCAAAATATCAATTAGGGGATTATAACTTGATCCACTACTAAATTCTCAGAATTAAAATTAATCAATCTTTGGTAGAAAGTAAGGAGAATTACTAAGAGATCTTGAGAGTGGAAGGGTTAAGATAATTAGCTTGAAATCTGATTAAATAATGAAACCTACCTATGACCAGATTGTGAGGCCTCTTCTTGGAATGAGACCCAAAGAGAAATAAGGCTGCATCATTCTTAACACTAAAGAATTCCTAAAAGATAAGTTAAGTATCCTTAGTGAACCTTTGCAAGAGAAAACATCTTGCCCTTTATCAACCCGCCACCAAGCTGAGGCTGAGGCTTGGATCTTATTGACAACATATCAAGCATACCTATATCAAAGTTATTGTAATCAAAATAATTTTTTGTTTAACCATGAATATTAACAATGCTTGAATATGCTACACAAAATATCTGTAATTCAACTTGGAATGGTGCAAATTGAAAATTACAGGATCTTGAACTATTAACAATCACCATACCAGATCACTTTGATTTGTGAGTGACCCTATGCATAAGATTTTCAAATCCCATGGCTTAAGTATAATCTTACAGATATATATCCGAGTCAAAATAATGTTTCAATGTAAAATATAGATTTTTATGGCAAAATGAATAAATTCTGTCTGAAATATTGAGCTCTTTCACTTTGCTTAATCTTCCCTCAAATGTATAGAATGCCTAGGTATATAACATATCAGAAAAGAAAGTGTAATACAAGTACAAAAGAGAAATTCTTTCTGCATTGCACTTACAAGTGAAGTGTGATCTTCAAATGGTCGCATGATATTTTTCCTGTAAACAATAAAAGTTGAAAGAAATTGATATTGCACAATAATTATTAATCAAAACAAATAACAAATAAGCCAGGACTGGCCCATGTGCCTGGTGATTTACATGGTTTCCCAAACACAAAGGAAATACTACACAAGTTACTACAAACAAACCAAACAATGTGAAATTTCACAGGAAATTTACAGTCACAAAACATCATAAGAATGAGATTGATCAAGAAATATTTTACCTTTGAAACATGACTGAGTTGGGTTTTTTCAGTAAACACTGAAAAGAAAGAGAAAATAGAGGATTCATCATCAGTAATGGAATTAAGTACGTCTAGGCTAAGCTGCAGAAGACCCTGCCACTAATTTATGCCTCGATCTTCTAAGCCTCCCGACACATGTAAAAAACACACTACGCAGTAACTAGTTAGTCCAAAAGTCGAAGACGCGTCTCATTAAATTAATTTGAAAGTACTATGGTTTTAAGAGTCCTAGAAGTCACAAATATACAGCTTCTATTGGAAAATTATGTTAAAAAAATCATCTACCCAACAAGTTTTGAGAATAGAAAAAGTAATACCAGCTCGAGAGTATCGTGCGTTACGTTGATATGACACCAAACTCTGTTATGCAATTTACAACGAAATGTAAAACAGAGAAAGTTGGTGATCAGACCTTCCATATTAGATAAATACACATTCCCACGTGACAAATTTAGAAAAATTTTCTTCATCCCAATCCAGTTCACCACACACAGCCTTACTAATTAACACTTTCGTCAGATCACTCAGAACCCATGCTTCCACTGACTCACCAGATCTTTCATGGCTTGAGTCACAATCTCACTTGTCCTGCCACCACGCAAGAACAGAGCAGTTTTAGTGTTTTCAACAATCTTCGGCGCACGCTGTTCGACTGCCCGCCTTCCACGTTGTGTTTTCGGACGCCTGTTGACCACCAGGAACAAAATAAAGTGTTTCTCAGACTGAAATAATTCCTATGTATCAAATCTTTAAAAGATAAGGGTGGACATTTAGGAACACAGCAAGCAAAAACGAATTGTCTTACACTACTCCGGTGGCCGATGAAGCCGCCATTTTGGATAGCTTTTTAGAGAGAGGTCTGGAATCGAAACATACGCAGTCCCAGAGCTATCCCGTGCAGAGAGTCCCAGAAGTCAATGACGGTATTCAAATATCAAAGAACGGGATGATTGAGGCGGGGGAAGGGGGTGCGCGCAGTGAGGAAATTGTTTCTTAGATATTTTCTTTATATGGTCCCAGCCTTATTAAATAAAAATAAGCAGTTTATGACTGTATGCAGTGTATGTGGCTACTGATGTAGCAAAATTTTGATTTTTATAGCATTGAAAAGAACTAAAGGTTGTATGATGATGCTAGAAGGCAGCGCTGCAGAAGACTCTTTTTTTTCCATATGCAAAACAGAAAACCTGTCGCGTCCCACATATTCCACACGACCGCTGCCTGGTTAGCTCATGCTGTAGAGCGCCAGACTGCCGTGCGGGAAGTCGTGGGTCTAAGACCTTGACCGCACGAACACTTAGGGTCTTAAAGTAACTGGGGAATGTGCTGTCTTGCTATGACATCTGCAAATGGTAAGACACTCTAATCTTCTCGGATAAGGATGAAAAGAGTCCAGAAGTGTTCACTAGTATCCGAAATAAAAAATCGGACACTAATGTTTCGAATAAAAAAATTCAGATACCAATGTCCGAAATCGGAGATGGGACATTAGTGTCCAAAATCGAAATTCGGACACTAGTGTCTAAAATCGAAATTCATTCCCACCCTGGTATACTTCGAACCCTACTTATTTCACAAATTTAGCGGCATCCTTGGGCATACGTCAAACGATAATGAATTCTCTCTCTTCAAAGTCAATTGAGTGTATACTGGGCGCGAATATCGCACTAAGAAGATAATCCGAAAAGAAGACAATAAGAAGCACCGGGAAACATAGGGTCAAAATTGGGTCAAGAGCAGAATTCTGTTGTTACTTACCATCACTCACTCATTCCCGTGGTATTGCCGCCTATATATGGGAGGAGATAGCCAAGTAACTACTGCACTTAATTCCAGACTATAAGAGGTGAATTAATGTGTCTGAATATATGATGTTCATATCATGTTTCTTTTCGACGCCATTTTGTTGCCTACGAAATCGACGCAATTTTTTCTTCCGCTGTGCCCAGTCTGGAGTGCCCACGAACAACTTAGTAGAGCGATAACCCTCTTCCTCCAAGACATTACACAATTGAAAATAGACCAAGCCATGGACCAAACTTGGAAATTATCAGTCTTAGACACCAAACAAGTAACGAATCTAGTAATGTTCCCTTTAAAAAAAGATACTTAAAATATGCTCATTATCCTTGCTAGTGATGCTTCTTTATAAAAAGGACAAAAATTATGCTCGTTTTCTTCCAAATTATGCCAAAAGTTGTGCTAGCACCATGTATAAGGGCCTATCGACTGAGTGTTCAAAACTAGTAGTTTTCACTAGTCAAAAATAAAATGGAAAAAGAAGGGCTAAAATTATAATTTTCATTCCTCTTACGCATGATGCTTCTTCATCTTCATTTTTCGAAGGTGCTTTTTGTAGCATATATCAAATACGAACCACAATTCTAACTTTTGGGTTAAGAAAAAAAAAAATATATATATATATATATATAAATACATCAATAACCGAGAAACAATGACGTACGGTGCTGAATGTTGATTAAGTTCCATGACCCCCAACAACAAAGAACATGTAGTTTTAATTGTGTACATTCACTGACCCTAATCGATTGCACGAACATAGCCGTCTGTGTTGAGATGCATTTGAAATAAACGTAAATGAATGGATCGTTCGCTAGGACTTAAAAGTTGACCTCTTTAAATACATGGTAGTCAGTGGACATAATTACTGACTTCCGTGAGCGACCGCACTTTTCAACTTTGCTCTTTCATTTATTGACGCCATCTTAACTAATTAGAATCATCGAATAATTTACAGAATAAAATTCAAATATTTAGATATTCATATAAAGTTTTTCCATTCCGTGAAAATCATTCGATGATGTTTCCTTCATTTTCACTCGGTAAGGAACTCAACAAGTGACCTCCAATAACTATAAATAACTACCGGAACGATACATGGTCTGCGCATGCGTAATGCATTTAAACTTGTTCTGCAGCAACTAATATGTATTTAGTCGCTTAGGTTGGTCGGGACGGAATGGAAAGTGTTTGGCCTGATGTCATGAAGTACAGACCGAGCGCGCTCGGTCTGTACGTCATGACCTTGGGCCACGGAGGTCATCAACCCCAAATAGGACGCAAACACTAAAAAGATTCCACAATTAAAACTTTTCCATTGTTTTTTCTAGTCAGAACAAAAACCTCACAATTCATCCAAAAATGCGAAATATTTCCTCATTTCGCATTTGATTTAATTTTTTTCTTTGCAACAAAGCCGTCGTAGTGCGAAACCAGACGGCTTTCTACGGACTGGCGCGGCTCACGTCTCTAAGATTGCGTGTGCTGTGCCGGACGGGTCATATGATCGATAATGCATGTTCAGTTGAAAAGTCGGTAGATAATTTAAAGATAGCTTCCCAGAGTACATAGAGTCATAGAGTACGTCCGAAAAAGAAATGACAATTTTACCTGGTGATCTATTGATAAAATAATCACTGAACTTGGTTAGCACACAATATCGTCGTGATTTTTCAGAGACGAGCAGATCATTTAATTTCTCGAGTCTCGCCACAGGCTCGCCACGGACAAATATTATTCAACCTGATCTTATTATTACCATTAATAAGTTGTGAAACCAAAAGCGAGCAAGTACACGTTTTATTTGACATCCAATTGGTATCAAAAAACGATTACAGAGGAAGTGTCTTTCTTTGATTTGCATTGTTCAATTCAGTTTTAATAGGAAAGCAGATTATTATGTCGCGCATGAACGGAAAGTTCTTGCAACTTTCAAAAAGCTACCCATGATTCCGTTACGTGCCGAACGTGTAGTGCTGCAAATTTGCGACACAAAGAAAATTTGATAATTACACGGCTTATGCAACAAGCTTTGTTCTCTTACAGCTTTGGAAGGATTACCTTCACGTGTAACCTGCGAAATTTACGTTTGTAACTAATGTTTTACTGATTTTATCAAACAGCATTTAATTACTTATGAACGGCTCGGACTTTTAGACGTATTTTTAGACGTACACACTCGAGTGACATTGCCTCTTTGATTTCAATGGTCACTAAAGACACAAGAGTGGTTTTCAAATGTGTTATTACTTCAATTGTCTGTCTCAAACTATACTGATTTTCTTATGAGACCTCGCCTACGTATCAAACTTGACAAATGAAGTCAACAATTTTTTTCTTACGACAAAGTTAGACCGGTTTGATGGTAAACGTACCAAGTCAAGCGTTTACCGTATTCACGCTCTTCATCATAATAGTCTCCTAAAATTCAGTGATCTGAAATTAATCTTCTCTTGACTAAGATAGCTCAACACATCAAATGAACTTTTATTGTTCTGTTTACAATAAAGTCATCAAGTAGGCTATCATGAGAAGCTTCTTTGTTGTCGTTCTATTATCTCTTTCCTCATGGGATGACCTCGCATTACCTCACCGCTTGTTGCAGACGAGCAAAAGTCATGCAGATATTGTATAAGAGAGTGAGTTTGTCCGACCATGATCAGCTCACAAAAAGTGCGGGCTATGTTCAATTTTAAAATGGAACCCCGATGGACTTCCGAGATTGGGCAGATAATGCAGACGAATGCTAAAGAAGAGAACAAACTCAAGCTACAGATTAACAGGATAAATAGCGCAAAGAGAGTGCAACTGGATAAAATTGATCAAGAGATGATGACACTGCGTAAGCAGTTACTCGATGATCGTAAAATTCTCGGTACTCGAAGTGATATCAAAAAACGCGACGAGAAAAACGGAGATGAGGAAGGTCAGAAGGTTAAAATTGTGGAGCCAACCTTTGCGGGATTCCAGAAACCCGATGCTATAGACCGAAATGGTTTTAAAACTTTTCAAGAACGCTCGCGTCAAAGAGCTATTGAGCAACAGGAATCTAGACCCACTCCAAGTAGAATGAGGGCCACTGAAAAAGATGGAAATAACAATTTCAGGAGAAAAATGTCTGATTTGGGAATGCTACCACCATCGTGTTCAACTCCGTCGATTCGGGGCGGTCGTCGCCACTCCATAGCAGAGATCAATTTGAATGATACACTTCTGAGTAAAATTTGCGCACAGACAAATACCAGCAGTTCGCCCATCAAAAAAGGTGCGTCTGGAGCGCTCATGACAGGAGCAGACGTTAAAATCGATCATCCTCGTTTGCGGCAAAGAAGAGGAAGCCTTCCCCCCGCTATGACGTACGAAAGGGACCACTCCATGGATTTGCCTAAAATAAAAAATATGAAATTTCAACCTGAGCGAGGCAGCAAATTGGAGAGTGAAAAAGAGAGCAAAATGATGAGTCATATGGATATGAAATTAGCAAACTTTAGCAGAAGAAGGAGAAATTCTCTACCAAACTTCCACATTTTACCCCCGAATAGAGATTCAATGGCTTGTAAAGAGCGTTTAACAGCTAAACTGATACACACTAAGCCAAAATCAAGGAGTGCAGTTAGCAGAAATGTTACATCACCGACTAAATCGTCCATTTTTGGGAGAAAGTTCAAGAAGAACCCAACGCCCGTCACTGAAAAATCTGATGAAGGAAAATCTGAAAATGAACAAAGTGATGAAGACGATGAAAGCTTATCGTTGGACCGGCCATCCCTGGCAGAGGCAAATGAACCTGGCCCGGATGAACCACTTTCATGTGAACAAGAGCTTAGCTTCATCCCAAAAGCCACACTGAAAGAAAAGATGGATAAGTTTTTCCTTGAATGGGTGGATGAACCGGAAGAGGAACCAAGGATTGACATAGAGGAACTTTTGCAAGAGTTCCGAAAAGAGAAAGAGGAGAAACAACAGCAAAAATCAAGTGATGCTGAAAAAGATTTAGAGATAAGATGTATTGAAAAAGATTTGTCGCAATGTTCAGGACTGGAAAGTTTTCCCGTGGAAGAAGAGAAGTGAAGTAAAAACAACTTTATCGTTTGCTTTTACCTAAGTATACACAGAAAGACAGTAGATTAGACTTCTTAACGGCAAAAGGTCTGAAGTCGCAAATTAAACTTTCAGTATAAAAAAGTGGTTATAGAGAAAGTGCGGTATCGGTTTTTGGAAAGACTTAGTGTCTTGCCAGGAAAGAGATGTGTTTCTTCATCCGAAACTAGGCTTTGATCGTTTCTTGTTTTGCAGGTTGTATATAAAATTTGGGTGATAATGTGAAATCAAAACCTAATAGAAATAACGCCATAAACACAGAAACTACAGACAAATTGCTGATAATTTAAGATCCTCTGCTTCGTGATGTCGTTCGATTGAAAAAGATTTTCATTGTATACAAGTTGTAAATTGCCGATATATATATAAGTATCTATACATTACTTTATCTTTAATGAAAAATCATTTAAACAAACAGAAATAAAACTTGTTGTATAACACGAAGATCTTTGCTTGTTTTCTATATTATCACCATTAATTAGCGCTCGCAGAGAAAATGAAAATGAATATTAATTGCAATTAACGAGATCAAGTGCTGAATTCCAGGTTTATCGGGTAGGGTCTGTGTAAATAGCACAAATATTGATCTACCCCCCAGCCGAGAACTGCATGATATATTATAAATATTGGACGTGACCGACAACTTTTCGAACAAAAGATGAAAAGATTTTTGCAATGAAGCGGATTAGAAGAAGCCGCCAAAATGTATAACAAAAGCTTTATTATTAAAAACGTACTTGATGGGAAAAAGAACTTTGGTAAATTGGAAAACATTTTTGTCCGATTTCTTTATATTCCCGTGAAAAAATGAAATCAATTCGGGCACTTTTTTTCATCTGAACATAAGAGAAAACTACCGGCCAATAATCCTAACTGCAAATTAAAGGCAGATTAGTTTAATTCTAATGGTCTGTCGAAAGATGCCTAGAAAGCCAATATCAGAAAGGAAACTTCAAATTACGAAACCTGGCGCTCACTTTGATTCGATCTTATCCACTGAATCATCCACCTCGATTTTATGCACCAAACTAAGGGCAGACAAATCGCTTTTTATTACTCTATGAAATAATAATTAGAATTAACTCTCCAGTAATTTCGAAAGCAAGAAAAGACGGGGGAGCCTCCGACCGGACAGAGGTCTGTGGAAGGGAGGGGTCGGACAGGCAAGGTTTTTGCCAGGCGTGCGCCAAAGATCACCTCAGATCTTAGAGCATGATTTTGGTAAATAATCTCCAACATAACTTCTTCACGTTTGTGCGAGTGTATGTTTCCTTTCCTTTTTACTCTTGTTAAGTCGGAAACTTTAAAAAAAGACGCTTTCTTTTCAACATGAGAAACGTCATTATAGGGCTCCCCTCCCCCTCTCTTACTGTATATTGAAGATGCTGGGTATCATTATGTAATAACCATGGCTATTTTTATTACTGGAATTAACTGATGCCTTTTTTAGGAGCTCCCTTGAGGGTTATGTCTAAATTAAACGTCTCAGTGTTAATATAAATAACTTCATTATATAACGTATTGTACACACGTGCAACAGAATGTGAAGAGTTAAAGGGGCGTGCAGTTTACGAAATTTGGGAAACTTCGTAAATATGCTCATAAACCACCATTGACTTCGTATTCTTTGATTGTGTCGCTTTTGAACGAAAACGGAGACATTATTTTATATTCATAATAAATACGAAAGACAAAATTTGTGATTTTTCAACAAACTTTACTCACTTCACCACATAAAATGTTAATACAACGCTATATATATATATATATATATATATTTTTTTTTTTTATTCCATACTAAACGTGTAAGGGGCACTGATACCCAAAAAACACGGGGTTAACGAATCTGAGTGCCATTTTGCATTTATACATAAATACACACACGCATACAAACAAAGTATTATTGAGTAGAAATTGCAAAAAAGCAGGATGATTATCTCCAAATCTTATACTTAATAATTATGTATAAAATTATGTTTAAATTTCAATTTTGAAATAGAGAGAAGAATCCTTGAAAATATTTATGAAGGGTATTCCTTTTTTTTTGGTCCTTTATATTGGATATTAACAATTCCGTAGTTAATTCTGGCTTAGTTTGTATCATAACTATCAAAACGTTGAACAATTTTGAAGTAAGACATGAAAGCAGAAGGCAGTAGACTATTATGATATTTGTACAAGAAAATTTAAATGTAAAAAGGTACCGGCAAGGTTAGGAAATTTTCATATTTCCCAGATCTTTAATTAATGGACTTGATGGATATTAAAATGCTGAAAACGTGATGATAGGTTCTTCCCTTTCGTTGAATGTGCCCCATAAAATGTTTCGGAAAGCGACCAATGGCTAAAGGTTGCGATAATTCATCTAAGCAGAAATCATTAAGAGGAAAATTTTTTGTCTCTCTATCTGCAATCAGTTCTGTCGAGTCAATAAGTTTAACACCACGAGGAAGCAAGCCAATTTTTCCCAACACTATCATTGCTGAATTAAACGTTAAGCGTTTTGGGAATATCAACAATCACGCGCGATTCGAACTGTTTTCTTCCTTTATTCCCACAATTTTCTTCAACTATGTATGGGTTTATTCGATCGCAATGTTCTAGCATCTGTCCAGTATCTGCCGCACTCAAACTATTTCTTATCTAAGCATACATTTTGTAATTACAATCCTGACGGTTACTGTGTATAGGATTATAAATTGTTCAACTATCAGCGATAATTATCATGCCCATCAGCACCACAGTATCGACTCCCCTAATGTTTTTCTGGTTAACTTACTCTCACACAAATATAAATATGAAAGAAAACTTTTAAAGAGAATTACAGGATAGCTTGGTATTTGTAACAGTTTGGAGCAGACAAGTAAATGTTTATTTTGTTAAGTTTAAAAAGCTTTCAATGCTACTATTTATAACTAGAGTTAATTAAGAATTAATCCTTTAAAGCAGATGCTTTTTTAGGAGCGAATAACTCTACCAGGAGAGGTTTTTTATATTGTACTTTTAGAATATATAAAAATAGCGGTGCTGGTAGATTTGTCAAGATCGCACAAAATGAACACTCTTTGAAATGTACCGTATTACTATAAAATATTTCATGAATTGATCTGAAATAAAGCTCTTGGCTTTCTTCTATAGTGAAGTTTGTTTGAATGGAGTTGGACTAAAAGAAAGTTATGAGTTTTCCTTTCAATGTGGCTTCCTTTGTTCGCCATTAATGAAAAATGAACCCATCCGTGACCACATGGTTAAACCATGAGCACTGTTCACTAAATTATATCACAAAGAATACTACTTTCAGACCAACTATATTGCGTATTGCTAAGTAAGGGTTTGCCTTATTTTGCGTTCTTGCTACTACATAATCGGGAATCGCCCTATGGGCATTCTCGCTGGTAGACGTGATTATCATTTGCACGTACATCAGAAATTATATAACTAGAGCTAATTATGACTAAACTTACAGACAAACCTCATCCTTTGAGGTGGATGTTTTTTGGCAGTTCCTAAGAGAGTTCATGCCCAATTCGAATTTCTTAGAATTGTAAAGCAATAGACGGACTCGGAAAGTTTGTAAATTACTCGCCTCTGGCTCGTGATTTACAAACATCTCTCGTGCTATCCCAACATCCCACGTGATTTATTACAAAGGTTGTCTTCTACCTGCTTAAAGTGTTACAAACTCAGCTTTAACGTGGTTCAAAGTCATTCGAGCTGATAACCTTTCGTCTACTCATATAGTTAAGTTAGTCAATGTTAAGCTTGCTTCTCAATTAGCTCTTTGAAATTTTTTCTTTCACCGCAAATGTAGCCTGAGATAAATTTATTTCACAAACTTAATTGCTCTTCTGATCCTACGTTAACAAATCCGTCCCAGGTTTACAAGGATCCGGCTAGACGCCCGGCCAAGTATCGAACCCAGACCTCTAAACCCGGAGTTCGGCACACTAACTATCAGGCCCCCACGTCTCTCACACTTTACTCTCAAAACGAGGTTTATCTCATGTTCAATTTACAACTGGCCTTCTTTTATTGCCAACAGACGCACACCAAAACCAAATAAACCTTTTGATGTATCAAATAATGACAGACCCTCGTGTTGGTTGGTACGCCAACTTTTTGAGGACAGCCTCAAACGAGTTGATATAAGTAAGTTTTAATATGCCTATAGACAGGATTACTTTACAAAGAAACTGTACAAACAAACGTAATATTTTATCCTCAGTAGAAAACATTTTCCGCCCAATGATAAGCTTTATAATAAAACTGCGATGTAAAACTGCAAAACAAAAACTAAACTAAACATTTCTTTGTCAAAAAGAGTCCTTTCGCATAATCTTCATACTTTAAAGCAATTCACAATAATTTCTTCCTCTTTTTCTATTTTTACTCATCATACAGCAGATTCCAAGGAATCTTTATTCACTTCAGCCGAATTCGTGTTTTTATTTGTTGACGTCACTTTCGCCACCGGGGCTGACGTCAAAGGCGGTGATGCTGTTTCTTTTTCATCGCGTGATTGAACTCCTTCTGTTGTTTGTAGAGACCTTTCGACCCCATCTAGACTGGGTTCTGTTTTCTTAACTTCCGACTCACAGTTTCTAGAAACTGTATCCGTAACCTTCGATGTTAGCTCTGCTGGTTTTAACAGTTGTTTTGCGGGAGGAAGGTTACGTGCAGGAGTGGGAATTTTTTCCAACAATTTAGTCGACGAAGAATCTGCTTTCGTCTCAGTACTAATCTCTAATTTATCCTTTGATGTGAATTTTAACTCGGATTCTTGAAACTCCAAAGTTCTCTCCTCTGATTCATAGCTTTCGTCGGTATGAGTGTCTGATTCTGCATATACGGGTACCTCATAATCCACACACTTCGCTAAACCTCTTTGCGCCAAGAGAAACCCTATCGAAACTTCTTCGACGCATCCGTCATGTCTCTCTGTATGTTCGTATAACATCACACTGGCCGGTGGTCCATTGAACTAGAGGAAAAAAGCGAGGGAACTTCAACTTTAGTCAAGAGCTTAAGAAAATGAAAACTCGTCGTCATCCGTTAGGATTTTAACCACAACCATTTCCGAGTTTGTGGTTGGGTGCTCTACGTATTAGCCGCTGGTTGATTCATTGAAAAAGACCTGGCCCAAATTTTAATTGCTCATGATCTCCTAACGACAACATATAAAAATGAGGTCAAAACATTAGAGATCACTCTCCACTTTTTGGCACTTTTCGCTCACGGAGAAAACACTTTGTCGTTTCATTCATGTGAAAGTTAATCGGTCGCAGAAAACGACTCTACTACCCTACTCACTAGAACTTTCGCGACAAGTTTCTTGCCGGCCACCAACTGAATGAGGGTCTCCATAGAGCTCACTGGCCAGCAGGTATCATCCATCATTGGTCCATCTGTTGTGTCTGGTGGCCTGATATCGGCAAGAAAACATCGTGTGGCTTGAACTGGTAAATCTAGTAACTCTGATGGAAAGCCTCGCAACCTGGAACAGAACAAGAATAGGAAAGGACATTGACTCCGCGGTTACATTATGTACGATATGGGTTCTTCCACCTGTTTTCACTTGGAGAAAGGGGGGGGGGGGGGGGGGGGGGGGGGGAAGGAGGGTTGGAAGACAAGTTCCCTTAACGGCCAGCGCCTTGGATTCTGGATCTAGAGATCGTGGTTCGAACACGGGTATCTCCTTGAATATTTCCGCCTACCATGCCTCTGCCCACTCAAGAGTGTACTTTAGCACTTCTGAGAGAACAGTCAGGAAAACTGCTAACAAATTTTTGCGGGAGGGGTGGGAGAAATTCCATCCCCAATGTCATTTCATCGCCACTTACCAAAGTCACGTTACTAAGAAACAGCCATGCCTTAAATTGCGGGCTCACTAACTCTTAAAATGCAATTTACACGTGTTAGAATTGGCTCCCGTCTTTCAATGCCGACTGCTGGTCATTAAAAATCTATGAAACAAACTGAGTACTCCAACCTGTCCGCCTTAAGTACTTCAGTTGTGCCATAATCCACGTATAGCGCTTTGACCTCAAGAGGTCTCTGATGTTCAACTGATTGAATCTGAGCTCTGTACCACATGTCATCTTCAGTGTAGCGTGCACAGCACAACATTCCTGCAGTTAGAAATTTCCTAGTTAGTCTCTATCCCCTTTGGTTCCTCTCCTATTTCAGTAAAGGTTTTTTTCACAATTCTGTAGCAATTTTCTCAGAGATGTAGACGAATAACTAAGACAAAATTGGTCCACTATACCAACAAACTTCAATGAACCCTAAAAAACGTTGCAAGTTCTACGACATTTTAAACTTTTCTTTAACTCTCTTTTATTTCCCCATTTATGGTCCCTAATTTCTTGCAACATTATTTGGGAGAAAGGTGGCACTTTCAAGTAACTTATAAGAGAGAGATAACAGGATTTCTAAGAGTAGAAATTTCTCTTCTAAGAGTAGGCGTGTAATTTTGCCAATCACTGTCGAACAAGAAGCTTTGCTGGTTAAAATAACTTGATAAGGACATTTGTCTAGCTAGGAAATTTTCAGAGGTTACAAGACACTGTAGACTGTAAGTGGTTTGAGGATATTTTAATACAGTAAGTCTTTCTTTGGCCGTGTCATTGACGAGTAAAAAAAGAGGAAACACAAAAAATCTGTTCGGGAATTGAGGACGACTCTAATTTCTTTTGACTCAGATAATGGATGAAACGACAGGAAGGTGGATTGGAAAATCAAAGAAAGCATATACGCTCTGATCAACTTCTTTCTACATTTTCCTTGGCGACCATGGATCTGGGAAACCGAAAAAGGCAGCTATGTTACGGTCAACTTTTTTCTCCTTTCACTTTGCTTTACGCTCCAATTAGTTTCAAAAAGCGACGAAACTTCGGACCAAAATGAGATATGGTCTCACCTTCTTTGGCGGTCGCTAATGGAGTGTACTTCTTAAAATAATCTGGACTGTTTATCTTAGCCATAATCTCCTCCAGCATACGAAGCTCTTCGGTTGCAACGTCCAGGGTAGGGTCAAGATCGTCAGCGTAGCCCTTGTCTATCTCAGTGGGTGGAACTCGCTGGATAAACAGACAGTCAGGTCTCTCTATATGTGTGATAGTGACGTCAAACCGTATTCCATCCCCAGGGAGTTCCGACTGCACCAACACACATTCAGCCTCTCGAGAACTGATCATTTGAGCATGCGCTCTTTGGTGAAAACAAAAGGTAAAGTAGTTTATCATGACAAAGTTAACTCACTCAATAGGTTTAGACAAATATGCCAGACAAACATTTGTCACGAGGACTAAACGTTTAGAGGATTCCATGCTCAGCCAGTTCCAAGTTTGCACTCGGATGCTTAAAAGAAATTTTTAATTGAGTACTGGTTTTGTCTTATTTTGCTCTTATTTTTGGTCTAGCCGCCTTACACCATCTTCCTCAACCAATCAGATGTGAAACTAAACCACTCGTGACTTGTCACCCGCGTTTTCCTCGCGCTTCTTCCAGTTCGCCTATTTTTAACTTTGATCTCTTATTAGCTAGTGTAATTGTAGCCTTCGCTCTGATTGGCACTTGTGATGACACTGGTTCTTGTTATTTCAAGAATCAATTGAAAAGTATTCTACCAAGTAAGCTCTAGAGCGTAGAACACGCTTGCGAGTTTAGCCTCAAACTAAGTTGATGTGTAACAAGCATCCCGCAGCTGCACCCAAAGCATCTTCAGAAGTGAAAAAGTACCAGTGATCTTGTGAGAGGTAGTAAATCATATTCTGCATAAGAATGGAAATTCCAAGTTTGCGGATGAAGTTTCAATAAGTGTTGATTCAAACGAACTGACCTGGTTTCAGTAACTGATCGCTTTGATATGAAAGGCTTGGCTTTCCGAGGCCCTGGCTTTCTCGGGTGGAACTGGGACGACTGTTCTTCATCGCCTGGCGTGGGAGATCTCTGAACCAGACCCCTGCTCAGCAGGCTCTGCGCCACATCAGAACCATCGGGAAGAGACAGGTTTACCACCAGAGGGTAGCCAGGCAGTTTGTCACCCTGGAAACGAGACTAAAAGTAAATAACTACAAAATAACGCGCACCTAAAGTTATTCGCGTTTCTCGGACAAGAAGCATAACTCTCTGTGCCTCCCTCCACCCCTGAGAAGTTACATGTCAATCACCTCGGGCAGTTAAAGGGTTACTACAACAGAAAGTTCTCACCCTGATTGTAGCCATACAGTCCTGCCCTACGACAGCCTGAGACAATGCCAGGATGGCTTCTAATGGCCAATGCCCGTCACTAGTTTTCTGTAAAAGACGGAAAAGAAAAAAAAAGCAGTTGTGATGACGTAAATTGATAATTATCTCTGGAGTACTGGGCGAAGATCACTTATCAGACAAGCTATACTTCTACCAGCTGGGTGTAGCCTGCAGTGAGGACGAGTTAACTTTATAAGCTCGCGATCGTTTATTCGACCGGCCATATTTGATTTCGACTTCGAGAATACAGTGGGGTAGGGGGTAGGGAAAGGCGAGATATAATTTATATCGCCCCATTCCTTTCCTTGTATTCCCCTTGGACCATCACCCACCCCCTTAGTACAAATTTCTTTCTCTCCCCAGCCTTCTACTGCTTTAAAATTAGCTATAATTTTCACCATGAAAATACTGAGCACTCGTTCGCCAAAATGACACCTACCCTGCAGGCTAGGCTGGGTGTACAATAATTCCTCTAAATTTTATAACAGTTTCCATTTCAGCTTACATACACTTCGTTAAGGGTTTTCTACAGTTATATTTCAATTTAACGGCCACTTTCGTCAAAAATTTGGGAGTTATTTTCTTTCAAGTAGCTATGCATCAAAGCCAGGGCATATAGCTTTGCATAGATCACATGCTTCTGATCAAAGTCAATATGACAACCAGAGAACTACTCACAGGTTCAATTCCGCGCAAAACCAGCTGAAGACATTGGTTAGGAACCTCCATGAATGGCATCTCTTGCCTTATCGCAGACAGGGACACAACTTCCGAATTTCCAAAGTCAACATAGCTCACCTGAGGAAATACAACCAAGTTCATTATCATTCTTGAGTACATATGGAAGCACTTTTCTTACATAGTGCAAGACAAGGCGGTCCTTTATTACCTACCTCTACTTTATCCTTCTCTAATATTTTTATCACTGATGCACGGTACCACATACCATCCTCTGCGAACTGAGCAACGCACGGGAGGCCTGGGAACAATGACGTTACATCGGTAGGTGCTCCTGATTGATCCTCGCTTTTGCCGTATCTCTCTAGCAAGGTTCCCATGATGTTTATCAAAGTACGGTCACCTGAAACCGCCACAGTACATTTGAAAGCATGGTACTTGTAACTTACGTCATAGGCAAGTTTATTTAAAAGCACTTTTCGATTGAATGTCGTAGATCAAAAACGAAATTAATCACAACGGCCGGTCAGAAGAAACGAAAATGCATTTAAAAGCCAATGGGAACTCATAATAAAACAAACAAACCGCCAAAAGCGCAGGAAAACGCAGGCAACCAAGTCACGATTGGTTTAAGCTTTGCATCTGATTGGTAGAGAGAGTGACACGTGTTTTCTAGACCAAGAAAGAAGACAAAAACGATAGTAAACTCCGGCAGTAAAATGCAACCCTCTATCTAAGACTTTAGACTGGAGTTTCATGGGGATAAAAGTCAAATCGTTTTTTGAAGCTTTTCCAAAATATTGTCACAACAAACTTTCTCACTTTCCTTTACTTCTTGCTGACTACGAAATTCAAATGTTAGGTCGCTGGAAATCAGCTTGTTACAAGACTTATGTTCGTTCTCCGCTCAATGTCCTTCTCCAGTTCCCTCAGCGAATAGCAAAGACCGCGTCGATCACTTATCAATATGCTAATCCCTACTACCAGAACACTCAAGATTCCTTGTGGACAGCTAGTTTTTCCCTTCGTTTCTCTTACCGCAAACTTTACCATTAACCGCAAACCTTACCATTTGGGTATTTCTTTGGGAAGTTGTATTTGTTCCAAGTGGAAAATATATGTAGCTGCCCATCGACGGCCCACATACGTTCGATTGTTGTATTTATTGCGTGATTAAATGGTATTAATAGTTAAGACAAGTTAATGGTGAGCATGTATTGTACATAGCTAGGAATCGCATTTCATTATAACCTCGTGTGTCGTATCGTTCGGTTCGCTCGCTCCGTGAATTATTGTATTCCCCATCTTTTCCCTCCCTTGGCAGTTGTATTTGTCCCAAATGGAAAATATATGTAGCTGCCCATCGACGGCCCACATACGTATGATTGTTGTCTTTATTGCGTGATTACGTGGTATTAATTCTTAATGGGGATAAAAGTCAATTCTTCTGTTGAAGCTTTTTCAAAATATTGTCGCAACAAATTTTCTCACCTTCCTTTACTTCTTGAGCATACACATATCCTTGTGAATCCACAAACGTGACTCCGGCTTGGAATTTCTTTCCTTCCGGTATTGTTGCTGCCTTGTACTTCAACTCCTTGTAATCACAGGAGGCCCTAGATGTTTCACTGGCTTGAGGCTCCGTTCTATCTTCAGACACAGCCCTCTCCTCTTCCCTGAATGAACTAGCCTGGCTCTCCTTCTCCGTTTGAATGTCAGGTTCGTTTGCAGTTTCCTGCCCACTTTCTGTTTCTTCTACATTCTGTTCAGACTGGATCTCACTTTCCTTGTTATCTCTTGCCTTCTCACTTTCAGTGGCTAGTTCATCCCGGGTCTTTACAATGCTGCAAGAACGCTTGAATGAGCATGCAAGAATGCGACACAAGCTGTTTCTCCTGCGCATTTTTCCTGTTTCTAAATATTCTGTCTTTTCTGCTTCCTTTTGCTTTAAATGACTGAAACACAAAATTGAACTATACACACAACAGCGAAATGTGTAAAATCTTGGTCTATATAACACTGACAAGAGCGTGCTTTCTAAAACAATTCCGTATAAAAGACATCAAGAATAATCAGATAAACATTAAATGAAACAAACAATAAAAAAATAAAAACAAAACAAAAACAAACAAATTAGATTTAGCAGAGACATGATCTGCACACAACGCTGTGCGAATGAGAACACAAAGTAAAAACAGCAAACTGACTAAAGCGCGGGAAAACGCGGGCGACCAAGTAGCGACTGGTTTTGCTTGTGAATCTGATTGGTTGAGGAAATGGCTTGATTCTTCTTTACTAATCACAGAGCGAAGTAAAGCAAAACTAAAGCGATCCCTGAACACTTTCGACACTTCACTGAAATTGATCTTGTCAAAAAAAGCGTGCTATGTTCTGATCTTACCCGAGTCCAGCCGTCTGACAATAACCATGCTGCACAAGAAACTGATTAATACAAACGTCCTGAGCGCCCGTGGTGTCATACAGCAAAACCGACATCTTGTTATCGACAACTCCTAAAATTATAAAACAACCCGCATAAATACGAGAAGCAAATAATGGTAGATGAAGAAAGGCAGCACGATGATTCGATAAAGTACACTGCCTACATAATAGACTGCGAGTAATCCCTCCTTTTACGCCACGAAAGTAAAAAAAGAAACAGCGAAAAAAACAAAATTATGTTAGCGCGCCTCGCGGAACTCTGAGAGTGAGGCGCACGAAAAGTAGTCGTGATCGTGATCGTGATCGTGATCGTGATCGTGATCTGTGGTGTGAAACCTTTTTGAACGTTTACCTTTCACTTCAAACACCAACGACCTATTCAGCAACAGGCTCGAAACATTCTGTTGATCCTGTTCGAAAAACACACGCAATGTCAATAAAACTCGTTTGGCCTTTGCAGAACACTTTACGAAACAAATCTTAGGAATTCCAGGGTTAATAAAATGCATATTGATGTGAAAAGAATCCTAACTATGGAAAACTAAAGTCACGGGCGGCGGTTTACAAACTGAGTTGGCTCTTTCTATTCAAATGTTGTCCCAATGGTTCGCGTGTTTAGAAGACTAGACGTAAATAGCAGGGCTTCGATAAAAACCGTTTACCACCGTCTACCACCGTCGGTAAGACCTCTTACCACCGCCTCTTTAGCCTGCATGCAGGCTTTTGGGTTGGTAAAATTGTTCAAGCGTTTGCAAACTAATATTTTGGGACTTCATACATGTTTTAGGTACTTTTACATGACGCAGAAAATCACGTTACCTAGCTTTATTAATGAACGTATTATTGATATGGTAAAGTAAAGAAAGTTCTACAATGCCAAGGATCTTTCCCCACACACCTGTCCCTGCCATTCTTCTTCATTTGGTTTAATATCCACGAGACAAACAGGTAATGCCTTTCGGGACGAAAAATCAACGTTCTTGTCATTCTTCTTGTCTTTCTACTTGATGTAAAATTGCTACATAACAACACTTATTTCGAGGTGTGTGCATAAAGCATGTGATAAATGTGTATGGAAAAGGTTTCATGTCGCCCAGTTTCAGAGGGTCTGAGCCGCCAACTGGATTCACATCATTTTTCTTTGCCCTATTCATATGTTGGGGGGGGGGGGAGAAAGGGAACAGGACGAGGTGATGTAATTGCAAGTGAAAGGTCTGGTTTAGAACTCTGGTCTAGATCGCTTCAATTTTCTTTCGCTTAATTTGCGAGAAAGCGGTTGTTCCTTTGAAATTTTACGCGAGAAAGTGGCGCGCGGCGGGCCAGAATGGATCCCCTCGCGCATGCCCGACGTTTGACCGCTATGTGACCGGCGATGGAGTCCACGCTACAGAAATCGAGATCTGATCATCTCCAGCAGTTTTTGCAAGTCAGTCCCGTATGCAGACTCAAGCTTAACCCACACTGATGACAAATACATTTAACGTCCTTTTCAAACCCATACCTGCTTTGGAAGTCTCAGAAACATGTCGGGAAGTTTCCTGATCTCGGAAAATGTCAATTTTTCAGAGTTTCCAAAGTCTACATACGTCACGTCTACGGTTTCATCGCTGTTTACGGCTGTAAAAATAAGAGTTAAGAAGAAGATAAACAAAAATTGTAACAGACCTCGCACTTAGATCGCAGCTCAGGGCGGCCTTGATGTTTGGAAGGAGAAACTGGTTCTAATTCAAGTTACATGTGCCACATCCAGGCACACGAGCTAACAACATTCAACAGCTGTTTATCGCAAGTACACTTCACATACACAATTCACACTATCACGTGTCGCAATACACACTATCACATGTACACTACAGTAACAAACTTATTACGTATAAGCTTGACACTTTATAGTACCCTTACCCGTAACGAGAGCTCTGTACCAAATCTTGTCTTCTGTGAATCTCGCCGCACAAACAAGACCTGCGTGAGGACGAAAGTAGACCATGACAAACTCGTTTAACTCCAAATACATTTACTTAAGAACGTTCTTCTATCTCCCTACAACCTGCAGTAGTGCAACATTATAATCTTGAATTTCAATATAGTAAATTTAATGAAGTCTCGAAAATAATCCGGGATTGTATTACTTTTGCTTTCCTTCGCTTTGTGATTGGTCCAGAAACTCGCACCATTTTCTCAAACCAATCAGATGCAAAACTAAAACCAGTCACAATTTGGTCGCTCGCGTTTTCCCGCGCTTTAGGCGGTTGGCTTGTTTTTACTCGAGTTCTCATTGACTCTTCTTCCTTTCCTCTGATTTGCCGTTGTAATTTCTGTGGTTTTAGTTTACGACACTCAGTCGAAAAGCGCTCTAAACAAGTGGAAACAATTCCACTTTTTACGGTAGCATAACGTCTTTGCTTTCTATTTCTACTCTGTGATTGCTCCAGGAAACTTACACCAATCTCTCATCCAATCAGATGCAAAACTAAAACCAATCACGACTTGACCATCCGCGTCTTCCCGCGTTTTACGCAGTTTGGTTGGTTTTACTTCGAGCTCTCATTGGCTCTCAAAGTATTTCCGTTTCTTCTAATTGGTAGTTGTGATTACTTTGGTTTTGTTTTTATGACACTTAATCAAAGGAACTGAGAGTAAGGTAAAGTTTTAATTAAGAAATGGTAGCATGAAAGTAGTGTAAAGTAACTGAAGAATGTTTTGCTTAGGGTAATTTAGCCAGTAAATTTTCCAATCTACAGTGAACTTTATGGAAAGGGAAGGGAGACTTTTTATATCTCTTCTCGAAATTAAACACCACTTGCTTGAGCGTAAAGTAAATCGTAAACAAACCTACCCTTGTAAGGCCACGGAACACTCCATTCGGTTCCACGCCTCCTCCCTCCAAACATCTTGCTCATCTCCTCCATAATATGCTGTAGCTCCGTTGTCTCTTCACTACGCAGCTGCCAACATGGAGGACCAAAGAAATACCATAATGACAAAAATTTATGACGAAACCCTTAGAGTAAACTCCCTCTTATTTTGATGTAGTTAAACGCATCGAGTACAGCTCAGAAATAACACTGATAGTCAACAAGTAATCGTTTTATATTGATCTTCCAAAGTCACCCTCATGAAAGTTTTCACCAAATCGAAAAGTTGTTCAAAAGCTTAAACCAACGCTCCAAGCTGGCACTGTTTAGGTCACCATGACCAGTGGAGAAAAATTCTACCCAGCATGTTTGCTATGCAAGTCACCAAAACCGACGGCCACATAGCTAGTTGTAATCTTTTTTTTATCATTCAGTGTTTCAGTGGTCTGTCATTGGGGTAAGATAGATATTCGCCGTAAACGTAACGCACTGTTGCACTGTTCTTTTATGTTCCGTCCCTACCCCTCCCCACACCTCACCCTTTTTTCCCCAAGCGACTACTTTGTCACTCAATTAAAAGCCACTTCATCGAGACAATGTTTCAAACCTTTTGCACATAAATTTCATCAGGGGCAGCAACATGTGTTACAAGCACATCAACAAATGCTCCTTCACCGATATGAACAGCTTCTTTGTAAGTCTTCTTAGGGAAGAAAAGCCCTGAAATGATTCAACGGAACATCTAAAACTACAGGAAGGCCATACTTCAAAACTACCTCAACATAAGTCTAACTTAATTTCTTCCTCTGTACTTATTAAGTCACTCATTCATTCACTCATTGATTTATTTTCATTAGAGTAATTTTAGATTATGTGTCGAAAGTAATTCGGCGTTACTTTGTTTTTTTTCATCCAATCAGATGCAAAATTAAATCAATCACGACTTGGCCGTCCGCGTCTTCCCGCGCTTTAAGCAGTTTGGTTGGTTTTACTTCGAGCTCTCATTGGCTCTCAAAGTATTTCCGTTTCTTCTAATTGGTAGTTGTGATTACTTTGGTTTTGTTTTAATGACACTTAATCAAAGGGCGCTTTAAACCAGGTTATTTACCAACCTTCGGGTTTTGAGGCAGGAGAAGAGAAACGAGCCACTTCCAAGAAAACAAGGGCATCACGGACAGACACAGGTCTGTCATCATCTTGAGTTGGTTCATCATCTTCAGGACGACGCAAGTCAACCACCAGCTTATTTCCCTTTCTTCCAATCACCTAATAAAACATACAGACAGTTACACCATAAAAATCAGTATGCATATTCTCCATACTGTGCTCTATATATTTCCTAAGGTGCTGACAAGGAGAATTTGTCTGACAATCAGGAGCTTCTTCAGTTAGTGATCATTTGCTTCATTCTCATGACCTTAATGTGTGATTCAAGGGTGATATTGTGAGGAGAAATAAGAAGCTAGTCTCTGTTGGAAGACAAAGAGTTAAATATAAATAACTCTAAGCACGGATTTGTTCTCAAAGCCCTCCTTGGCCAGCAAATAGTACATCTTTCAAGGCCCTTCCTTCCCTTGCAGCCCAAACTGTGCTTTACTTCTGTTAATATCTTAAAAACAGTAACCACAAAAAATTAAGAGAATAATTTAAACCTCCATTACAGATATGCACATATGACGGGCCGGTTTTTTTTTTATTAACACGAGATCTAACCCAAACCGCGATTTTACGCAAGTAGTAGGCCAAACGTATTTTCTTTAAGAGAGTTGTTTTTACTAAATAAATGTCCTTCCACTGTCAGCTTTCCGCCCTCTAGAAACTGTTCACAAAAATAAATGCTCAGATTAAAGATTCAGCTAAATTCAAGATAGTTTAGAACGCGGTTTTGTTAGACAACGGCTTAACTTTGTCTAAATAACTGGCCCAATGAGTTTGGTAGTCGACAAAGAATTGGTCTGTGAACGCCTGTATGTCTGTTGTTCATTTAGTCCCTGGAGATTTTCTCATCAATATTAACGAAATTTGCATCAACCACTTACCACAGTGGTCACTTGATCGCACACACATGTACATCCTTAAGAGAAGAAACCATTCCCTTGAAAGGATTACATTTCAAGTCACTAAAGCTTAGTTGTACAAAATAATTCATTTAGCTTCTTTGAACTTACTGTCATCAACAAAGGTTTATCTCCAGTCAGACTTCCAAACGCCTTTATTGCTTTGGCAGGCCACTTTTCCTCCTTAAAATAATATCAAACACAATTTAAATTAATACACTAAGACACACTTTCTCCTATTCAGTGTTGAAACCCATTTAATAAAGATCTAATAAAATAAAGCCTACTTTCTGGCTGCTATACAGTTCCTTGTAATGAAACAAAAGTGTTTAAGAAGGAAAATTTATTGAATGATTGAACTTTTAAATACTCTAAGTAAAAATGAAAACAAACCTGGAATGGAGGTACAATGTCTGCCAAGCAACAGCATTCTCCAAGTTCAGGAACATTTAGAAATTCTGCTTTCATCTTTCTCAACCTGGAATAGATCAATGCATAGCAACCAACTTCTAAGGGCATCAGTACTTATGATCACATTTTGATTTCAATTTTTACTCTTCTACTTTTCATAAGTTTGTTTACCAGTGATAAGAACACTTGAGATACCATCAAAAAAACAAAAAGCTCCTGCTGCATTTGCCTTCCATACTTACCTGCTTAAAGGCAGCCACTCACTGTTTCCATAATCTATGTACTGCACCTCAACACAAAGATTATTCTCCAGAGTTGGAACAGTGTTGGGATGTGCAGGAGAATATGCCGTCTTGATGCGAGCTCTGTACCACTGATTATCAGTTGTAAATTGAGCACAACACATGTCACCTGACAACAGCAAAAACAAAAACATCAGTAGGGAAAGGAACAATTTTGAAGTATCTACTTTTCCAAAAATTTTCAAGGAAGCAGCAGCAGCAGCTTTCTGCACTGATGTTTGTTATTAAAGGAGCAAAAAATACCAACATACCAAACTTGACATCATATAGAAGATCATGAACATTCTCTGTGCTGTCGCAATAGATGTTGATGACATTCATCATGATCTGGAGTTGTTCAAGGTCAGCAACTCTTTGAATCATAAACTGACAAGGATCTCTGATATGCGTCACAAGAACAAGTTCATGACGATCTAAACAACAACACCATTTTTTAGATAGTTAAGTGGTTGTATTAAAATTGACAATTGTAACTTTACAGCATCATTCCATTTCCTAAATTGTACACACCAGTCTAAAGTCACCAATTACAAAGAGCAAAGAAACTCTCAGGAAAGAGCAATCTAATTTCTCCTTACAATATCACCCCTGAATCACACATTAAGGTCATGAGAATAAAGGAAATGATCACCAATTAACAAAGGAAATATTCATAATATTCATACTACTGTTAGGACATAAAAGGTTATAATACCTACACTAGAAGCTGCCCTTACATGCAAGATTTGATTTAAGTATCCTGGACACTGTGATTGATCCTGGTGTTCTCTGATGCTGCATTCTTTGATCAGACAGCTGATTATCTGCAGTGTCTTCTTGTTCTTCTTGAGCATTAACAAGCTCCTGTTCTGAGTCATCACTCCTTACTCCCAAGTATTCTTCATTCATTTCACTCAATTTTTTCATCTCAAATCTGATAATCAATGTTTGACAGAGCAGATAAAAATATGAAATAAATTGTATATGGAGAGATTGTCTGAAACAATTTGATGATATGTTACCTTAGTGTTTTTCAGGTAGATCACGTCATTTTTGGGAGTTTTTTTAATTTATACTTCTAAAAGTTTCCTGTTGGTCGGTGTACGTACCATTTAACCCTTTAACTCCCAGATCAAATTTGTTCTTCTCCTTACTGTTCACCATACAATTCTTGTAATGTTAGTTCAGAGAATTTAGTGTTGGATCAACTAATTATCCTCAAATTGATATTTTTCTTTATTCTCATCACTTGTCTGCTTGATATTGTATGGATATTGTAAGGAGAAATTCTGTCTTGGTCACTCAAGGGACTTAAAGGGTTAAAGGGAATACAAAAATGGTCTTGTTTAATGAAATAACCAAAAGCAAATGATGAATAATCTCACCTTGCACAACCATCTGTGGAAACAGAACCATATTCAGAAATTCTCTCCCTCATCTCTCCTCTAGTTTCAAACCTAAACACAAATAAACTCCATTAAGCCTTCCATGACACATGCCCCATGGAGCACTGTATCATTAAACAAATGTAATAACTGTAGACACAACTGTTGTATAGTTAACTTAACACTATAATGAAGCTTACCTTATTTGATCTTCATGGGATATCACTTTTACTGGACAGCACTGCATCTCTTTAACACATTCCAACTCTCTTCTTAACTAAATATGACAAAATATATTTTTTGGTTGAGAGATAGACTGATAATTCACATCCTGTAATGCTTCAACACAAACAGGTACATTAGTACAGGGCGTGAAATTGTGCCTAATACAGGTGCCAATGTGACTAAATTTTTCACTTTGGTGACCAAATCCTGAAAATTAGTCACAAAATTGGCAACTAGAATGTTTCATCATAACCTTACCAAGAGATATAGTGAATTACAAAGATTTGCAAAGATAAATCGGCGGAAAACTTCCTCGTTAGGTTTGTTTCCAAAACGCAGCACATGACTCACGATTGATAACTAGATGCCATCTTGGATTTAAGTGAGCTTGAATGCTGTATATCTCTTTGTGGCTTGTTAAAGATCTTTTCCCTCACTTAATTTCGGAGGGTCTATCTAGAACACTGACAACGTAAAAAAAGGATTTGTTTGTCTTTGAAAATGGTGACAAACTTTTTTTTAATTGGCTACCACTTTGAAGAATTTAGGAGCCAAGTGGCTATCAGAAAAAAAATTAATTTCATGCCCTGTGGTAACTTTAACAGGTAACAAGTAGACAAAAGTGATGTACATGCATTAAATAAATAATAACTACAATTAATAATATATATATTTTATCAGAATTGAATCATGCGCCAGAGTGCATAAAACCAACCTTTTTAGCATTGTCAATTAATGTCTGTGGTTGTCCAATCATACTTTCCACTTCTGAAAACATGATAATATAAATAGCAATATTTAAAAATAGTGGAGAACTCACCTGTTTACTACAATGTAGCTCATGTTAGTCAAAAATATTATCTCACTTTAGTCTATAGTGCAGCTGGATATCTCAAGCTAACATTCTTGAGGTTAAAAACCTCAATCAATTCTTGATAAGATTGCTTTTCATTGAGTTTTACAAACACAAAACCAACTGAAGATAAACACAATAGACTATCTCTTACCATGAACATAATCTTTTGCTTTCCGCAAATTGTCAGCAACCTCTTCCCGCTGTTTTAGAATAATAGAAAAAAAAAAAGTCATAAAGTTTGATAAATTCAATAATAGTTGCTCTCCTATGAGATAAATACTGCAAACTGAATTTTGTTGTAGACTTGAAACGTGGTTTTACTTAACTTGTTAGTTTATACAATACCCAAAAAAATTTGCACAGCACATTCAAAATTTAATTATGCTTAAAAAAGCACACTTCTTACTTTTCACTGGAGAGAGAGGGGATGGTTGGGTGAGTGAAAACCTAAGCAGCAAGAGAGAGCCCACTTAAGCCAAGGAAGCTTTAAATATGACAAAAATACTAGTGACTACAACACTAAACAACTATTATACCATTTTCTCTAGAATCTTCTCCCCATTGTGATTTAGTTCAACTTCTTTGATCAGAGATTGCTCTCTGCAAAAGAACACGTGCTTGGTGTTAGGAGACATAAAAAGCAGGGTGCTAACTCAACTCTTAAAAATTTGACCCTATTTTTGCAAGTTTGTTCTACTCTACAAGCTGTGTCAATCTTCCCCTTTATAAGCAAGTTCTTTACACCCTAACATCATTATGCAAGTTCTCCATAATGTTCTCTATCACATCCTATGGTACTTAAAGGAGAATTTGCCCAACAATCAAGAGCTTTATGATCATATCCTTTATTCTCACGACCTCAATGTTTGATTCAGAGGTGATACTGTTGGGAGAAGTTAGATGCTTATCACTCTTGTGGGTTAAAGGGTTAGACAGTTATGCCAAAGTTTCCTGGCAATTCTAAGCAATGACTCAGCCATTTACAAAATGGGTGCATTTGACTTCAAACAGATAACACTTTGTAACCTGTAGTGATAATACTATTGTACCTGGTCTGTAAAGCAGAATATAACATCTGAAAGTGCTCCCTGATATTATTCACAATTTCATTCTTTTCAGCCTTAACTCCTGGAAGTGCTTTACAAATTACCTGTAAGCAAAGGAATAACAACATAAAACAAGATCACACCTAATTCATTTATTAAACTCCATAAAATATCATAGATTGTCAAGAGTTCACACTGTTTTACTTCCAAGACCTTTTCCAGGAAATCTTTGAACTTTTTCATGACCATAGATCCATAATTTGCTTTCAAATAACCTCAAACAATAAATCAGTGAAGTATTTATCATTCTTTTCTCAAATCTTGAAAATGATATCACAAAATTATACAACATTCCAGGCCCAGAAACGATGTAATGAAATAAAAAGATTTTTCAGGCCTGTTGAACAAACTTTTGAAATTTATGAATTTCCAGGACTGAAAAATGACATGGTAATCAAAATATTTCATAACATTCCATGACTGGAAAACTATATCCTAAAAATCAGTGTCTTTGCTGGTTATTTTATTTGTTACTTTTCAGGCAAAACAAACCTGAACTGACTTGTCTAGACATTTTATAACTGGAGCTACTTCATCAACTGATGTCTTGAATTGATCTTCAACTTCTTTAGCCTTTAATCAAACAAAAAATGTTTCATTTCACGGATTCAAAACTAAGTTAACTATACCAAACAAAGGTCTTCTTTGAAACTCAAACTTATGTAAAAATTACATCAGTTTAACCAAACTCACAGATTGAAAAAAAGATTTACTCACAATTTCATCTATGGGTGCAATAGCGTGTGTTTGTCTCTCTCCAGTTACAACACAGTGTGAACAGACAGGCTGACAATCATCCTTGTCGTAAAACTCCAGAGGTCTGTTATTGTGATCAGGGCACCCAACAGCTGTTTCAGTGCTGAGATGTATCACAAACAAAACTGTCATTATGAACAAATCAAGGCCCCTAGCATTCACAATCACTGTTTTATAAAAAAAATAATGAGTAACTCCTTACTTTTTTTTTGCAACAGGTAAGGGAACATGTTTCCTCAAAGCAACTGAATATGAATGCACCTAGGAAAAAAAAACATACATGATTCCTAATCACTCAATCCTTCAAGGGAAATAGAAAGGAGTACATTTCAGTTATCAGGGGTTCAAGTTATGGCTCAAGGTGTACTGAGTTTTCCCAATGGGTCAATGTCCAGTTGAACTGTGTGTTTATGCTTTCCCTAACATCAGTATCCATATTCTCTAAACTTATCTCTATACATTGCCTTTGGTACTGACAAGGAGAATTTGTATGACAATCAAAGCTTCCCTTGTCAGTGATAATTTCCTGTTATTCTCATGATCTTAATGAATGATTCAGCAGTATTATTGTAAGGAGAAATCAGATGCTGGTCACTCTCAAGGTTTGAAGGGTTATTGAGCTGTTCAAGCAAAAGTAAGAAGTTTACAACTTCAGATTATGCCTGGGTGTGCCTGACATTTTAAAAGATCTGAACCAATCATGTATTTGTCAAATCATGCTTGCTCTATGAAGTGATTTAACCCTGTGGATCAGACCTTGCTATGATACCATCGAGGAGAAAGCCATTTAGCAGTAGCTTTTGACACATCCTTTGCTTTCTCAGTGATCTTCCAAGTGAAATCCCACTTAATGCTTTCTCATTTAATGACTTTCTTAAGCTAAGCTAGGGAGTGGAGGATGCGTGCTCAGATGAAGACAAGAACAACAGACGTACTCTCTCAAAACAAGCACGACAGTAAACTGTTTCACACTTGCTGCAACTGCTAGTGGCTGTTGCTCTGGTGCACTCTTCACATTGTACACCTAGGAAAGAAAGAAAGAAAGAGAATGATACAAACAAGGGACAAATCCAGAAAACTGACCAAGAGGGGGGGCTAAAATTACACTACTTCTCCTTCAATTCAAGCCCCCCACCCCACCCCCCCCTACAAAACTTTTCTATACATTCTTCCAAATCTGTGCCAATTTAATCCCACAAGAAATATTGACATTCTCCATCATATATACTAAAGTATATACATACATTCTATGGTGCAAAACAGGATTGTAAAAAGTATACGATAGCCTTCATTCAATAAAATATTTTGACTCCTGCATAGTCATGACAGGTTTACAGACTAGTGTAATTCCCTTGTTCAATACACTTGTACATACTGTACAATATATCTTTCCTTTGCAAGACCCTCCTGGCACTTTCGTCTTATTTATTTTACAGTACCACTCAAAAGTAAGTTGACAGTCCCTCGATCCTGGATTCTTGACCCTCAATACTTGATAACTTTGAGAATTGAGACTCAAGTTGAGTTTTAAGAAATTTGAGTTGAGTATCAAGGCTTTGGAAACTTGGTTCAAGACCCTTTAAGTTGGGAAACATAGGTGCACTACTCACCAGTGTCAATTTTCATCAGTTCAGCTTTCTTTTCGCGGGTAAACTGATTAATTGCTCTTTGTAAACCAGCTTTTGTCCCAAGCTTTGAGCGACCTGGCTTTTGAACATCACTACAACCAAAAAAAACAAATTAAAAACCAGAAATTGAAAGACAGTTTCACAATCACATCTAGCTATGCATAGAAACATTTCAACTGAAACCTCTCTAAACTTATCAAGTCTGCACATCTCATATGCGTATTCACAGATTTTGAAACATAATTCAAGTTTGAACAAAAAAAATTGATTACCCAAAATTACAGCTCAAATTGTACTCTAAATAAATTTGCAAGAGGAAAAAGTATGAAATTCTGCCAATCAGTATATAACCAAGAGTTGGTAGTAAATAAAAAGTTATAGATACCATGCATGGACTTTGTATGACCAGAAAGCGCTGCTAATGTATACACTTACATGCGGTAAGAAGCTCTTTTGGAGTTAGTCATCACTCCTAACAGGAAGATGTTGGGGGGAATGGCCCTCACCCCCTTCTCTCCTTCAATTGTAAGTGGGGTGGGATGATGACAATCTGAACATGACACCTCCGTCTTTTGTAGCCTAGCCCATTTAGTCACACACCCCTCGCAAAAGGTGTGGCCACATTCCAAAAGTAAGGGGATGCGATTTCCAATTGGCTTGGTCACATCTGAAGAATGAATTTGTAACATTATCTTTATGTTAATCATTCAAGAAAATTTTTAATCATATACTGATCATTTGTCTAAAAAAATATATTGTTTACAAAACAAATAGAGAGCTTTCATTTTTGCCACAGATTATCATTCAAATGTCTCTGTTTATCCTCTTAAAACTTTTACAAGAATGTACTGACATCAATGATCACCTGTTCTGTAAGTCAGCTGGTATCCACAAAGTGACAGCACTTAACAGTGATCCCAGTTCCACCCCTCCCCCTTGGATTCCAAATTCACCCCTCTCCCCTCCAATTCCAACTTGCACGCGAAGCAACACATTTTACTCTATAGAGGCGATCAAACCACAGTTAAACAAGTCCGCATTTTTAAAAAAGTCAACTGACAAATAACACTAACGAAAATGGTTTTACGCTTTTGCATTGTCTAAGTGAAAGTCTGACAAGCTGCAAAGGATGAGCTGAAGAAAATATCAAGCTTACGTGTATCTTGTACTACAGCAGACACAACAGAATTTATATTTGTCGAAATAACAACATTTTCGGCTTTCATGAAAATCCATGTAATTTCAGCTTGTGACCCATTAACTGACTGGATATCAGGATGTTTCTGAGGTCGATCACAGCTGATGCACGCTTGGAAATTCTTCGCAGGGCTCATTGTCTACGAGTGAAACTGTTTGTAAATTATCACAAAAAGACGTATATAGAATGTGTAATAGTTACCTTTAAAGCCGTAACTTTTGCAGCAATTCTTGCAAGTCGGTGTACGCTGCATAATAGAGGCGAGGAAAATAATTAAGAAAAAGTATCCTTAGATCTTCCGTTCCGGTTGCAAGGCCACAAACCATCAAAACACATGTTTTGATCGTCATCTCCGACAACTTCCAAATTAGGACATACCGAACACATGTGTATCCACGGCAATACCCAAATATGGATTTGAGATTTGTGGCGGGAAAGAGAAAGTCATATTTGCGCGCAGGAGACAAGTTGTGAATGTTGATCACTCGTTCTCTTCCACAGTTTTGTTTGTTTCACATTTGAGCTTTTTCTGTGTTTCTGAGCCCAAGTATTCAACCCACGATGAAATTTGATACTCAAGAAATCGCCTGGCATGGAAAAGAACCAATTCTGAGTGTTGATTTTAGCAAAGTGGGATCAAAATGGCGACTTGCATCCGCGGGCGCAGATAACGATGTAAAGGTAAGCTCAGCGTGGATTTATGATCAAAAATTGTTGCAGGGAAACTATTCCTGACCTTCATCCTGTTTCTTTCCAAGTTTATCCTAAGTTAGCTATTTCATTCATTTCTTTTACCTTCAAATGCAGATCTGGTCTATCGTTTGCAGTGATGGTCAAAAGACAGCTATCGACTTTTTAGCAAATTTGAGTCGCCACACAAAAGCTGTAAACGTGGTAAAGTTTTCTCCCAAAGGTAAGCTTAAATTTCGCGTAGCTACAACTTCGATCTGATGTTTGGTCCCCTCGAAGCGTTCTGGGCACCAATTTACGAGCATCTAGTGAGAGCATCCCACGTTTTTTCTACCGCAGTTCACATATATGATTTTCATATATTTACAGTCATTTCTTCAACACTTGGAGGGTTTATTTCGAACCAACATAATAACCAGCTCCTAGTTGGCTTGTTAGCTTAGTTGATAAAGCGCTGCGCCGGTAACGCAGAGGTCATGGGTTCAAATCCCGGGCCTGATTTTTTTCAGGCCTTACTTTCACAACTACTAAGTAGTGTTCATAATTTCGAGGATCGCTTCCATATTCGTTATCATCTCATATCTTAATTCATGGGTCTTTGCACTTGTAACTGACCTCTCTGTCTCGACTGATGATTAAGGAGAGATCATATGTTAATCACCAATTTGTTTTCAAGCAATAGAGGACTTTTTCCGCATCGACATTGCCGCATCGAAACACGATGGGAATCGAGAAAGTTATGCAAACCTGCAACACATAACTTGCATGTTGCCTATCATTAATTATTTTTTTTATATTTCTACACGCAGATGAGATTCTTGCATCAGGAGGAGATGGTAAGTTTGAAAAGAAGAAAACTGTTAAAAAACAAAAAACAAGAGTTCTTTTGCCAATAAATACTGGTACCTTCCCCATGGAGGACTAAAATGTAATCTCTTGAAGGAGAAAGTCTGAAGTGATGAATAATCATTTAGAAGAAGTCTTGATCAGATATAGCAATGAATTTTCTCAAGCAGAATAAAGGTAGTTTTAAATATGGATGATCATGGTTTCTTTTACACAAATAGCATCTTTAATTAAGCTTTTCTCGTGGTATTAATGGTGTCCTCCCTTCTTCTTTAAAATCTACTTAATTATTTTATTTCTTGACAGACTCCATGATTATTCTATGGAAGCTCAATAACTCAGGTGAGAGGAACACCTGTGACACATTAATGGATGCAGATGAAGTACCAAACAAGGAATCTTGGACTTTTCACAAGGCACTGAGGTATGTGTATGAATTACCAGCAGGGTCGTTATTCTTCACGTTTTTCATGAAGAGCTTCATGGTGATTTGCAAAATATTTAATGTGATGGATATTTATGTTTTGAAATGTAGGGGGCACATTGAGGACATTTACGATCTTCAATGGTCACCAGATGGAAACAATCTTATTTCAGGATCTGTTGACAATAGTGCTATAATTTGGGATGTAGTTAAAGGTATGTGTATGGCTTTGACAGTTCTAATGAGAAACTTCAATCACCTTAATTATGAACCAGTATCTGTACCAATGTAAGAAACACAGTGTCTTAGAGGTCAGGTTCAGTTTTGAGACCTGGCTGGATCACTGTGTTGTATTCTTGGGTAAAACATGTTTCTTTTAGTGCCCTTCTCCATCCAGAAGCATAGATGGTTACTGTTGAATTGTCAGGGAGTCTAATGAGATGCTGGGGATTAACCTTGCGATGAACTGGCAACTCATCTAAGGAGGAATAATAATTCTCCTGGTCACCTCATGCTATGCAAAGCATGATATTAAATGAAAGCAAAATATCCTTGTCCTCTCCTCATTCTAGCCCTATGGAAATTCCAGGTTTGATCTGTGCTTTGTCATTCCCCTTTTAATTTCCAACCACTGTCCCTGAGGTGAGTGTGGTTGTTTTCCAAGAACCAAAAAATTCTCAACTTTATCATGTTGAACATGATCTACAGGTCAGAAACTTGTAATCTTGAAGGACCATAAACATTATGTTCAAGGAGTTTGCTGGGATCCCCTTGGCCAATATGTTGTGACAAATTCAAGTGACAGGTAATACTTTATGAACTCCTTACACCCAAACATCAGTATGCATATTCTCCATACTGTTCTCTAAACATTTTCTAAGGAACTGACAAGGAGAATTTGTTTAAAAATCAAGAGTTTCTTAAGTTGGTGATCATTTCCTTTATTCTCGTGACCTTACTGTGTGATGCAGGGGGAATATTGAAGGGAGAATTAAGATGCTAGTCACTGTTAGGGGTCAAGGGGTTAAACTTACATTTAAAATTATTTAGGATACTTAAGATACAGATACACTTGCAATACTCTTGTTTACACTATATACAACATGATTTAATGCACTTGATCACTAATGATACAAGTCCAGAGTACTGTGCTTCATATGTCACAGTTTTGTGTTACATTTTCTCAAGTTTGGAAGGCAAATATCAAAACCATTGACAATGCTTTCAAGTAGCAGCTGTCATGTTAACAAGCCTTGTCCATTTGCTACTGAGGTTTTATTTTGGTTCAGAAACTGCAATGATAAAGTAGCCATGATAAATTTTTTTCAGTCATTTGGAACAAAACAAAACTTGGCAAACCAGAACTTAATACTCAAAGTAACAAGTTGTGCTTCATATAACTTATTTCTATCTTTACTTTTATTCCTTCTTGTAGAAGTTGCAGGCTTTACAATCCCAACTCTCACCGCTGTTGTTATAACATAACAAAACTGTTGGTAAATGGATCTCTAAAGCCAACAGAAAATGGAGAGGTAGTACCATTCTCTCTTTTGGTCAAACCTTTACACCCCAACATCAGTATGCATATTCTCTTTGCTGTTCTTTATACTCTTCCCAAGGTGCTGACAAGGAGAGTTTGGGACCAATATTAGTATCTGGGCAACTGCCACCTACCCCTCCCCTAACCCAACAACAGTCAACTGATAACAAGTTAGGGTTAATGTTGGGTTAGGGGAGGGGTAGGTGGACAGTTGCCCACATACTGATATTGATCTGAGAGTTTGTTTAACAATCAAGAACTTGTTCAGTTGATGATCATTTCCTTTATTCTTGTCACCTTAATGTGTGATTCAGGGGTAATATTCTAGGGAGAAATTGAATGCTAGGCATTCTTAGGAGTCAAGTGGTTGAGCATTTTTATCTCACTACCCAATATGTAAAATAATGATATTTAATAACACCAAACATAAACATTTTCTGTTCCTGTTTTTCCTTAGGCATTTAAGCATGGGAAAATGTTTCACGATGAAACCATGCCCTCTTTCTTTCGCCGGCCAAGTTTTTCACCAGAGGGATCATTGCTTCTAGTCCCTGGTAAGCATTTCCCTCAAAACATGGTTACTGTTATGTCTTTTCACATGTTGGTTCTCGGTTCAGATAATGTTTCTCTCAACTAGGTTTACTTTTTTGCACTGAGACATGAGCTTATCTCCAATCATAAAAGTGAGGTTCCCAAACACTATGTCATTTGCATTTTCCCCTTTTACAAAATTTGTTTAATTTCCTCAATTTCCATTTAATTTTCAGCTGGCCGGCTTGAAGTTGGTGATCAGATTGTCAACACAACATATGTTTTTACCAGAGGATCTCCAAACAAGTAAGTACCTTTACCATCTGTGTAACAAACAAAGGACACCTTACATACCCAGGTTGAGAACCTTGTCAAGATCTTTTATGATCATGAAAGATCTTGGATGATCTTGTCAAGATCTTTATCTTGCAAGGATCTTGCCAAGATCTTGGCAAGTTGAGACCACTGAAAGATCTTGCTAAGATCTTACCATGTAAGATAGTAAAAAATCTTGCCAAGATCATTCCCTTGCGAACTGAATTCCCAGTTTTCTAGGAATTCCTAGGAATTCTCAAAAATTCCCAATTATGCAAATGACCCTTGCAAACTGAATTCCCAGTTTTCTGGGAATTTCTGGGAATTCCTAGGAATTCCTAGGAATTCTCAAAAATTCCCAACTATGCAAATTAACTCTGATTTAAAATGCTTGGAATTACTGGGAATTTCTGGGAAAGGAAGACTCCAGTTTTGTGAGGACTTGGAATCCCTAGGAATTCCTAGGAATTCTCAGCTTTACAAACTACCTATAATTTAAGAAGTGTGGAACTCTTGGGAATTTCTGGGAATTGAATTTGAGGCAATTTTAATACCCTGAGGTCCACATAAATTCTAAGAAATTCTCAATACCTTGAATGTAAAGGTTTTAAGAAAAAGAGTAATTTCAGAGGCTTAAAACTTTGGCTCAATAAAAGGTATGCTATACAAAACTTACCAAGAGATATACATACATGTACATGTTTATAACTTAAAGATCATGAAATTTATTACTCAAACTAAGTTTTAGTAAATCTTTACATTAATATGGATTTTCTCATGAACCAGCTGTCAGTTATGTTAAATGGAAATTGCCAACTTCCACAATAATTAACAATAATTACATTGTTATATTACTTCCCTAACCTACATTACTGGTTGCCTTTGTTAGAAAACCATGGAACAGTCAAGCTCAGTTGCCTCAAACGCTGTCAGAGACTTTTTTTGGTTGACAATACTTTTAGTAGAAATTTCATGCCTTAGACAAACAAATTCAACACCTAATTAATCTTTCTTTTTTCATGATTGTTGTTGCTGCTTTTTTTTTCAGTTTTTTTGCTCTATTTTCATGACTAATTGCTGTAATTTGTTTTGCTGTTTTTATTCTTACAAAACATTTTTGTAAGAGTTCCAATACTTGTGGATCATCCACACACTTTGCAAACATTTGGCATGCAGACAAGACAGAGGTAGTCAATGTTCCCTTTGAGGAAAAACACCTTTTATATGACGTCTTCAATTTACTTTATTTGAAACTCTGATCTGAAAATATTTGTCAACAAGACTTGTTAGTAGTGAGAAGTACCAACCAAGTTTCCTTTCATAACTTAATTTCTCAAATGTCCCAATCACTGGATCTCCCAAAAAATATTACATCTTTTTATTTTTGGTGCAAATTACAAGTCCTTCTTTATATAAAAATGAAAAGTGCTAGTCACACTTCAATAATAACAGCTCTTAAGTTTACTTGTTGTTCTTCTCTGTCTGTCAGCTATCAACAAAATTGTTTTATACTTCGGGCAGTGCATAACTATTTGTGGACCAGAGTTCCAACGCACCTCTGTAATCGCATATAGCTACTCCTGTCTCTTGTACAAATGTTTCTCCTTTGTAAGACGCACTCTACTCTGTTGTCAATACTGCTTTAAGTTCAGTGGAAACGACTGACTGAGGAATCGAGATGGCGGTGTTGGAACGTGTTGCTGAACGCTTGCTACGGTCAAGCTGTGTAGATTTAGGTACTGGTACACTCAGGGATCATCTATGTGTCTCTTATACTTCCGAATGTGGTATCCTTCTTTTATAAATATGAGGGTAAAAGACGATTTGTAGTCGCATTTAAAACTGTGATTGGCTTGTGTTATTTCTCACCTTTGCCATTAACACAACTCAAGTGAGTTTCGAGTCTTTGTTTCCTCGACAACTTTCGGCCACAAATCGTGCATTTGTAATACGATCGATTCTTGTCGATTATTTCTACATAGAGTGAGCTCACATCTTTATTTATATCACCAAGCTATCCATCTTCTAGAAGCAGAGATCTGGTCGGAGAAGTCAGAATAAAGTTGGGCGCTTCTCTTAACACTGCAATCGGCAAGCCAGCGGATTCACTTTGCTAGCCAATGACAAGTCCTAAAAGATCCACGTGATCATGCCCGTGATCGGAAACAAAGAAGACTCCATTTGGCGCTCATCTTTGAATGTACTTTTCATCGGTTGATCGCTTTTCTCAACTGTTTTGCTTAATATAACATTTCTAAAGATAGCTATTATTGTGGTTCAATGGGAAAACGAGAACAGCGTGAGTGTTGTAAAAGAGAAGAAAGTCGTTGGCGCTGTGGAGTTAAAAGAAGGGACAACAGTTGACATATGGACTGGTACAAACAAGGGTCGAGTGGCCATCTGTAAAGCTACGATTTTGAAAGTTTGTGGTGAGTAAAAATTGCGATATTCGTTACGTGATCAAAATCTTATAAAAGAATAGATGTAGCGGGTTGAATACAGCTTACATAACGCTCGGCGCAACTGAAACTAGAAAAATTCTGAGAATCGAATCGGTCACTTGCATGCCGCAGTTTCTTAAGCTTATGCTTTACAATGAAATAAACCTATCAGTAAGGTTTCAAGATTCCTCTAGTCACGTTTGGGAACATTCAAGATTCATAACAAACCTTAGTACATAAAGAAGCCCTCCTTGGTAAAAACAAAATAATGTATTCAGCCCTTTTTTAGTAAAATCCATGAGAGAGATGTACTAACTCCAATATAAAAGTCACTCAATATAACAGAGATTTCTCAATTTGAGAATCCAATGAATGCCCTTTTCCTCATAGCCATCTTAAAAGCCTGGTCTGTGCTTTAAACATACATATTTTAATATATTATTTTTTTTCAAATTCAGATGTCAAGGAATCCAGATACAAAATGGTCAAGGTTCTTGTTGACAACCTCATTCAAGGCCAACTCATTGTGAGCCCAGGAAAAAAATACAAACAGTACAAACAGCAGCTAAGTTTGCAGTTTAGGATAACTTCATTCTAATTTATTGTTACAGTTACAACAAGATTTTAATCAAAAAATCAATTTTATTTGTCTGTAATTAGCCCCTTCACTCCCAAGAATATAACTATATAAATATAACTTAAGATAAATTGTATTTTATGGAAGAGAATCAACAGATTTTATTCACAATTTGTGTCAAACCAAATTTAATAATTGATTAGAACTATTTTATATGAATAGCTGTAATTGAGGATTAATCCGTATGAAGTTTTCAAGAAAAGAAAAATAAATCAAATTCCATCCTAATATTACCACACATTGATGTTAGTAATTAATCAAAAATATTTTACATGTAAGCCTTAATTAAGCTTCTAAATAAATTTCATTGAATACTTGAATTTTAGCTGGGTTTTTTTAATTTAAAGTATTTATTTTATATCATTAGCCTCAAATTTTTGCTTAAAATTCCCAGTAATTCTTAAACATTCCTAAAAATTCCCAAAAATTCCCAGAAATTCCCAGAAATTCCTAGGAATTTTTTAGATTTACAGCTTTTCAGGGAAAGTCATCGGTTCTCTGAGTTGGAATTCCTAGGAATTCCTAGGAATTCCAAGTCCTGTTGGCTATAAACTTGAAATTTCTGGGAATTTCTGGGAATTTTTGGGAATTTCTAGGAATTTCTAGGTTTTTAGAACCAGAGTTGTTATGGTTGGGAATTCCTAGGAATTCCTAGGAATTCCCAGTCCGAATTTACCATGAAAATTCACACCTTTATTCCTAGGAATTCCTAGGAAAATCCTAGGAATTCCTAGGAATTCCAAAAGCCATTTCGCAATGGTTGTAAGATCTTGTCAAGATCTTGCCATGATCCTGCATGATTTTACAAAAATTTTGATCAGATCATAACCAAGATCTTGACAAGATCATTAAAAGATCTTGTCAAGATCTTAGCAAGATCTTAAAAATATCTTTCCAAGATCATTGAAAGATCTTGTCAAGATCTTAGCAAGATCCTGCAGCTTCTTGCAGGATCTTGTCCAAGATCTTACATGATCTTACCAAAGGTCTTGCCAAGATTTTATCAAAGATCTTGCCATGATTTCACCAAGATCTTGTCCAGATCTTACCAAGGTTTTCAACCTGGGTATGCACAGTTTTCCTCTTTCATTTTTCCTGTATTTACATGTAGGAATTCTTATTAATTTTGTTTCAGACCAGTACTTTATCTTCCAAGTCCTCAAAAGGCCACAGTGGCAGTGCGATGTTGCCCCATCCTGTTTGAATTAAGACAAGGTACAGTTTAGAAAAACATTTGTTTTCTTTTCTTGCATGTCAAGAATAAGTTTGTGTATTTTAAACTGTGTTTTAAGACTTAATTTAAATTTGAAACTTAACAGCTCACTTAAGCTTACATAAAAATGATGATGATGATTATCATTATTATCTCATATTTATTTAAGCAATAGACTACACTTTTTATCAGTTTACTAGAAAAAAAATCTCTTGGGATGTGGGGAAAACACTAAAAAAGTTTGTAAATCACAAGCCATAGGCAAACAATTTATGACCTTCAATTATCTATGGGTTTACTGGTGCATTAACCCTTTTAAGTCCCACTAGTGACCTAAACAGAATTTCTCCTTACACTATCCGTATGATATCAAACAGACAATTAGTGAGAATAAAGAAAAATATCAATTAGGGGATTATTGGTTGATCCAATTCCAAATCCAATTTGATCCACAGGGGCACTTGTAGTATCTTAATTATTCAATAACAGTAGACATTGTTTCCTGACAGTTGACACATGAACAAACTAAACATGTGCAAGAAATTACAAATCTCTTTTACTTAAATGTGTTTCAAATAATGTGGTTTAACCAAACTTAGGTCCAAGGATAATTTTTGGCAGATTGCACTCAGCAATTCATTTTGTATATTTTAGTTGGAAACCAAACCCCAGCTATGACTGTTAATACTGATAGACAATATTTGTCTCCTAGTGAAAGGTGATGGCAAATCTGCAAAGAGTATCTTCAAGTAGGTTTCCTGTTTTTTTTACGCTGTGCTTTGATTAATTTTATGTTAAAATCCTCTCCTTGCAAAGTGGCAGACACTTAACCTGAGAATTTAGATAGATTAAGAAAGATGGTTAGTTTTAAGCTTGTTAAAGAAATAAAGAAAGATGTTTTACATCTTGTCACAAGTGTGGGAACTAAGAGTCTCTTTTTTTGGCACAGTGGTAGAGCATAGGAGTGCAGAATTTGAAGGTCTAAGACATCTTTTTCTGATATATCATTTGTTTGCATTCCAGGTTGCCTTACCGGATGGTTTTCTCTGTAGCAACAATTGACTCTATTCTGTTATATGACACTCAACAAGCAGTACCTTTTGGTTACATAAGCAATATTCATTATGCTGCTCTCACTGATCTTACTTGGTATGTACAAGGTTGATATACTTTTGGTAACAGTGACCAAGTTTCATTCACAAGGCTGCTGATGCCATTCACAGTTTCTGTAGCAGTTAATGGCTAAGGGGTGTTGATGCTAACCCTACATGGGGTGCTGGTCCATAACAATTTTATCTTCAGCATTTCAGAAGGTTTTGATGGCTTGCTTTCCATCCATACTATAACTATACTATAACTCCCAGAAATGATTAAAACATGAAACTTCTCCCTATAACTTTCATTCATTATTCAGCAAACAGGTAATGAGAATATTCAAACTTATCAGGTAGAAGCTACTATCTTGATTTATATAATAAGCTCAGTTATGCACGCATTCTGATTGGTTCTCACTTATGATCAGGACAGACGTATAGATGACGTCATCATTAACACTTTTTTAATTCTTTATTATATAAAACAAATAGATTCCAAGTTGCCGAGTGTCTGTTCAGTAATAGATCACAGATGACATCAAAATGTGGTAAGAACATCAGTGACACACTTGGCTGCGCCTCGTGTGCCACTTTTTTGTTCTTACCACATTTGGACGTCATCTGTGATCTATTACTGAACAGATACAAGGCAACTTGGAATCTGTTTGTTAATTAGCACAAAGTTCTCATAAATAATTTGCAAGGAATTGTGTAACAGCTAGAGGGGAGAATTAACAATAAGATCTTGGGAGTTTAAGGGTTAAAGAAAACCATGCTTTGACTCCAATCAAAACTTCAGCTTTGATCTCTGCATTTGATGTCCATGCCCTCATGAGGAAGCATTTAACCCTTTACACCTTAAGATTAGTTTGCATATTCTCTATACTGTTCTCTATACATTTTCTGAGATGCTGGCGAGGAGAATTCTTTTAACAGTCAAGAGCTGTAGTTGGTGATCATTTCAGTTATTCTGGTAATGGTCAAGTGATCTGACCAACCTAGGGGATGATGTTGTGAGGAGAACTAGATGTGCGTCACTCTTAGGAGTCAAAGGATGAGGAGGAACATGACTAAACAAACAATAAACTTTTGTTACAAACATGATTAATTTTTGTTATTTTTCAATCACTAAGGTTTACAAGTATATCACTTGTATATTGCCTTTATTTATCTTATGATGGTATTATTACATAGCAACTTCTTATCTTCATGACAATACATCCTTCTTTCAGGTCCAGTGATGGAAGTATGCTTGTGGCTTCCTCTTCTGATGGCTACTGTACCATTGTCCACTTTAAAGAAGGAGAGCTTGGTGTGCCTTACTCTCTGTCAGTCAAACAAGCCTTAGAGAGAAGCAATTCCCCATTACTGCAAACTTCTGATACTTCAGGTAACCTTTGACATTAAAACTTGAAGAGAGACCAGCATGTAATTTCTTTATGTGCACCATATACATTGAGCTTGGCTATAGCAAATTAAAATGCATTAGTAAGTGCTACTGGTACAGAAATCATTCTGCTAAACTAACTGCTGCTTTAGTGAACATCATTTAATACAGCATTGTTTTTCACATCTAAAATGGCTTAACATGAGACTTAAATAGTAATAAAATGGAGGTCATGAATCTGGCCAAAACTAGTGTTTATAGAAATGTTACAATTGTAATTGCTATTCCAGGTAAAGTGAGCAAGAACATGCGAGCATCCTCACCCTCAGAGAAGGATAAGAATGAGGAAAAGTGTGACAAAACACCCTTGTCTACCAAGAAGGAGCAATTAGGCAAGATAAAAAAGTTTACAATACCTATGAAAATTACACCAACCAAACCTGCCAGAAAGGTGGATCCAAAGAGAATCACTCTGTCACCAGCCCCTTCAAAACCAGGGGCAGCAAATCAAGTTTCTGAAGAGTTGAGTTCAGCAGCATCCACCAATGTGGTTCAATTTTCCCCACCTGCTACAAACACTGCAGGACTTCAGCAGTCTTCTGCTGGTCCCAAACGGGTGACATTGATGCCAGCAAAAGGGCAATTAAATGGAAATAATTCAGGTGGTCAGATGACACCAAGGCGTGTTGCACTATTGCCAGCAGCAAGTAACCAACCCAACAAGAGCTCTGCTGAGATCAAACAAACACCTCAGCTAATACCGAGACGTGTTACTCTGACGCCTATGGAAAGTACATCCAAGCCTGAAGACACACAAGTGACAGAAACAAAGGAAGCAAAGCAAGTTCCAGAACGAGTACCAAAATGCAGTACACTGGGGTCCAGCTCTGCCAAGGGGAACATGCCCCCAGGTGATGTAAGAACCAGGGAAACCAGTCTAGCACAGTCATCCTCTCCATCTCAAACTACATCTGCACTCAGAAGAGTACCCCTTGTGACGTTGGCAACTGATCTTGAGAAAGCCTGTACAAAGGGATCATCACAAGCGTCCCAACTACCTGGAACATCTTCTACATCAGACCGTAAAACTGTGGTTAATGAAAATGTCACAAACAAATCTACAGAGCCCACTTCGAAACAGTCAGTGCTAGCAAGAGGTGAAAAAACTAGTAAAACTGACAACTCTGCACTTAGGAGAATAGCACTGACACCTGTTCCAATCACAACCCAGACACCATCCATAACTTCTCTTACAGATAAGGAAAACAGCACGATCAACCAACCTCCACAACCTAGAAGGGTAATGCTTACAACACTTACACCTCATGGAGGTGGGAACACTCAAGTTGAACAGCCACAGGGCAGTGTTACTAAATGCCAGACCACAAGAAAACCTATTCCCTTAGAGCCAAGAATCATTATACTGGACGACTAACATGTAGCTAAAAATAAGTTAACCCTTGATGCACTGATCAATTGGAAGCTTTAACATCCCTTCACTTCCTTGGGCATTTGAACTTTTGAGGATTGGTTTGTTCAAATTCTCACTCTACAGGGCCAAAATTTTGTCCAAATGCCCTGCTCAATGATTTTGTGAATTTGGAAAAATCAGCAACCATGACTTTCTGTTCATTCATCAAGCTTTAAAAACTAGACCTTGTAGACCTTTCTTCCTGAGCCATTCAATTGCAAAAGGGAGCTCTTTACCCTAACACACCTCCATATTTAGAGATGTAACACTGCAGCCAGGCAAGGTTTAAATTCCTCAAACCCCCCACCTCCCCCCCAGAATTTCTTTCTACAATATCATCGCAAAAAGTGATGAGACTAGAGAAACTATCAATTAGGGATTAGTTGATTCAGTACCTACTTCTCTGAACTAACGTTATAAGAATTGTTTAGCAGACAGTAAGGAGAATTACTAATAAGATCTTGAGTGTGAAGGGGTTAACAGCATTTGCCATTTCAAAGCACACTCCATCCCTTTGCAAGCATTTTTGTTATGATAGGGTTTGGCTGCAGAAAAATAAATTTTTAACGCTGGGCTTGTGTTTAACGTGCAGGAAACCCTCTGATGCTAGGTCTATCTTTAAAAACCTTTTTGGATATCACCCATTCAGTGAAGGAAAAGCAGAAGAGAGAAAGCTATAATCATGAAAATTATCAATCATCTTCAAATTTTGTTTACATAATAGGCGTACATTGATTGGTCAGTGGGGAGAGTGAAAAAATGTAAATGTTAAAATTTTTCATTGAATAAAATATTGCTACAAGAAACAGGATTTCAGTACCGAATTTACTTTGTTTAGTCAACCCTATCTATCAATAGTCTCGTTATACAGCAAATGTAGGAAAACGGTACGCTCGATGCCAAATGGGTTGAACGAGTAAGGGGTGTGGGGGAGGGGGGGGGAAGGCGGGGCAGCAAAATTAAATACTTCTGATAATTTAGTACTTATAACCAGCAAAACGTAATGGGCGATAGAGCATCAGTGCACAATTCAAAAATCCTTGCAGTTTGATATGCTTCCGAAGCGGAGAATTTATTCAACCTTCAATATGCCTCTAAAACCTACACCAGTTGGCGTAATTTTGTTTATTTCCCTCTTCGAAGAAAGTTATCCCCAATTTCCATCACATACCCTAGAGCGAGAATTCACAGTCCCTGTAAGTTAAAGACCGAGCTTTTCCCCGACCGGAAAAAAACAAGGTTCCATAACTTACAGTACGAATCGAGAAAATGATGTCAGTAAGACTATTTTAACTCTGGGTTCAAATTCAGGGGAAGATTTCAATCAACAAACATTTAAATTTAGCGGGCGGTACAATAAAGTACGGCCCGCTAAATTGACCAATCATAACGCACATACCAACTAAACTATAATACGTCGAATACTGTCAGCGATAAAGTTATCTTTTGATGCGCTGGTTATTCAGTTTGTGTGATATCTACTAACACTGCAATTCACCATTTTAATGGTTTATTATTCTCAGTCCACACTTCACAATAAATTCTAATGTAAATTCTTCAGTATTCCATGCAGTGAAAATTGAATAAATTCAAGAGCAGTTTGTTTAGATATTTGAAACGACAGGTGAGGTTTTACCAATCTATTTGAACACTTGCACCGCTTAAAAGTATCATATTTTCATTCTTGCAATCAAAAAATTATTAACAGCGAAAACAATTACTTCCAAAGTTTACATCGAAACAACATGCGCGATTTTCTTCAAATATACTTCATAGCAACGTACATCCATTGCCATATTTTCACACACTGTTTAACCCCGTCTGTACTAGTCCAGATAAATATAAAACCGGGTTCAGTTTTCTCCAACAAGGCGCTCAGTACACAAAATGGTACAAAAACAATAGGATGACAGGAAAAAATGTCTTTGTTTATGAGGGAAAATCTTCGTTTTCAAATTTATCCGGATTAGCCTGGACAAAGTCATTGTTTTAATACAAATCTGAATGGATATAATTTTAATTAACCTAAGTAATACTTTAGTTTATTTTTTAACTCTTCACTCGGGACAATTAGCCTCGTTTTTCCTAGCCTTCTTTATGTTCACGGAGAATATCCAATTCTAACAAACCAATCAAACTCTAGTATAAGTACTGACGAGTTCTCCGATCGTTGTCTGATAGGTTTAACGCTATAGTTCACAGTTGCTTAGCAACTATAAGGACGAGACCCGCAAGCTTTGACAAACTTTTGATCTTTGTGGATCGAGTATCAGTCCTCCGATGATTCTTTAGCCACGAATTAAATTACTGCAAAGTCGGTAGTACTTGAACAAATTCGTTCAGAACGTTTCCACTAGCACTTCAGTAGCTCCAATCTGTGCGAAACTTTAACAGCACTGCGGAGAAAAAACAGTAACAATTATGAAAGTGTGTGCTTTGAGTAAACCGCTATTCGAATGGTACGCAACTGAAAAGGTACGAGACTTGAATCTTAGTACTAACTAATTTCCAAATACTGGTGCCACAACTCTGATGAATCAAACAATACTGGTCTTGATGGGAAAGGAGATGAATACGGTATGAATACGGTGGATGAATCATTCTTTTTCGGGCCAAGTTTTACTTTCTGCAATTAGTAAAATTGCCATTTACACGTGGGGATCATACAAAAAGAGTGGTTTCATAAACCAGAAGTTCGTGACACCGAGGGGTTCGAACTACCCAGGCACGGAATAACAAGCGGTTCTAGATTCGAACGGGGGATGCCCAGATACTGATATTGATCCGGGACGGGTTTGCGATAGAGAAGGGCTTCAAATAGTTTGAGATACCCTGGGGCTCGGGATTAGCCTGGTTCAGATACTGATAGGTTTGGAATGATCAGAGGATCGAGATACCGTGTATCTGGGATATGAAGGGGCTCCAGATAACAGAGGGTTTGAGCTACCGTATGGCTAGAAAAACCGAGTGTTCGGAGTACTGTGGGGCTCGAGATATCAGAGGGTTCGAGTAACCGTAGGGCTAAAAAAACCGAGTGTTCGGAGTACTGTGGGGCTCGAGATATCAGAGGGTTCGAGATACCGTAGGGCTAAAAAAACCGAGTGTTTGGAGTACTGTGGAGCTCGAGATAACAGAGGGTACGAGATACCGTAGGGTTAAAAAAACCGAGTGTTCGGAGTACTATGGAGCTCGAGATAACAGAGGGTTCGAGATACCGTGGGGCTAGAAAAACCGAGAGTTCGGTGTACTGTGGAAGTCGAGAGAACAGATGGTTCGAGAAACCAAGAAGTCCAAGATACGGTGGGATCCGAGTAACCGGAGACTAGAAGTCTTCATTCTTTTTCGGGCCAAGTTTTACTTTCTGCAATTACTAAAATTGCCATTTACACGTGCGGATCAATTAATCATCTATCATCAAGGGGTCAGATATCTATTGCTTGAAATACAACTTGTACGCGATACCTTTAGAGATCTACCTTGACAAACGAATGGTCCATTAACTGACTGGCCGTGTGCCGTTCATAAGGATCATGCAGAAAACAACAGAGCAGAAAATCCTGTCCCTCTTCACTTAAACTCTCAGGGATAGCAGGCGTGGCTCCTTCGCCAACTTTGAACATGATCACAAAGTTGTTATCGCAATCGGGCCATGGAGGCTATACATTAAAAAAAATAATAATAATCTGAGGACAAGATTCAGCAAATAACTTAGTTGAGAGGTATAGTGTATGATTTGTATTTGTCTTTGTAGCTGCTGACTAAATCCCTGGTAATAAATGAAGACAATTCGGTTTTATATTAGGCTAACACTCAATGGGAGATACGTGTGTCTCTTTTCATAACCTGTTTGCTGTACAACGTATGGAGTTTGTAGGGAGAAGTCGCTTGTTAGTAACCTCCTGGAGTGAAAGTGCTGTTTTAGATCAATAAGAGGTCTCAGTGGGTTCACCGTTGGTCGTAAAACAGCCAAACAATTTCGCCGGTGGTCGTAAAAATTGACAAGTTTTAACCGTTAGTCGTTAAAAAAGTTAACCGTGAGAATTTTTCCTTTCCGCAATGTGTCATTTTGCGTCATTTTGGGTTAACCGTTGGTCGTAAAATAACCAAAATTTTCACCATTTGCCGTAAAGGCCATCATCCCATCACCCCCTCTCAATACCAACCTTTCCTGTTGCCATCTCAACCACTACACATCCGATGCTCCAGATGTCTGCCGCTCTGCCGTACCCTGCCCCTTTATCCAGTGTTATCACCTCAGGTGCCATGTAAGCTGAAACAAATGTATTGTATTTTCGAAAATGCCCATAGCAACGCGAACACATTTGTCACGGATGGCTTTAGCATATCTCAATCGATTACAATAAAAAGCAAACCAAGTAAAATAGAATGCTTTATGTGAGGTAAATGATTTCTTACTTACCCACTGTTCCTCGTATGTTGCTTATCTCTCCATAGATTGTCTGCAGAGGATTCTTTAACTTAATAGAGGAACCAAAGTCCCCCAACTTGAGAACACCATCAGACGAGACAAATATGTTGGCACCTAAAATGATTAACGAAAAAAAAAATTGGTATGGCATATGCAGTAAGTTGTAGCATAAATTATTGAAACGCAATACCCTTAGATACAATTTACGCAAGGCAGCGCGAGAAAATGATCGCAGGAGACGCGACACTCTATTCCTTATTTGCGTTCTACCTTCAAAAATACCGTCAGCCTTGCCATCCTTGTGTTGGATTATTGGCGTTGACTAGCTTGAGTCACTCGCGCAAACGGAGGCACAAGGAGTCTGATCAGGAACTTTTACTCACTTTCTGAGACTCTCTCTCTCTCTTTATTAATGCGATTTAACGGAGTTAACAACAAAGAGCATCAGCGTTCTCTAGTAGTCAGCGGTTTTGCATATGCGCATGCTTCGTAATTCCATGTGCCCTTCGTTTAAGGCGTTCTTGCGTATGCTTTGAGCGTATACTTTCAGCGCTGCTTGGAGTGGCAGCTCATCGTCCAGGCAGTTTTCAGCCCCAAGAACATGCTATTGCGTATCCTATCGGTAGGCATGTTTGGGCGTACAGGACAACTGACCTTGGCAGAGTAAACATATTTTTGGAACACTAACCCAATAAAATTTCACGAGACATTCGAAATGAACAACAAAGTACTTAAAAAATAACCAATCTTCGAGAACTAAAACCTAAAAAACATTCCCGTTGTGTACTCTAAGCAATGAGAAACACGACCAGCGATGATGATTATCGTAAAAGAATTAAGCGCTATTACAACAGTCTCTCAAAAGGTAAAAATAAATGTGTAGTCTTGCAGCACATGATAAACCAAGGCTCACAAGACTCACACAAGGATTTCAAGATAATCTAACAGGCCTAAACAATTACCAAAAACTCAGCCACAACATTCCTAATTTTAGTTGTTCAGAGCATTTGCCTCTCACAGTTTTTCTCCGCTCAGAAAGGTAACCTGCATACGCCAGTATTCCTTCCAAGAGGAGCAGCAACACTGTAGTGCGGTAGCAATGGGTTGTCTTTCTATATTGCCTACCAAAACGTATAAGTTATTTTCCAAGATGCAGTGAAACCCACCTTTAACATCTCTGTGCACAATACCCTTTTCGTGAAGCACGCTGACGGCAACAAGAATCTGGTAAGCATACACTCTAATCATTGTTTCTGGGAGGCCAAGTTTGGCAACGTCTGATATAGTGCCGTCCGCACAGTATTCCATAAAGATGAACATCTCGTCCTGAAAAGCACAATTCCAAGCAAACGTATAGCTCTTACTTTCCAGGTACTGTTCCACCTAAGTAGCTCATGCAGCTGGCACCACAAACATTTAACGACACTGTTCATAACTACTAATTTTCTTTCATTTTTCGACCGTAAAATTTGTTTTCTATCTTTTTCCTTATTGTGAGTTCACTGCGTTTAATTCGTTTCCTTTCGCTTTTCGTTCACGCCATGAACAGCCTAAGAACTCCATGCTGTAAATTATGAGACGCAAATGATAAAACTACAGTAACTTAGCCAAAGAGCAACCTGGTATATGTAAAATTATGAAGGTAAGCTTCAGGAAAAGTCCTACAAACCAGTCGGGAACAACACAGCGGTAAAATGTCTGGCACGCGCGGGAAGATCAATTTTGGCCGGCCGCGCGCCAATTTCTCGCGCACATTTTTAAAGGATAACATAAGAAACAACGCTGCCTCACAAAACAGGCGAAAGAAAATTGAAACGTTCATAAAAATCTGTAAAAGGAAACATAGGTAGGGAAAGGAAACCCGAGACTTTTCGAACAGAAAGCTTATTTAAGGACAGGTAGCCTATTGATATACTATCCTGTTTTGAGCTTTACCGAAAAAGTTATACGCTTCCAAAACACTGTGACTTACTGGCTTGTGTGACTGTTTGTGATATGACTCGTCTGGGACAAGTTAGTTCTTACAGACGGAAAACACTCTACCTAGTGACTTCGTGATTACAAAGATAGCACATGTGTAAACGTATGACCGCTGTGTTGTCGCGTCGAATCTTGATTTAGTTTAAACGAAAATTGTGTGTAAGCTCACCCGATGAAGTTCAACACCATAGTACTTCACCAGACTTTCATGTCGTATTCCCTCAAAGTTCTTAATTTCATCCGCTAAATCCCGTATTTCACCATGATCGTTCGGCTGAAATTTGATCTGTAGCAAAAAAATTAAATTAACGGTTTCTTCTGCAAGTTTGATTAAAAAAATCATCGAAGACACAATAAGAAGGAGATCACGCTTAGCCTTTAAGAAAAAGGTTTGATCTTCACCTCAAAGAAATTAAAAGAGTTATCATTCGTTTTGTCACAAGTGTAGAATGCTCAAGGCCTAACAAAAAACGATTTTCTTTTTTCGACGACTACGCTAAAAATTTACCATCTTCACTTCCTCCTAACCATGAAATTTTATCAATAAAAGTAAGGCACGCTTAAACATTCTTAGCATTGATCTCTAACCTGCTTCACAGCCATCATTTCACCTGTATCCAGATTAACACAAGCGTACACTTTTCCAAACTGACCTTCACCTACGAGGCAAAACGTGATACAAACATAGTTTGCAAGTCTTCAATTCCACAGAGCGGAGCGATTTAAAGTGAATCTCGAAACTAATCCTGCAAAGTAATATTTCATTAACGCTCCGTGATTAGTCCCAACCAATCAGATTCCGACCTGGCACTTGGGCACAAACGTTTTCCCGCGCTTCAGGAGGTTAACACAGTAAATTTTGCCACTGGCTCCTCGCAAAGGAGAACCAAATGGTACACAGGTTTTGTGACGATTTAATTTCCGTTCATTCAGCTATCCCCTCGAAACAAGAGTGGAGAGGAGGGGTTCTTTAATGATAGTAGGTGACTCAATATATTTCTTTGAGTTTCTTTCCCACGAAAATAAGTCTTGCTACTGTAAACAGCTGAAACTGGACTTTAACAACACAAGAAAGCCTGAGAGTTTTTAATCATAACTGTACCTATTTTATTTCCTCGCTGCCACTTAAATGGCACTTTTCTGCTGGAAATGCAAGCCAGTTCCTTGACTATATCACGGCGTCTGTTGCTCACTCGCCCAATCACATGCTTATCATATAGATAATCGTTTCTCTTCCTTTCCAGTTTATTCAAGGAGTGACGAACTTTTTCTAACCGGGGTGCGCCTGGCTCTGCCACAAAGCTATCCTTATGTTTAATGCCATCCTTTTCACCTTCTTCTTCATTTTCGCCTTCACCATCGTTCCCTAAAGAAAAAGAAATTTTCAGGAAATCTTGTAGCAGCGCGTAAGAGGGTCTCAATGAGATGATGGTTTTTACAGCTAACGGTTGAAATTTTGGCCAATTTACAGTTAGGAGTTAGCCCAAATTGACACATTGCAGAAGGAAAACTGTTTACCGTTAACCTTTTTTTTATGACTAAAAATGTGTAAATTTTCACCCCTACTGGCTAAAGTTTTTGGCTGGTTTACGGCTAACGGTCGATCCCATTGAGACCTTCGTGTACGAATTGCATTGACAGGTCCCCTTCTTTAACTCCCAGTAAGTATTAACATGTGACATCTGCTACTAGAGAGCATTTCGACGGAGTGTCGTTTAAGAAAAACAATAGTAATGACAACCGCCAATCAAAAGAGTGGAAAATAGCACAAGGAGCCAATGAGAACTCAAATAAAAAACAATCAAACTGCCTGAAGTGCAGTATACAAGTTCCCTAAGTTTTAAATCTGATTTGTTATGACGGTGGCGCGCGTTTTCCGGACCAATTCCAGAGCTAAGTAAAAGAAAATCACAGCAATCCCAGATTACTCTCGACATTCAATCAAAAATTACCCAATAAATATATTCTCCAGTACAAAGGTGAAAACAAAAGACAAAAGTATCAGCTCGGGAGTGTTATCCAGATACAGAACCAAATTCTTTTAGAACCTAGAAGGCAGAATTATGGGAGCTGAGGGTTTAAGACATGACTCAATAATTGTAAAAGTTTCTAACCATTAACGTCTGTTGCTAGACTCTGGAACTGTGGCTTGGCCAGAGGATCTGACAGCTGCCGTCGCGTGGACTGATTTTCATCAGAATCCGCCGGGTCTCCTGGGGATTTGGAAGGCTTTCCTGCCGGCCATGACAGAGGTCTCAGAAGTCCTCCTGTGGAACCACTTCTGCCAAACACTGGGGATGGGCAAGCTGGACTCTGAGATCTGTATGCTGGGGGGGAAGAGCAACATAGCAAGTATTACGTTTGGTATAAAAAAGATACCTCGTTCAACTTGGGATACAACAATAACTTCGCATTTGGAGTTCCACTTACAGGATTGAGTAAAGGTAATCTTTTCGGTGCAATGCACAAAGAAGGGCATGATATTCCAAATAAAAATTAAGTGGTTAAAAATCTCAAGAGCTAGGAGGAACATAAGTCGGCTATTTTCGTGGCGCAGCTGAGGAGTACAACTTGGAGTTAGAGAGCTAAAAAGTTCTGTAGGGTGGGGGGGGGGGGGGCACTTGGTCGCACAGGCTGCATTTCATGTGTTGGATGAAAATATAGTCGCTGCCACAGTCACAGAAGCTAGTAGTTTTGGTGAGCGAGTGCACAATATTTTCTTGATGAAAGTTATAGCTGCCATCTTTGATCTTTACAACGGTGGAGGGCAAGGGGATAGAATGAAATTTTTCTCAATGGGGTGTGCCACGATCAAAGGGAAGGAGAGGGGAGGGGGTGGGGCAATAGAAATTACTTCTTTTTGCCTTTCCCTACCCCATTCCCCCACCGTCCAATCTTACTCTAAATCAAACATGGCCGGTCGTATAAACGATCGTGAGCTTGTACCGTTAACTCGTCCAAATAAGACGTCTGCACTGCAGGCTAAGAAGCTAGTAATTAACAGAAGCCTTCAGTAGATAATTATAAAATAATCTCTTTCTTTTTTTAATTATTAGTCAAAAGCAATCCATATTTAAGAAATGTGTACCTGGACTTGCGACCCCACTGCAGCTCTCTGCACTTCCAATCACGTGACAAATACAACCGTTGATCGTTTTCTTCAATTCCTTCAAGAGCAAATTGTAAAGAAAATGTCAGTTCAAAAAAGATTGAACACGATCATAGCAGAGACAACAAATCTGGAAGAAGCCTGATTGATCTTCGCAAAGTTTACAAGATATCCCATGAACGAGAAGTTATATTTTCAATTCATACCTGGAACGCAGACTCTGATAAAGTGTTCAATGTCTTGGGATCACATGCTACTGTAAGAAAGTCAAGACCTTGGTTTGCCCATCTATAAAGAAACATTGAAATTTATATTAAAAAATAAATGAACTGAACGACACAGCTGAAATTTAAAACGCAAGATAATCCACTCTGTCCAAAAGGGCAGACTTAAGAATTGTTTACCTTTTTTTTTTATTCTTTTTTTAAACTACCATACCTTGGTCTTGTGCCTCTTCCCCTCTCACACTTTGACATTACAAACTTCATCCATTGCTTGGAAAAATTCAGCATTTTTTGCCCAAGAGTGTCCTTTCTCTCTCCAAATACTAAACGTGCCACCTCTTTTTGATACTTGAAATGCAATTTCAAAACTCGTGTTTATTTCAAAGTTATGTAATTACGGTATGAACTTGGAGTAAGGTGACTTGTCTATGATTCGAGCATCAAAGCTAATAATTGCAAAACAAATGCACAAATACCAAACACTTCAGGAGTATGAAACTGCAAAAGGAAAATTCAGGTGTTGACATGATAAGCAAGTTATATGTACCTCAAAACCAACATTGTAACACAGGTGCATAGTTTCTGTGTAGGTGTGATAAACCATGGCCTTCTCTGTCTCTTCCATTTCAAACATGCTATCAAGATCCAAGTTCTCATCAACTCTTTCAACAGCACTAACAATTTTCTCACGGAGACTCAGACAGGCTTCCTGAAAGGGACATAACCTTAACTCTTTAGCTTCCAAGATCTGGAAGTTAATTTTCCCCTCTAGCTGTAACACGTTTCCCTGTAAACTAGTTATAAACAATGTGGTTTAAGATCAAGGTAATAACTTCTTTGAGCTTCTCATTACTTTTTTGCTGGATAATGTTTGGATATTATGGGAAGAGTTACATTTTAATTACTTCTGGGAGTTTCAGGATTAATTCAACAGAACTGATAAATCCTGATCCTTATAAAGATTTCTGTTAGAACTAACACCAAAAAAAGAAAAAACAGTTCTCTAAGGTGTGTTAGTTTTCTTTCCTGGTGATATTTCATGTCACTTGTGGTAACCACAGGTACCACCATTGGATCAGTTACATGTATATTATAATTGTAGATTGCCATTATGTCCTACCTGCAATTCATCAAGTGCTTCTGCAATAGCTTGATGACTGGATGTCCTTTGCTTTACAATGCTGACAGAATAACTCATGCTGTCAAGAAATACTTCACGCTGCTCATCCAAGTCTTTGGAATTCTGTACCACCAAAATCATACCTCCAACCTGAAAAAAAAAAGTTAAGGAAAAGTGCTGTTTTTAGTACATGTATGTTGTAAAGATGGTTCAATTGGCTCTAATGTCAGGCATGACATCTCCTGGTGGATGTGAGTAAATACCACCCATGGATATACAGGATATTTTCACGAAAAGCAATTCCATAGCAGGATAACAGGTTTTGTTTTGAGAGTTGAATGGTTACAATGTAAATAGTAAACTTGTGACAACTTTTTACATGATTACCTACTTAGAAACTTGCACAAAAACGTTGTGGTTAAATTATTTTCTGTGTGCAACAGTGACCCAAACTATTGCAGCCTGAAGTCCTGAGGGATAGCTGAAGAGCAGAGGCTGACAACGTACCTGTATGTCTGCTAAACTAATAGCAGTATCCATGGTTGGGCTCACCACAACCGTCTTGCCATTCCATGTTACAGGCACATCATTTCCATTCTCTAAGGCACACGGTGGCAAAATGAGGAGATATCCAGAACCATCCGAAACAACTTGATCACCATGTTCTTCATGAACACAGCAAGAATTTAACAGGTGGATAATTTGACTGTAGTAACATTGAAACAAAAGGATGACGTCAAACTAGAGTTTAAATTTGACACATCAACCCTCCCCAACCCTTTCATAGGCCCATCTATTTGTGAACTGCCCTAAGAGGTATTCCTTTTAGACTATCCCTGCTTAAAGGCTCATCAATCAGAACAACAACACAGTAACCACTCATCTTTAGGTAATGCTTTGCATCATAACATCAGTATGCACATTCTCCATACTGTTCTTTATGCATTTCTCATGACACTGACATGGAGAATTTGCTTAACAAGAAAGAGCTGCTTTCAGTTGGTAACCTTTTTCTTTTTTCTCATAATCTTAATGCGAGATGCAGGGGTGATGCTGTAGAGACAAATTAGAAGCTAATCACTCTTAGGGGTCTAAAAATTAATATTTGACTGAACTAACCATTTTTTCTTCACCATTGTTTTTGGCACAAACATAAAAAGTCCAGCTGTGTGTCTAACTATGACCTGAAAAGTATATTATATATTATGTAGTACACTTACATTTAAATTTGATTGTAATGAGAAATTAGTTTGCACATTGAAATTGTAAAGGTTATTTCTTCATTACCTGAACATGTCCACTAGCTTCTAGCCTCATCAAAAGCTCATTCATGGGTACGTCAATGCTAAACTTTGCAGCATTTTCAAGGTCATTCTGGAGTTTCTTGGTGAAACCAAGGGCTTTAGAGGCCCTTTCTCTCGCTTCATTAAACAAAAGTTTAAAACCTCTGCAAGCTTCAAGCACTTTCCTCCTGTAGAGACAGAACATTACATGATTATAAAAAAACTCTGACACACAGGCTAAGCGTATCACATTGTCAGAGCTTACTACAGTCTCAGCAGCAAAATACCAGTAGCTTATGATAAAAAGTATCACTGTTTCCCCTGCATTAAAAGCCTAGCCATCACTGCTTATACACAGCATCTCACTAAAATGGCATGATGATCATGACAGGACTTGAAAAATATTTTAACAGACAGTTTTTGCTAATTTTAATCCATAATATTTTCAAGTTCCAGCTATTTCACAGCCAAGTCTCACTGACACTAAGTTGCAATTTGCCACTGATTTACCTTGGGCACCTAGCAATTTTTGTAATATTTGCAATTGCAGTGGTTGGCACAATTCCAGTTGTTTTGTTAAATTTCATCATTGATTTTAATCCATCTGTAATCCAACACTGTAAACTGTACCTGAGATCTTCACCATGATCAGTGTTGTTGTGAAGATCTGAGCAACTCTGATCCAACTCAGACTCTAGAAAGTCACCAGTTGACTCAAGCAGTCCTGAAGCCATGACACTGAAAAGAGGAAAAAATAATAAACAGAATTAAAAGTAATGATCATTCATAATTCCCAAAATCACAATGATTTCTCAAGGAGCTCTTATACTGTGTAATAGTGTTTATAAAATGCTGGTGGCACTCATTCTATATCTCTGCTGATGCTTTCAACATTACCGATCCTTGCCATATTCAGGATCTTAAACCCATTGTATTCTGTTATTTCAAGCATGCCAGGTAAGAGAAATTTTCAAGCCAATAGAATAACCCTTTTACTTGTTGAATTTTCAAGAATTTCAAGCAAGTTTAGGTGGTAAGTTTAACCTCTGATCACCTGAAAAGGAGAACACTGTAAAACCAATTACATAACCACAATGGTAGAGTAGAAAAACTCAACAACTTAACTGACTAGGGCTCAAATCATCATGAAGATATATTATTTCCTTTGGCCCACCCACACTCTTGACAGGTTTTTGCATCTTTCTCCAACATGTATATAAACAGTTTTTTAAATTTTAGTGTTGCAGTGCAATTATTAATTATGGTGCTATGTCAACTTGTCACAGAAATTATTTCAATACCAAAATCTTGTTCCTCCTTCCACCTCCCCTCCTCTAATATGGCGGCAATGTTTCTTCACAAAGCTCCACTCTTCTTCAAGAATGTTTTTTAGTCCTTTGGATGCCTGAGGAAGCCTCTGGACCAAGTGGATGACATTGTGCAAATACTCAAAATAAACCTAATTGAAAAAGATATAAAGAACAGCTTAACAAAAGCAGAAGAACATCTGTGGCATACCTCTCTTTCTCACTGACATTTTATCTACGTATTTAGTGATCACATGTTATTAAAATTATGATGGTTGCACCCACAATAAAGTGGATACTCATTGTATGTCCTTGTTTATACATGAAGCAGAGGCTATGCATTTTCTGGGCTTGTGCTGACTCTCACAGTTTACCCCTAAGTAAACAATTTTATAGATGTTTTTCAGGAGGAAATGGTTAACTATTTGGTAGACTTTATCAATAGACTCTTTATGTGAGCCTGGTAACTGGAGTTGCTAGGCTACCAAGAAAAAAAAAATGTCCACCTCTTGTTCATATACAAAGGAAAAATTTCAGCTCAGTCAATATTACTTATGCAAATTTCAGTGTTCAGCTCAGTGATGGAGTAAAACAAGGTGAAATCTTCCACGCTTTATTCTGATAAGTGATACAAAGTGTTCATATAGAAAAATTTCCTGTCCTTATTTATTATAAGACAGAAGATCCAATTATGTCAATTATATTCCCTTAGCCTGCAGACAACCCTGGACTTTACATAATGATGCATGTTTCACAATGAACTCAAATTCAATTTCATGCTGAGATAAGATAGTAACCAAAAATTACCAGCAGCAAACTCTGAAGATCCTGCTCAAAGCCTTCAATGTCACTTTCTGTGTTTTCCTTGTTTAAGTCTTCTGAATTTGAAATTCCACCCACAAGATCAAGGTAATAGTCTTTCACAAGAACACCACCTAACAGCACATCTTTACACTCTCGCAGAAGCTGTGTATAAAAAAAATATTAAAAAAAAGTGACTGAGTGTATAACAAAGTCACTGAGTGCTGTGGCTGAGAATAATTTTTTCCATAAATCATATTTTTCCCTGAAAGGTCAATATTCTGGAGCAGGAAATGCAGTGAAAGCAACCAAAAAACAAACAAGAAGTAAGGATGAAAAAAGTTGCATTATTCAGAATCTTTCCATGCTAAAAAAAAATTTTATGGCAAGAAACCAAATCAAAGTTTGTAGAAGAATTGGTTCCTTCAAGCAAATACACGTCAGACCAAAATTAAATTTTGTTAAAATCTAACCAGTACCAAGAACCCCACCCCTCCTTAAATATAAAAACGAGTCCATACACAGCTTTCCCATCCCTATCCTTTGTGCCTTAGCTAGTTATAAGAAAAAAATCAGCAATTATTAATTATTTTTACATGACTTTCATCTAATTTCTCTTTATAGTATCCCCACTGAATCACACATTAAATGAGACATGAGACAAAAGGAAATGACCACCAGCTAAAGAAGTTCTTGATTGCTACCCAAACTCTAATTGTCATTATCATAAAGAAATATGTAGAGAACAGTGTATAGATTAATGTTTAGAGAATATGACTTAACCAAATATCTAATCTTGTGTCTGACCTGTCTCACACTCAATGATGATGGCTCCCCCTTGGGCCGATGCTGCAGCCTCAGACGCAAACATTCATGGATGATGTCTAATGGAACTCGTGCCAGAAACAAGTACAATAATCGAAAGGAGGGCAGACCAGTTTCTTTAATGAACTCCTCCACCCAAATCCCATGATCAAAATTCTCACTCCCACAGCGCATTGCTCTTCTATGAGGATGACAGCTACAGCTGAACAGTTGAATTGGTTCTTCTTTTCCATTCATGAGTGCATCCAAATGATTTACAGACCACTTCCTGTGCTCCAATTTAACAGGGTTACAACACTGGCATTCATTGTCCTGGCATTTGTTGCTTGGAAGCACCAGGGCTTGTCTAGCCTTCATCATACTAGTGTCCAGAATGTCTCCTAATCTCTTCCCAAGTTTTATCAACCCCATCTTCTTGATACTGTGGTCAACAAATGGTCTGTACCTTGATGTTGAACTCCACTTGAAGTTGGACAAGTTGCTACTTGCTCTTGATGGCCGTGAAGGTGTGCTTGTCTGACTCTCATATGACATTGTTCTCATTGGAGACGAAGGAACAGTACCATTTTTCTGTTCAGTATCATCAGCATCATCATCATCATCTTCATTGCTCTCAACCTCCTCTTCCTCATCATCATTATCATCATCAGATAATGAAAAATAAGTTTCATTGTCATCAAGATTCAAGTCAGAGGCTGGGCACATATTATCTGCAAAAATTTACTTCCAAATAAATAAATAAATAAAATACAAAAGTTAACTCACTGAATTTAAAAAACTAACAAACTGGTGCATGTGGGCTAATAGTATTCACACCTGAGCAGGCAATGTAATACTACTAACTGAATCATTCTTGTGGTTATGAGAATCAAGGAAATGATTGCCAACTTTAGAAGCTTTGATTTTTAAACAAATTCTCCTTCTAATTACAGAGAAAATGTATAGAGAAGAGCAAGGAGAATTAGGATACTAATGTTAGCGTATGGAAGGTTAACTTGTTTTCCCATCATTTAATAATTATTTGCTGAAGGCAAAGTGAATATTGCTGAATAATCCCCAAACAAAAGTTAGTATATTTACTTATTTGGTGCTTTCAAATTCTGTTGTGAATTCTTTTTGATGTTAAAACCATTTGGCATTAATTGTTTTGATTTCTCAGAGCAAGATAAAGAGCCAGTTTCTACTAGAATTTGAAAGGTTTGTTCGATTCAATTGATAAAAAAGTCCATGATGTCTTTCTTTTGAAAAGTATTACTCCAAACCTTATAGCATCTTTTGCATTCTTAAAAATTGAATTTTCTTTATTGTGTACATCACTTCCTCTGTAACAATGAAAAAAATGCAAGGTAGCCTTTTTAAAATTTAGCACCTCAGTACTATAAACACCTCGTGCAAGGTGATGATGGTAAGATGAAATGCAATCCTCAACCAATCAGAGTTTGAGCATCTCTGTAAGCACTGGAGCAATTATGATAATAAGGATTACACACATTCATGTTGTGGCTGAATTTTTAACTTTGGACTAAATTGTAATTTCTTGTGTTTCAAACCCATTATTTCCCATTAACCCTTCAACACCCAAGATCTGATTGTTAATTCTCCCCTCTAGCCTCTACATATTTCCTTGAATTAGTAAAAGAAATTTGTGTTAGATCAAGATAACAGCTTCTACCTGATAAGCTTGAGTATTCTTTTTATGCGCTTGCTTGACAATGTATGGATATTATACTTAGAAGTTATATGTTAATCACTTCTGGGAGGTTAAGGAGTTAACACACCCAAAACAAAGGAAAATAAAGCTGAAACCATGCACAAAATTTAGCTACCATACAAATATACATACCCAATCTTCCAAGACCAACATCTAACCAATCTTGCCAAACTTTTGTGTCATCTGGATTCACACCAACAAACTTAGCAATCGAATGTAGCTTGTGGTATAATTCTCTGGTTACATTCAACCACAAACACAATGTTTCAAAGTTCCTTGTGAAATCTTTGCTTGTGTACTTTTCATTTTGCTCTCCAAGGTTCTTACGAGTGGGATAAAGATGCTCGATCATTTCCAATTTGTCAAAGAGTTCTGTAACTTGATCTATGGCGGCTTTTAGCTGACAGTATGTTTTATCTGAGAAACAATCCTCTTTTGCTTCACTGAGACACTGTTTCTGGTTTCTATGATTAAAATCTAGTGAAAGTCTGCTTCGTAAAGCTTTGTAATCTGGCGCATCTCTGTCAAGGTCATTTTTGAAGCTATCTGTCTCAGTAGAAGAAAGCTCACTGTTTTCATTTACACAATGTTCTGTGTCAGATGTCTCCAAAGTCTGAAAAAAATTTTCTTGATCTGCTGTATAAGAATTGTGCACTGAAGGATCAACTGAATGTGATGACTGTGTTGAAGTAGGCAAATCATCGTTGGTACTACAGACAGTTCCATCAGTATCAAGAACACCAGAATCTCCTTTTGCATCTTGATTGTTTTCACAATTGTTTTTCTCAGTTTCTTCATTCAAATTCTGACTGTCCCCATCTTGTTTCTTAACTTTAAAATTTATAACCTCATCTAGCACCTCTTCCACATTAGCACGAGCTTGAACTAAATACTGATCTTGTTCTGCCATGGTTCGGTTTGCATGCCAAGCCTGCAGTTCAAGCCAAAGTGCTTGTGACAATGCCACTTGCCATTTTTTATTTTCTTCTGAACTTTGCCTCTCAAGGGCACTGTTATCAACTCCATACTGTCTTTCTTTATGAGCCAATGAGCCTAGTTTGATCAAAAGAGAAAATGTTCTATAGAACTCCATTCTCGCCTCTGGACAATAGGGATTGAGAAAAATTTTAGATGTAGAAGAACTATGAGGATCAGATTCTGAGCGAGATGCTTTCTTGTGTCCTCCGGCGTTTCTTCGAGTAATGGCACCAGATTCCGTGACAGTGCTGGCACGTATATATATGCCTGAAGTATCGGAAGAATCTTCGCAAACGCAGTCCAAGGACATGAATGGACTTGAGGTTTCGATCTTGATACTGGGCACATCTAAAGACTTTGAAGTGTCTGACGAATGGACACCACTTTCAACACTGACAAATCCAACATCAACACTGCCTCGCTTGAGTTGTCTCTGGAAGGCTCGTTCAGTTGTCAGCTGAGTAGAACCCCGCTTTTTCCGTCTGTCCAGCTCGGTTCTTTCCGAAGGATTAGATCCATATGGACGAGTTACAGGACTTTTAAGGAGAGAGATCACTTTATCTTTTTCTCTTCTTGACTTCTCTTTGCGTCTTCTTATATTTCTCGGCGGAGTCACCCCGTATGGAAAACTGTCGGAAAGCTCATTCTCAGATGACAAATCAACAATCTCTTCGCGCTCAGAGTCAAACTCTGAGCCAGATCCTCTGTCATCCGCAGGAAATATTTCAACCCCCAAACATCCCTGGTTTTCAAAAATTTCTGCTGGATCGATTTCGTCGCAAGGCGAACCTGAGATTTGTTGCTGCTCATCCGAGACGTCCTCTACCTCCGCCATTTTGTTTGTTGAGTGTAAGGTTAGGTCCCAGTTTCAAATGAGCACGAGCGAGTATTCGCCCGAAACTACGGGTAACTTTCCCGATCTTTCGTGTAGTTCCTTACTTGTTTAGGCTTATTTTAATTTTTCTCTTCCTGATTTAAAAACTGAACTCGCGGTCACGTAGGGTCGTTTACATGTTTATGTAGTTCCTATTCATATCAAGCACTTACGAGTTCAGTTATCTGAGAAACAAGGAAAACAGTCACAAATTTTCTAAAAATTGACTGGTATTGACAGCTTTCTTAAGTTAGGGATGTAGTCAAATTTATTCAAAACAATACCCCTTTCCTTTTGAAAACTCTACTATACCAATTTCAAAAGCTAATTGCTCACTTGATTCTTCCCCCTTTCAGCTTGTGTGTTGGCTTAATGGTTTTGCTTCTTTGCCAGTTTTCCTGCTTTTGGTCAGAATACTAAAGACTTCCTGATGTTATGTGGGCTAATGCAGAAAATGAACATCATTGACAAGGCTGATATTGCGATTAGTTTATCGCAAAGAATTAATCCTGATCACATCATGCAACAATGAAAGCTATTACAGAAGAAAATGACCAAAACTTTATCAAATCACTTTGATTCTCTCAATTGGTTCATGTTCGTTTTCTGGTGAAAATCGTGTCTGTGAAAGGATAAGCCAGAGCAATGACATTTCAGAAGAGAGTGTGTTGCCATGATTTAGGTTCAACTATTTTTATTTTCGATAAACATGACCTCAAAGCCCCAAATTTTTATTCAAATAGGACCCTGAAAGAAGGTTATAACCCAAGTAAAAAAATTAGCAAAATTGTGCATAAAATCACACACATTGAAAAATAGGAGAATGTTTTCAGGGAAATATTTTACTAACAACTCACCTATTTATTCATTGATGAATGGATAAGGAATTGATCAATGCTCTATTTTTTTTTCTGACAACAGAGCATTTCCTTCAAATGGTCTGTCAGGTCATGTCTGGAAATCATCACAAAATTATTCATTTTTTCTGCATCTTTCAAGAGTGATAAGATGTTAAGATATTAATGGTCTTCATATAGGGTGCATTTTCCAGCAACCTTGTTTTTCGAAACAACCCTGAACAACAGAATTGTAAAACCTGTAAAGTTCAGTAATATGTACACAAAATCTCAATTTTCCTTTAAGCATATGTTTTATTTTGTACAGTTCAACCTTAAGTTACAACAATATGCAGATCTCTGTACAAACAATATTTTGATTTCAGTCTCAGACTTTTTTGTAGTTATCTACTAGCTTTCATCAAGCTGTGAAAATTGTGGATGATTCTATTAGAATAATAATCTAGTTAATAATTTTTCCTTTAACTAATAAATAAACTTTCCTAAATCTGTAAATTTTATAATACATGTTTGGTATCAATATACAACTATTCAACAATTTAGGTTTCAAATCATGAATTCGCAATACTATTTACATCTTGCATGATACATTGTAGACACTAAATTGCTCAAATTTTTTTTCACGGTGCAATTTTTATTTTCTAGCATTAAGATTATGGTACTGGTTTCCACTAAATGTAAATAAAAAATTCAAAAACATTTTTTTCACCAGTCTGGCCCACAAAATGTACCAAAAAATTGTAAATAAAGTTAAGATTAATATAAAGAATACAAATTTTTGAAAAAGCACTATGAAAGTTCAAAACCATTAAAAAAACGACAACAACACCTTATGCAACCTAAAAAAACATTACTTTCAGATTCAGTAAAACCGTACAATTACAAAGGATTATGATGACTAGGGAAAATAATAGTTATGAATTTTACGGCTCACTACAAAATCTCACAAATAGGATCTCCTTGGAAACTAATACACATTTATCTTAAATTTACGTGCAATCTATAAAAAGTTCACTCTACAGGATGAGAAAGCACTTTTACGAATAATGATCCATTTTCCAATTCCAGCTACATGTCACGGAAGTCGAAATTTGCCTCAAAAGTACCAAAACATACAGTAATAAATTATCCTTTTCATCTGTGTAAGCTTTCTTTAGAAAACCTAGATTCCTTTGAGAATTGACTACAAAATCACAAATTTCGTCTACGAATGGAAACTGCGTAGATCTTTTGTATTGAAGCGTAAATGAGATTTATGCAAATACGTCGTCGTGACAGCAGCCACAAAATACAACAACATACATACACGGAATTTCAACACGAAACCGGTCAACAATTTGACCTTTAGATTCTCTTAAAACATCCGGTAGAAAAAAGTGAAAATTTCGTTTTAGTTGAAATGAAACAATTCCGAGAAATTTTGAAGAAATAAAATCGTAAAAAATTAATTCTGTCGTGGCAAATGCAAAGTGACAATTCTACAACCTTCGTTGCTTGCCTACGTGCAAACTAACAAGGTCCTACGTGCATTAGCGTACAATTCGACATGTGTTGAACCAGATTGTCACATGGTTTTCATATCGTCCACAATTTTTAAAACGTCCTCGGCAGTAGGTCTGGAGAGTGGGCTCGCATGCCACATCGACTTCATGAGTTCAATATAAGCCGGCGTGTCTGAATCGGTTGATGCCAACGCCGGCAAATTAACAAGCGACGGTCTTAAGTGATGCGCAACTACTCCAAAAATAACGACAAAGTGGCTTTCTAATCCATAGGGATGTTCCCGGAAAAGCATCTGCCATAGGCAAATGCCAAGTGAGTACATGTCTGCTTTTTCGCTGGGAAGTTCGCCTTTTAACAACTCCGGTGCCCGGTACGCGAATGTTCCAGTCAGTAAACTTCTCGGGCTTGGTGCGGGACTCGGAGGAAGCAATGTTTCGTCCTTAGCAGTTAATCCAATACTCTGACAACATCCAAAATCACCCAGTTTGCAGAGATCTTGGCGATCGACGATAACATTTGCAGGTTTTAAGTCCAAATGTACGAGACTATTCTCGTGGACGAATTTTAGCGCGCAGGCAATGTCACGCACATAATTCCATCGGCGAGAACTACCCAGAACTTCTCGATCATCGTCAATAATCGCCTGTAATGTCCTATTACCAGCAAATTCCATGAGAATCCACACATCTTGCATATTTTCTAGCTCAAAAACAGCCAGAGTCCGTACAATGTTAGGATGTTTCAAGGGGAGAGCCAATTTCTCTGCTTGAACACTCTCATACAGTGCGTGCGGGTTTTTCATGTTTCGATGCATTTTCTTAACGGCCAGTTTTTTACCATCCAAAAACGCCTCGTACACAGTTCCAAAACCTCCCGATCCTACGAGACGGCCAGTGTTTGGAATCATTTCCTTACCGATATTTTCTGGAACGTGCATCCACCTTGCACTTTCGTTCGTGTTTCTGCAGAGTTCGAACTTGTTAGTTTTGCACGAAAAGTTCGTTGAAGCGACGCAACCGCGACGATTACATTGAAATGGCTTTCCACTGAGGCGTACTTCTTCAAAATTTCCTTCTCTGCATGTGTCTAACATGCTTCCCTTCTTGCTTGCTCAAACGAATGAAGGACTTCACTTAATGACAGTTGTACTTTTCCCCGGACCAGCAAAGAACGGCTTAGCTTGTGACACGCATATGACTACAAAAAAGTGAGGTAATCGTTTAAGTGCAACATCCTAATCACAAGTTCAATCTGTGGCGCGCCATAACAAAAACCATAACATAAAACGGTGTTCTGATTGGTTCAAATACGATCTCATTGTTTTTGAGGCCAATCAAAAAGGCTTCTAGAAATATCCGGTATCGAACGTGACACAATAAAGAGGAACTCACAAGGGATGCCAAAATCTGCCACGCGAATTGAAGAACGTGTTTTAGATGTCGGCGGTGCGATCAGTTCTTCTTCCGAAAGAAACTTGTTTTATGTAGATTAAGCATACCACTGGCTTCGTTCTTTAAGCTATAATTAGATCGGTAAAAAGCGACAAATTTCCTCCGCCTGATTTAGTGGCCAAAGTTCCCTAGTCCCTTCCCACAGCTCATCACTTATTCAACTTCCTCGAACACTACGTTCTTAAAATTGATTTAATCCCCAAATTTTTACAGTTTTTTCAAAAGTCAGTCGCACAGAAAGGCATCTTTTCGTGTTTTGAACAGTTGATAATTTCAATGATGAAAGCATGATTTATTTACACCAGGATTACAGCTTGTAATTTGTGTACAGCGTTGCATCTACACTATAGAAATTCCTATTTTTGGTAATAAGTAATATTACATCACCTCGGGAAAATTTGGTTTGGGAATATTGAACGCAAAGTGTCCAAGCAAATAATAAAAGCTAAGGCACCCACGAGAGGTCCTCTTAGGTGGAACACCGCTAAGGAAGTAAATAAATAAGAATCTCAATAAAGGGGAAGACATTTTGAAGAATCATTTGCTATTGTGATAAAGATGGTATTAACCTTGGGTCAGTTTCTAGGAAATTTCGCCATTTTCTTTGCTAGTTGACCCTGGTCAGTAATATCCACTTTCAGTGAAAGAGGGTATCTCCCCGATGACACTTACTAGATTCCAAATGAAGACTATGAAGAAACTCATTTCCATTGATGTCACCGAAATCTCATAAAAATTCGGTTTATTTTTTAATAAAGTCTACTTGGCACTGAAGGTGATTTACTTCGGAGTTTGGAGCCTCAGGTGATTTTCTAGGGGCCCCCGAACTTCGAGCAGTTGCATATCACGGGACTACCCACATGACGGTTAAAGGGCCTTAGACTACCGCACGTGAACTTGTGAAATCTCCAAAAGCGTGGTTGTCCTCATGCAATTCCTCGTGTTAATCGACAAGTCATTGCAAAAGCTCCAGAAATGTCTTAAGCAGACTTTTTTTCAAAACTTTTGCATGTTTCCAATTTGTTCCTATCGAAACTTTTGTACACAAGCTGAAGTATAGCTAAAACTTGCATTCTCTTGCGTGACGGAAATGGCTTTTAGAACGACCTTGCTAAAAGGCAGTTTTCATTACGTGAACATAATTTATATT